TCCCCTCTTGCCTCCCTCCCCGCTTCCCTTCCACTCCACTTGCCTCCCTCCCCTCTTGCTCCTCGCCCCTTCTCAGTCGGGTGGGTATCGCAACAAGTGGGATCGGTTTGGGCAGACGAGGAGGAACGCGGATGGGAGCACGTCAGGGTACGGCATAGTGGTGGCTGCTTCCTCCATTCATTCAGTGTGCCACCGGTGCCTGTTTCTCCCTTCTCAACTGAAGATCAGTCACCCTTCTTGCCTCCCTCCCCCTTTCCCCTCCATCCCCTCTTTCCCACCCCTCTTCCCATCCACCCCTCTTGCCTCCCTCCCCCCCGTGCCTCCCACCCCTGCCAGTCGGGTGGTTATCGCAACAAGTGGGACCGGTTTGGGCAGACGAGGAGGAACACGGATGGGAGCACGTCAGGGTACGGCATTGTGGTGGCCGCCTCCTCCGCCCTCACGCCCATGATGGCCTGGAACGTCTTCTTCATTCCCGCCAGGTACATTGGTCCTGTCCTCGGCTGTTATGCTGGTATAAACGAGGAGTATGAGTATGGTTTACGTAGTCATCTCTCCCATTGTGGTGGCTGCTTCCTCCGCCCTCACGCCCATGATGGCCTGGAACGTCTTCTTCATTCCCGCCAGGTATGAATGAGGAGTGTGGGTATGCTTGCCCTCTCCGCAGTTCCTTTTGAGTCGACTCAAAAGTCACCTGGAACGTCTTCTTCATTCCCGCCAGGTATGAATGAGGAGTGTGAGTATGCTTGCCCTCTCCCCAGTTCTTCTCTCCCCTGTGTTATCCCTTGTCCCTCTGTCCCTGCGTCCCTGTTCCCACTCTATCCTCCCCTCCCCACAGCAACGATGGAGTAAAGTCCCATAACGACACGGCCCCTCCCTTGAGATACTCCGGCCGGGTCTACTGGGGAGCGAGCGACCCCAGGGATCACGGTGTCTTTTGAATCGACTCAAAAGCGACCCCAGGGATCACGGTGGACCGCTTTGGCGTTTACCTCACCCCACACCCCTGCTATTCCGCTTTCAACCTCCATCTCTGCTGCGCCCCTGCTGTGCCCCTGCTGCACTCCGCCCTCCCCACAGCAACGACGGGGTGAAGTCGCACAACGACACGGCCCCGCCGCTGAGATACCCCGGCAGGGTCTACTGGGGCGCCACCCCTCGCATCACTCCACTCCACTCAAGTTCTTCTATCTGTGTCTCTGTGCCCGCCCCGCCCTCCCCACAGCAACGATGGGGTGAAGTCGCACAACGACACGGCCCCGCCGTTGCGATACCCCGGCAGGGTCTACTGGGGCGCCACCCCTCGCATCACGGTGGACCGCTACGGAGTGTACCTCACCACCCGGCAGTATGCCATGCAGGGGAAGCTGGGGCGCTTCGTCGGCAGCAACATATAGTGAGTCACGTGCGCTATAACGCGGATTATAGCCTACACTACACGTACGGGTAGAAGGGGATGGGGAGGGTGGGGGGTTTTGGCGTGTACCTCACCACCCGGCAGTATGCCACGCAGAGGAAGCTGGGGCACTTGACGGGCAGGAGGACAAAAGAGGGGAAACGGGAGGGGGGAAGGGGAGGGAGACAAGAAAAAGAGTTGCTTTACTTTGCAGAAAGAGTAGCCAAAACCTTTTCTCCTCTCTCGTCCCCCAACCTTTTCTCCTCCATCCCCCTCCTCTCTTCCCCCAAACCCTCTTCCCCCTTCCCACTTCCAGTGCGATACACAAGCCAAAGCTCTATCTGCGCTCCTCCAAGCGAGTGGTGCGCTTTGCCATCCCCATGATCAACTACAACAGCTTCCCTGTCTTTGGCCTCGAGCCACAGTCCCCCCGAATCCCCCGCCTCTCCCGCTTCAAAGGCCAGGACAAAGTCTTCTTCGGCTGTATCGACATCTCCTTCACCTTCCCCCTTCCGCACACCTCCCTCGCGCTCTGGTCCCTCTCCGATACCTCCTCTCTCATGCTCCCACACCCGACGCTCCGGCTGCGCTACTCCATAATCAACACTCCCGCGTACTACGATTCAGATTATGCCAAGCAAAAGCCTGGGCCACCGCCGTATGATACTCCCCAGGATGTGGTTCCGCCGACGTCCACGTCTGTAGCATGGTTCAAGGGGCACGTGTGGATGGCGTTTCCGTCGGGCTACAGCCTGGATCCGACCTCAGTGCCGTCTGTAGCGCTGGTTAAGCTGCAGCCGTTCCTGCGGGGGAAGAGGTCGTTTCCGACCCTGGTGAAGAAGTTTGGGATTTATGGAGTGCCGGGGCAGAGCCTTCTGAGCCCTGTGATTGGCTTCAACAGGTTAGTGAGTGCGGGATGGTAAGCACTCATTGTCTTCTTATGCACGGGTGGTTTCAATCAAGCTCTTTTCGTTACCTTTTTGAAAAAGCAGCAGAGGAAGCACATGCACTTGTGTCTTGGTTTGTGATAGGGTTTGTGTTCCTTTTGCCCTCTCCTCCCCTTGTAACATGAGATTGCCTGCACTCACACTCGTCTTGTTTCCCTACATGCCCTCTTTGTCTTTTTGTCGATCCCAGCAAGGGAAGGGGCATTCTTGCAGCGACACTAATTGGCTCTGAGTACTTCCCTACAGCGGCTTATGTACGCATAAACCAGAAAGGAGTTATGGGAAATAGTATATTTGCCGTTGGCCCCGGCCAAGCCCCGCTTGAGGTTTTGTCAGGAAAGTATGCTGCTTTTGGCGAGACTCAATCGATTAGTGTAGATCCACAGGGCAGCGCTTGGGCCACGGTGCAATATGTTTCGGGGAAGGAGCGCACTAACGAGGCTAACTGGGCTACTTTCATGTTCAAGGTGGGAAAGTGAGCAAAGGTGACGCCATTCATGCATGATTTTGGCCAGATATGATGGTGGTTGCCTGAGTAGCAGTCTACAGCTTTCACCAGAAGGGCGTGTGCATCTGCTTGTTGCATTGAGTGCAGTAATGTGAAATATGTGTCATTTGCTTGTCAGACAAACACATTGAGTTGCTGTTGATGCGGGTATTTTTGCATTTGTGCGTTTCCATAGAGCAATTCACCCCAAACGAACATTTCCCAGGGCGGCTTTGATTGAAATCACTTATCCGTTGCTCGTCAGAAAAAATCGAGAAAGGCGGCGTCGCGTGTCACCTTGAGCCAAATAGGCGCGGGAACTGGAGAAATTTTCAATGTCGTGGAAGAGCGACTCGAAATTCCAGTTCGCATCAAACCGATTGGCGGTGCGCCTCGATGTTACAGTTTCACCTGCCCGAGCCCCGACCTCAACCTCAGTTTCGCGCAGTTTCGCCGGCCAATCCATACGCTCGACGACCTCCACCAAATCGAGAAATGCGGAATTTCTCTCTAGCTCGCATCGCCGAGCTTGACACATTTCAGCTCTTGGCCCTGCGATGGCGACCCCGTCGCATGTCCTTTCCCGTTTACCACACACTTGGCCCATGCAACACTTTCTCCTCCGCAGCAGCACCCCTCGGCCGCTTTCACTGCTGTCTGAGACAAGCAGTATCTTCGCACAAGCATCGCACAACTTAGTTTCTGGTCCGATGACGTCAAAGGCGACCCTTCCCTCGGGGAGTCTCCCCCTCCCAGTCGTTGTTTTGCACTGCCCTGCCCATGAGGTCAATCTCTCCCATCTTCCTGTCCATCCCCTCCGTTTCTCCCCCAACCTGCTGACCTCACAGCACACACTCCCCTCCTCCCTCTCTCCCTCCTCCCCATCACCCCCCCACTCTCAGCCTCAACCCTTCCTCCATCGTCACAAACAATTCATAGGAATTCCGTTTCCCTCGATTTTGTCATGGAAGCTCGTCAACAGAATGCTGAGATAGCTAGCAACGCCCACGGCACATTTCAGGGAATCCATAGCGCATTATCACAACCCACCACGACATGGTCCTGTAAAGCCATCCTCGCATCTCCGTTTATCTCGAAAACGACGTAGCTAGTGTTCAGCATTAGAAATTACCCAAGCATTTGTATCAACGTAGTCATGAAGTTAGCGTGAGGCTGAGCTGTGCCAGGTCTTACGGCACAAGAGACTGATCCTACAATTTCAGATCAATGGAGACAATAAAAATCTCCCCGTATCTGTCCATCCAAGTCGCGAATGCCACTCGGTAGTACAAAATCTAAATCCACCTGTAGAAGACATTGACTTGGCCAATCCCCCCTCTTCACTTCCCCCCATTCCCCCTAGAAATATCAGCCTTCCAAGAGTGCTGGCATGAGTAACACCAAAGGGTTCTGACCGCTACGATTATTTTCTGACCGTTGGACAGCCGTACAGCGGGCGATAGCCATGGCAAGGGTGGACCCTCTTCCCCCAGACGAGGACGTCAAACCGCGGCGAATGCCCAGTCCGCTCCTCCGCCGCAGAAAAGCCGGCTCCTCTCCTCAACGAAAATCGTCATCGCCGTCCCCGTTACCGATATCGTCAGCGTCAACCCCTTCCGATGGCACCAAACCTTTCCTCCGTCGCTCCCATTCGTTTTCGCAGTCTGAAGTACCCCCGAGAACCGCACCCGTTTCAGACGCTCCCCCGGCCATGCTCGGTTCTCCGGGCAGAAGATCAGTAGAAAGTATATTCATGCTGTCGGCTGGCCGTCTTCGGTCGTCAAGAAACCGTCAGGAAAAGCCAAATCCTCATCCAATTCTGTCGGCTAGCCGATCAGCGTCGACTGCGTTCACGGCTGCGACAGCCTCCACCAGCTCTATAACCGGCGCCGTTGACTTTTCTGCCTACCGGCCGGTTACTCGGACGGCTGACCGGCAACATGAGAGCGTCTCTGTGACCGCGAGCACTCCGGAATTAGGAATGTCGCATTTTCGACTAGGAAATCCGTTTCGCCGGCGAAGCAAGGAAAATCTCGCCACTCACAGCAATGAAGCAAATTTACTAGTATGCAACGACGATGTTACCACCACAGTACCGGTTGACGTTTCGACTGCTGCTGGTAACCCTACAAATCGCAGAGGTAACAGTCCCCATCGCAGTAGGTCGCGAATGTCGTCCCCTTATGATCCGAGAAAGAGAGACAGCGGGGCAGAGGAGCAGCAAATAGAGAGGCGAGGAGCGCCGGAGGCGGCAGCGATTGCGGAGGATCGAGGAGCATCGGCTAGATGCTCGATCGACGGCGGAGATGTGAGAAAGCAGACCAGCGGTGTGAATCAGCCTGCATCGCGCACTAGCAGCGGAAGGTCGGAAAGCCGCGCGGAAATCCTCCCCCGCAGCGGAAGCGGAAGCTTTCAGGGGGAGACGGGGCTTGTGCGGAGCGCAAGCAAGGGCGAGGACGTGGCGGCGCACGGAAACGCGCTTGCGCTGGTCCCCGTGGGCGGAGGGTGGGGGGAGATGCTGAACCAGGTGCGCGGCGGAGCGGGGGGCCTGATGGTTCCCGCGGCAATGGCGCAAGAAAGCTCGGACGTGGTCATGGGGATACTGTGGAAGTGGGTCAATCTCGGGCGCGGCTGGGGCATGCGACTGTTTGTCCTGGAAGGAGTAAGCTCGCTCGCGCGCCCGTGTTCCGTTCTGTCCCTTGCTTCTGTTCGTTCTTTAGTTTTGCGTCACTTCCCGTCCCCTCAACCTTCACCGTCGCCGCACCCCTCTAGCCTTGTTCCGTCGACCCCTACCCTTCTTCCGATCCCCTTTACCCTCCTCAGCCCCCTCCTCACCCCCCTCCTCCCCCCTCCTCCCCCCTTCCCCTTCCTCCAGGGTGCTCTGTCCTTCTTCAAATTGGACGGTCCAGATAAGGCCATCGTGCTTCACGAGCTGCAGCGGCGGCCGGGCGCGCGACTGATCGGCGACGAGATTCGTCGCTACGTGCGAATCGAGCGCGAGAACGGCGTGCTGGCGACGTCGCTGGGCGTGCTGGGCGACAGAACGCCGCACGGGCAGATCGAGCTCCACGTGTCAACCATCCGCGCGAGCACGACGGACAACCGAAAGTTTTACGTGTTTGGGCACAGAACGCTGGGGCTTAGGACGGAATCCAAAGCGGGGCGGGCGCTTTGGATGGAAGCCATAGAAAACGCGCGCGTGAACCTAATTAAGAGGCTCCACGCGGCGCCGAATAAGGTGGACGTGTCGTCGCACGTGTGCTTCGACGCGGTTAGGGCGTACATGCAGCGGAGCGGGGTGGAAGAGGAGGTTATAAGTGGCGTGGAGGAGATGGTTCGGCGGAAGGTGGTGGTACGTCTAGAGACTAAGTTAAGGGAGGAGCAGAGGAAGCGGCTGCAGCTGCTGACGCTGCTGCGGCAACTCGAGGTGGGTGATAAGTAGGAAGGGGAGAATGGGTGGGAGGGGGAAACTGGGAGGTGTTGTGGTGGTGCAAGCGGTCTGTGCTGTGTATGATCGCATTTGCCACGTGTTGACTTGTGCCCTGGTTGGGTGTGACAATGGCGGAATGTGATGATTGCAGGCGGAGAAGGTGGAGCTGGAAACGGCAGTGGTGGACGAGAAGAGGCAGCAGGGCCAACCCAGCAGCAGCGCCATGCTTCGTGAGTGCACGGCAATGTGTGAGACAGCAGTGCAGTGAGTGAACGGCATTGTAAATTCCATTGTCTTTCGTGTGCAAATCCAATGCTTTCGTGTGCAAATCCAATGCTTACGTGTGCACATACTTCTCCTTCCCTCCTACATTCTCCCCTCCCGCCCTCGTAACCGTTCAGCCACTCTAACCCTTTTATCTCCCCTCTCCTCCTCATTCTCCCTCTCAATCTCCACCCACACCATTCCCCCTCACATTCCTCCATCCCCCCCCCCCTCTTCCCGCACCCTCCTTCCCCCAGTGGGCGAGGAGGACGACGATGCAGACAGCACGTTTAACGACGACGATGGGGACGACGACCCGGGCGCTCTGCTTGTCTCACTCCTTTTCCTCGGTTCCACCCTCCCCTTCCCCATCTCCCTCCAGTGGGCGAGGAGGACGACGATGCAGACAGCACGTTTAACGACGACGATGGGGACGACGGGGGGGGCGACGACTCGTGTGCTCTGATTTACTGGCAGTAACACGTCTACCTTGTGCCCTCCCACTGCTGTTCCTCCATGCCCCTTCTCTCCCGTCCCCCGCTCTCCCCCCCAGTGGGCGAGGAGGACGACGATGCAGACAGCACGTTTAACGACGACGATGGGGACGACGGGGGGGGCGACGAGTCGTGTGCTCTGATTTACTGGCAGTAACACGTCTACCTTGTGCCCTCCCACTGCTGTTCCTCCATGTCCCTTCTCTCCCGTCCCCCGCTCTCCCCCCAGTGGGCGAGGAGGACGACGATGCAGACAGCACGTTCAACGACGACGATGGGGACGACGAGGGCGACGACGACCCAGGCGCGCGAGGCGGCGGGGGGGCGCGGAAGGAGCCGCGGCTGACGTCGACGGTGCGGGACACGGACGAGGACGAGGGGGACACGGACAGTGACTGTAACGACGAGTTTTACGAGGCGATGACGGAGTTTGCTGGACAGGGCATGGTGAAACGCGTGCTGGATATCGAAGAGGTGAGCTGCCGGGAGGGGAGGGTGACACTCGTGAAGGGGGGAAAGGGGACGAGGCAGATGAGGGGGATGGGGGGGATGAGGGGAATAGGGAGACGAGAGAGACGAGGGGGACACGGACAGTGACTGTAACGACGAGTTTTACGAGGCGATGACGGAGTTTGCTGGGCAGGGCATGGTGAAACGCGTGCTGGATATCGAAGAGGTGAGCTGTCTGGGAGGGGAAAGGGGGAGGGGGGACGAGGGGGATGAGGGGGATGCGGGGGAGGGGGGATGAGGGGACGAAGGGGATGAGGGGAATAGGGAGACGAGAGAGACGAGGGGGACATGGACAGCGATTGTCACGATGATTTGTATGAGGCCATGGACGAATTCGCTGGGCAGGGCATGGAAGGTGTGGTTGCTTCTGAGGCGCCTGAATATCTCCGTCCGTGCTCAAGGAGTGCATGGGCAAGGACATGTTCAAGGTCTCGCTGCCCCTCAACTCCCACCACACCCAGCCCCTCATGCCACCCCTCCCTCCCTCCCTCCCTCCCTCCCTCCCTCCCTCCCTCCCTCCCTCCCTCCCTCCCTCCCTGCCTGCCTGCCTGCCTGCCTGCCTGCCTGCCTGCCCGCCCGCCCGCCCGCCCGCCCGCCCGCCTGCCTGCCTGCCCGCCCGCCTGCCTGCCTGCCCGCCCGCCTGCCTGCCTGCCTCCTTCCCTGCCTGCCCTCCTCCCTCCGTCCTTCCCTCCCACTCCGCGTCCCCCCTTCACGGCGCACCTCAGGTGGGGTTCAGCTACCCGCACGTGCCTCGGAGATCAAAACTCCCCGACCCGGAGGAGGAGGAGAAGCCGCTGAGCCTGTGGTCCGTGCTCAAGGAGTGCATGGGCAAGGACATGTTCAAGGTCTCCCTGCCTGTCAGCTTCAACGAGCCGCTCAGCTCGAGCCAGAAATACCTCGAGATGCTCGAATACTCGTGGCTGCTGGATAGAGCTGCGGAGTACGGCCGAAGGGTGAGTTGTAATTGGGCTGGGCTTGGTTTCGCTTGGGTTGGGCTGAGCTGGGTTGGGTTGGGAAAAGTTGGGTTGGGTTGGGCTGGGTTGGATTGGGCTGGGCTGGTTTGGGCTGGGTTGGAGCTGATGGAGTCCATGGGCAAGGACATGTTCAAGGTTTCCCTCCCCGTCAACTTCAACAAGCTGCTCAGCTCGAGCCAGAAGTACCTGGAAATGCTCGAGTACTCGTGGCTGTTGGATAGGGCTGCGGAGTATGGCCGGAGGGTGGGTTCTAATTAGGCTGGTTGGTTTCGGTTGAGTTGGGTTGGTTGGGTTGGGCTGATTTGGGACTCTGAACAAAAAAAAACCTGGAAATGCTCGAGTACTCATGACTTCTGGACCGGTGTAGAGTATGGCCGGAGGATGAGTCATGGTTCTGTTTGGTAGGGTTGGGTTTGGCTGGGTTGGTTGGTGGGTTATGTTGGGCTGGTTCGGTTGCGTTGGGTTGAGTTGAAACTTGGAACGAGTACCACGATATGCTTGAGTACTCCCATTTCCATGACTGTCTGCAGGACTATTCAAACATTTCCATCTCCCTGCCCTCTCCCCTTCCCCTCCCAAGCATGATTACTGGTTGATGCAAGCAGCACACGTGGTGCAGTTTCAGTTATAAAAGGCACAAGCAGAAAAAACAAAACCACTTTGAACTTTTCACCATCTCCTCTCTTCTCCCTCTTCCCTCTTCCCTCCTCCCTCCTCCCTCCTCCATCATCCCTCCTCCCTCCTCCCTCCTCCCTCTCCCCCACAAGCAGGGCAACCGGTTGATGAGAGCAGCACATGTGGCGGCATTCGCAGTCTCACGATATTCAGGCAACGATGGGCGCATGCACAAGCCCTTCAATCCGCTCCTGGGGGAGACCACCGAAGGGGACTACCCTGACAAGGGCATCCGTTACATTTCAGAGTCGGTGAGTAGATACCCGGGTTGTGAGTCGGACATCAGGTGTATTCAGGCAACGATGGGCGCATGCACAAGCCCTTCAACCGCTGCTGGGGGAGACCACTGAAGGGGACTATCCCGACAAGGGCATCCGTTACATCTCCGAGTCGTTGAGTTACATATTGGAGTCACTGAGTTACATGTCCTCCTTTGCGAGTTTCATCTCCGAATCGGTGAGTAGATACCCGGGTTGTGAGTCGCACATGAGGTGTATTCAGGCAACGAGGGGCGCATGCACAAGCCCTTCAATCCGCTGCTGGGGAAGACCACCGAAGGGGACTATCCTGACAAGAGCATCCGTTACATCTCCGAATCGGTGAGTTACATCTCTGAGTTGTGAGTTGCATACGTGAGGCGATGAGTTGTGAGTTGATATCAAAATTGAAGGCAATGGATAACCATCCCCTTCCCGCTCTCTCCCTCATCTCCTTTCCCCAATTCCTTTCGTCTCACACTCACCTCTCATCGCATTGTCCCAGGTGGTGCACTATCCGCCAATGATAGCCTGGCACGTGGACGGCACAGGGTGGAAGTTCTGGGGTGACGTGTGCCCCAAGATTCGATTCTGGGGGCCGTCCATCCAGCTGGACCCTGTGGGCGTGCTGACTGTGCAGTTTGACGACGGGGAGACGTACGAGTGGAGCAATGTGAGTTACACTTGTGTATTCACTTTTTGCCGAAGTTATATGAGTGCATGTTGATCCATTTTCAGGGTTACTGCGACGTTGGGATTCGATTGTGAGGGCCGTTTATCCAGCTGGATGCAGTGAGGGAGCTGACTGGAGTTTGATGATAGGAAGATGCACGAGTGGGGTGATGTGAGTTCCAGGAGTGTATGTTGATGTGTCATTATTCAAACTTTGAGGATTGACCATCCGGACTGTCTTTTCCCATCCTTCTCCCCCCATGCCCCATCAGGTGACCGTGCTGATTCAGAACCTCATTCTGGGGAAGCCCTTTGTGGAGCACTATGGCACCATGCGCATCAAGGGCAACCGTGGGTACTCTGCCCGCCTGCGCTTCAAAGAGCGCTCCACCTTTGATAGGAACCCGCACCAGGTATGGGAACGACCCAGATAATGAATGGGAAGAACCCACAGCAGGTACGGGAACAACCTGTACCAGGTACAGCCCACGAACACACCACCTCGCATGAAGTAGAAGCAAGAACCTGAAGTGAGGACTTGAGTCACTGGCATTAGGTAGCTTCCTCGTTATTTGGCTCTAATAGGCCCCCTCCCAACTCTCACACCCCTCCAGGTGCGGGGGCTGGTGCAGAACGAGGCAGGGGACGAGCAGGGGACGCTGATGGGGCGGTGGGACCAGCACATGCACTACGTTTAAGGGAGGAGGGAGGGGAGGAGACCTGACAAACCCATTCCTCCCTTGCTTCCATGCCACCCCTCCCTTCCCCAACCCTCCCCTCTCCCTCACCCTCTCAGGTGCGGGGGCTGGTGCAGAACGAGGCAGGGGACGAGCAGGGGACGCTGATGGGGCGGTGGGACCAGCACATGCACTATGTGCCGGGGGATCTGACGAGCAAGACAGCCAAGGAGGAGAGCGAGGTGCTGGCCACGGCGCAGCTCATCTGGAAGAAGAACCCCGTGCCGCCCAACACCAAGTACAAGTTCACGCCCTTCACCATCACGCTCAACGAGCTCACCCCCTCGCTCAAGGTCAGTGGGGCGGCGCGTGCCTGAGAATGGCTGGGTTCAGGGTTTGTGGTTTAGGGCGGGGTTTTGAGGCAGGGGAGGAGGCGAGCAGGGGGCACTGATAGAGGAGGTGGGACCAGCACATGCACTATGTGCCGGGGGATCTGACGAGCAAGACAGCCAAGGAGGAGAGCGAGGTGCTGGCCATGGCGCAGCTCATCTGGAAGAAGAACCCCGTGCCGCCCAACACCAAGTACAAGTTCACGCCCTTCACCATCACGCTCAACGAGCTCACCCCCTCGCTCAAGGTCAGTGGGGCGGCGCGTGCCTGAGAATGGCTGGGTTCAGGGTTTGTGGTTTAGGGCGGGGTTTTGAGGCAGGGGGGGAGGAGACGAGCAGGGGGCACTGATAGAGGAGGTGGGACCAGCACGTGCACTATGTGCCGGGGGATCTGACGAGCAAGACAGCCAAGGAGGAGAGCGAGGTGCTGGCCACGGCGCAGCTCATCTGGAAGAAGAACCCCGTGCCGCCCAACACCAAGTACAAGTTCACGCCCTTCACCATCACGCTCAACGAGCTCACCCCCTCGCTCAAGGTCAGTGGGGCGGCGCGTGCCTGAGAATGGCTGGGTTCAGGGTTTGTGGTTTAGGGCGGGGTTTTGAGGCAGGGGAGGAGGCGAGCAGGGGGCACTGATAGAGGAGGTGGGACCAGCACATGCACTATGTGCCGGGGGATCTGACGAGCAAGACAGCCAAGGAGGAGAGCGAGGTGCTGGCCACGGCGCAGCTCATCTGGAAGAAGAACCCCGTGCCGCCCAACACCAAGTACAAGTTCACGCCCGTCACCATCACGCTCAACGAGCTCACCCCCTCGCTCAAGGTCAGTGGGGCGGCGCGTGCCTGAGAATGGCTGGGTTCAGGGTTTGTGGTTTAGGGCGGGGTTTTGAGGCAGGGGAGGAGGCGAGCAGGGGGCACTGATAGAGGAGGTGGGACCAGCACATGCACTATGTGCCGGGGGATCTGACGAGCAAGACAGCCAAGGAGGAGAGCGAGGTGCTGGCCACGGCGCAGCTCATCTGGAAGAAGAACCCCGTGCCGCCCAACACCAAGTACAAGTTCACGCCCTTCACCATCACGCTCAACGAGCTCACCCCCTCGCTCAAGGTAAGCAAGTGTGTGGCGCGCCCTTGGTCCTTGATTGATTTTTGAGCCACCTGCTACAAGTTCACACCCTTCACAATCACACTCAACGAGCTCACTCCCTCGCTCAAGGTGAGTGGGTGGGAGGGTGTGTCTGGATGGCCCTAAAATGCGTGTGTGAGGGGATTTAGTCGTCTTCAGGATGAGGCTTCATATGGAGACGACCTGTCATCTATCGTTCTCCCCGTAGGTTGGTCCCTAGATAGAGCACCTATACCCCACTCCCTATCTCCATCCCTTTCTGCACCCCACAGGCATGTCCGCGTCCGTCCAGCAGACAGAGATTTCTGAGGCGCCTCAAAAACCAACTCCCCACTTCAGCTCTTCCCACCAACTCTCTCCTCCCACCCACTCCTCCCCCGTTTCCTCTCCCCATCACAGGAGTGTCTGGGCCCCACGGACTCGCGGCTGAGGGAGGGCCGATCAGAGGGCGCTGGGGGAGAGGGGCAGTACGACTTCAGCTTTCACCCATTATCTCACCCTTCCCCTATCCCCTCCTCCTCTGTCCCGTACAGGAATGTCTGCCCCCCACGGACTCGCGGCTGAGGGAGGATCAGAGGGCTCTGGAGGAGGGGCGGTACGACTTTGCCAACCAGGAGAAGTGCCGCCTCGAGCAGCGCCAGCGCAAGGTGCGTCTCATACTGTGCACGGGCATGCTACTGTCTAGGTGTACTCTAAAGCGACCCAAGACGCACTTCCCCAATTAGGAGAAGGCATCTGGAGCAGCACCAGAAGTGCATCTCGTGCCCAGGAAGTGCATATCCTACACTGCTTTGTTGTCTAACACATGATTTCAATCACCAACCGCTCTTACCCCTTTCTCTTACACGCTTTCTCATGCTTCTCCACTCTTTTTGCCACCCCTCACGGTTGGGGAAGAAAGCCGGGCCTAATTTGAATATTTATGACCATATTCCCCTTTGACCCGTGCGCCCCTTTATAACTCTCTCGTTTCAGGCGCTCAAAGACGGGGAACCAGGATGGGGCCCACGGTGGTTCAAGCCCTCGGGGCCCAACAACACATGGCGGTACACTGGCGGTTACTGGGAGCGGCGGGAGAAGCGGGACTGGTCCGGTGTGCTGGACATGTTTGCACCAGAGGAGTCCGATGGCGATGCTAACAAGGCGTAGGATTACAATCGCCTGTCATAGTTCGAGGAGGGTCTTCGCACGAATAGAAATGGCGCATGATTGAAGGTGCTCCATGACGTAAAATAGTTTGAGTTAGGTTTGTCAAACCGTGAAATTGAAAGATCGTGGGTGGTTAACTTGACTTCCGAGTGGAAAGGTATAGGCACGATGTGTGCCTTGTGTAGCTTCTGCAGATGCTTCATTTTCAAATTGCAAATGTTGCATCATATTCCTTGTGATTAAAAATGTCAAAGCATTTCTTCACGTCACTGTAAAGTCGTAACGAATGACCAGAACCGGACGGCAGGGTTGTCTCCTGAAGCATTTCTCTGAACAGTATCTCTGACAAGTCGGAAACGTGGCGGTGCGTGCGGTGTGGCCTCTCGAGAGATGCGAGCGGGGTGGTCATCACATCACCCGCACGGCACTGGCGTGAGCAGGAATCCCAGAATTTTCGAACACATCCCGCCCGCTAGGCTCCTCGACCCGGCAGTAACTGGTCCCAAATTCCGCGCCATGTGAAGCGAACCAGAATACCTTTTTGGTCACACATCGGAAATCGAGGAATCACGGTATTGGTGCATAGCTCTTGACAGCATTTCCCGCGAAAATATGACTCACCACTCGCTCCCATCCAATCCGCACGCAAGACGAAACCTGATGACCGTGGTGTCAACCAGCATACCATCAGGTGCAGATCGGTTTGTTGCGTTTTAATCGGTGGCACTCTCGCAATCGTAACGGTATTGTCGAAGTTCTGGTGTCAAGCGGAAGGCGAGTGAAAATCTCACCCCACCGCATCAAAACGTATAGAACCCTAGCCTCAAACATCACCACCGTTCCAGCATAACTTAGCCACTGCCAGTAAACTAGCACAGAACAAAATCCCAAGAGGCGTTGCAGTACAATTGATGCCCGACCAGTGCACGCAAATTTGCCATGCACCGGATGGAAACGCTGCCCCCGAGCTCGAAACCCCTGCTTGCTGCTCCCACAGTACAGGCACATGGATGGCTAACTACAGTCCACGCGGTCCGGCCCACAATACACGTGCAGTCCACAACAAGGCCTGCCGATCCATGTTTGCCTTGTTTCTAGGCCAGGAGCCAGGCAGGCGAAACGAATGGACGAAAACTCCGTGGTTTCGTGAACGCATTCGCACACCTGCCCCGCCACCTAAGCTAGGATCATCGTGCGTGTAACAGACACTTGGGCCGATTCACGCTGCCACGTGTACTCTGCATGAGCGGGGTACAAGCGCATTAACAGCCAGGCGTTGTTCGCCTACCCCACGTCAGACTTTCGACCGTCTGGTAACCCAACCACACGATCGAAATTGCCAGCCATGTGCATGGAACGAACAAGAGCCACACAAATAGAATTAGGGACACAGAACAGGCCCCAGCAATGCTCCGCCTCCTCATCCAACCAAGTTTAAAATCCGCCCCACAAATTCACTTAAGCATCGTTCTCACCCACCCCAGCCTCCCACCATGCCGCGATTTAATCGTCGCGAGCAGCTTCCGCTGCATGTCAAGCGCGCCTTATGCCTTCATCATGTCGAAAACCCGCGCCTCCGTCACGTTGACCTCGCCCGCTGGTGTTTCTCTCAATACGGCTTGCGTCCGGACCGCTCCACCGTCGGCCGCATTTTGAAAGGCGCCGAACGCTGGGCTGTCACGGCAACGGGCGACAACCATGTTCGCCGTCGAGGTGGCGCGTGGCCTGAGCTGGAACAGGCCATGGCGCGTTGGATTGCAAACGCCGGACCCGCTGGCGTTCCTCTAACGCTGCAGACGATCCGCGACCACGTTGCGACAATGGCGCGGAACATGGGCATTCCGCCCGGCTTCCGCTGCTCCATTGGCTGGGTGCGCCGTGCGTTGCGGCGCCAGGGGGTGAGATGTCGTGCATCGGCAGGCGAGGCTGCCAGCGCCGACATGGCTGCCGTGCGTGACGCCCGCGACAAGCTGCCGCAACTGCTCACGCACCTCGGCCTCAGCCCGCGCGACACTTACAATCTGGACGAGACAGCCCTCTGGCTGTCTGTGCTGCCGCGGAGGACTTACAGCAACGCCCGCATACCAGGGCGCAAAATCTCCAAGGACCGCCTAACCGTGGCGTTTCTCGTGAACGCGGACGGGAGCCACGCATTCCGGCCGTTGGTCATCAGCAAGGCGAGGCGCCCCCACGACTTCCGCCCGGATTACGACCCCGAAGCCGTCTGCTATTGGCGGCACAACGCCAAGGGTTGGATGACCGCTCCGGTAAGCGATTGTGCCTGTGTATCCGGGCGCCATGATACGCCCAACATTTGTACTTTAGTTGGCATTCACAACTGTGTGTAAATATGCCTCCCACGGTATGTCCCCTTCCCACCCCGAACCCCATCTACAGCTGTTCACTCACTTTATATCGCAGCTCAATGCTGCGATGTATGCTGAAGGACGCCACATCGTGGTCCTTCTCGACAATGCGAGCTCGCACATGCTGCGGGACGAGTGCGCGTGGAGCGAGTACGTTTGCGGCATGAGGACGACGTGCATGAGCAACGTCCGCCTCGTTTTCCTGCCGCTGAACACTACTGCCTTCACACAGCCTCTCGACCAGGGCATAATTGCCACTGCGAAGGCCCGCTACCGCCAGCACTGGCTGCGGGCCTTCACGGCACTGTGGAACGACGACGGTGCGACGAGCGCCGTCGCACAGTACCGCCCCAACCTGCGCGACGTCCTGGGGTGGCTCTCGGACGCATGGATGAGCGTCGGTGCGCGCACCATCCAGAGGTGCTGGTGGCGCACTGGATGCCTGCCGCTGTCGTGGTCGCTGGAGTTGACCCATGTTCACGACGACGAGCCGACCCCGCATCCCTATCCCGACATCGAGCTCGATGAAGACATCAACGACGTCGGAACTCTCATTAGCTCCCTCGGTCTCGGGAACGGCGCGATGACCGCCGCGGAATACGTCGCGATCGACGACGGTGAGCCAACGTCCGCCGAGACCGCGGCGGAGCTTCTGACTGATGAGCCGGAAGCGGCCTTGGTGGCGACGCTATGGAGGGCGCCGACCACGATGCAGGCGGTGTACGACGATGCGGACCCCGTGGGCCGTGAAGCGCGCCGCACTGCCCGGGCGGCCTGTGAGATGCTCATCGGCTATGCGCGCGCCGTGAACGTGACTCCGCGCGACCTCTGCCACCTCTTCGACATACGCAATCCCGTCATCATCGAGCGCATGGAGCGGGCAAGCCCCGCCATTAATCTCAACATGGCCCCGCCGCCCGTGCTCACTCCGGGCTCAACGCCCACGCCCGACACCCCTCGTCCGCGCGGCCGTGTGCTGCCTGGCTGGATGACCCAGCCATCCCGCCGGCAGCAGCTGCTGGACGGCGGTGTTGGCGCCGCCATGGGCGGGTACGTTGAGGCGGCTGAGTGGATGCGTCTGTGAGCTGTTTTTCCAGCCCTCTGTGCCGGCGTCGAAGACATCCATGCTGTGTTGGGATTGTTCTCCCAGCAGCACATTTGTGCGTGTGGTGATGTGTGTCAAGGTTGGGGCTGCGTGACCATGTGGGAGATGGTGATTGGTTAGGCTTTGAGTGTTGGTTGTTTCAATCTAAGTTGAACAATTGTTGACGCTGTGTGGTGACTTGTTTTTGCTTTCGTGAAGTATTCAGTAACGCGCATTTGTGACAATTAGAGCCACCCGTCACTGTTCCGGAACGGACAAATCGGGTGGTAACCATGTGCAGGTTAGATGCACGCGCAAAGCCTGACGAAACAAGCGAACCCCCTACGAAATGTCGGTTTAGCATACAGACCCCCTTCACAAGGCAACCGGGAGGGGCTCTAACGAGCATTAGGTGCAATTTCGTGTGGTGCTAGTGAGAAAAGGTTTTTTGTTGCTTGCTGCAGTAGCAGCAGTGCAGTTATAGGTGCCACGACAGTGCTTGGTTCAGCTGCGGTATTGTCAGGCGTGTGTGCGTGTTTCAGATCACCTTGTCCTCATGGCACTGTTCGATTCGTTGACTTTGTGTGCCGGGACTGACGCTTAGTAGTCATAGCATCATAGCGTCTGCGCGCGACGGTTTCCTGTAGAATCACACTTTCGTTCTCGGAAACTTCTCCTGTGCTTGTCCTCCTGCTTATGAAGCTCTGTGTGCAGGCCTAGTAGTCTTTCCTGTGTGCGTTTTTGTTTGTGTATTTGTTTATTTCATCGTCTCTCTCGTTTTGAAATACCTAATTATTCAAATCACGTGACAATGTCGTCGGATCCGGACGAGCCGAGCAACAAGTCTGTAAAGGAGCTCAGCAGCCTCTTCGGTAAACGAGTTACAGCTAATAAAGGAGCTCCCGCTGCTTACGTGGCGAAACTCCTCGCAGCCAATGCGAGCGCTGGCTCCTCCGGCGACCTTCCGAAAATCACGCGGCGGTCCTCTGGACCGGTTGTAAGCACGGAAGGACTTATCCGCCATCCGTCAGGCGGGTTTGCTAGTCCGCAGTCTTACGACGGAAACGCGTCAGAACCCAGAGACTTTAAAGACGAGATTAAGGGAGATGTGAAGCAGGAAGCCAAAGGGCCAGCACCTAACCGCTTAGGGCTCAGGCCGGTTGGGTCTAGCGCGGCTAAAGGGCCACGACCATCGTCAGGCGATAGCGCAAAAGGTCCATCCTCCTCGTCGTCGTCTTCCTCGTCCTTCTTACCCCAGGTTAAGCTTCGTCACACGACGGCCGGATCATCTGGGGGAAACAAAGATCCTGTGGCAGCGAGAAAAGACGCATCCGCTGGGGTGAAGGATTCTCCGCCTGTGGGAGGTTCCTCTGGTTCCGTCAGGGATGGGACGAAGGAATCGCCTCGGGATTCCCGAACCAAGGCGAAAAGCCGCGCAGGTACCGAGCCTGAGCCGCTAGGCTTGGCGTCCCCAGGCTCGTCCGCCAAGCCTGCTGCTGCGAAGGCGTCGCCAACTCAGCGGTCGTTTTCGCCGGGCGGGAATTACACGCGGGAAGAAATTCGTAAGGTACGACGCGGGCTGGATTCTGCGAGTAAGAACCTAGAGAATGCAGCATTGTGTGCTTTCGATATGTGTGGCAAGCTCGAGTAGGACCTGATGCGCGATTTCCAACTGGCTCCTCTGGCTCTTCTACCACCCTTTCTCCTCCTAAATCACCCCACCTTCTTTCCAGATGGAGACGATGCTGCGCAAGTTCGAGGAGGACCTGGAGCTGAGTAACTTCGAGCTGGCTCTTCCACACCTCTTAACCGCTTTTCCTCTCTCACAAAACCACCCCACCCCATTCTCTTTCCAGATGGAGACGATGCTGCACAAGTTCGAGGAGGATCTGGAGCTGAGCAACTTCGAGCTGGCGGCGCTGAAGGCGCGGCACATGGAGAAGGTCAGCCGGCTCAAGGTGGTGGAGGAGGAGATCGTCATCAGCGAGCAGCGCAACAAGAGCCTGCAGGTGCGCAGGCTCGGATTAGGCTCGGACCAGGCTCTGATTAGGTTCGGATTACGCTCGGCATAAGGGTGGGTGAAGAGCGGTGAAGGTCAGCCGGCTGAAGGTGGTGGAGGAGGAAATCGTCATCAGCGAGAAGCGCAACAAAACCGTGCAGGTGACTAGGCTGGAATGAGGTTTGGATTAGGGCTGGTTTACGTTCGGATGAGGGAGGAGATTGTCATCAGCGAGCAGCGCAGCAAAAGCCTGCAGGTGCGTGCGGGTAGGGTTAGCGGTGGGAGAGGGTGGTCCAGGGTTCCGGGTGATAAAGGGCGGTTTAGGGGTTTGGAACAGAAGAACGATGGCTTGTTGAGGTGCGTAAGACTTCATGTAAGGCGGTGGATGGGAGGGGTACATTGCGTGAATGATGTGAGGAGAACGCGTGGGTTCTCCTCAACCATATTCTCCCTTTTTTCCCCTTCCCTTTCCCCTGCCCCCCCTCCCCTCTCCCTTCCCCACCCGTTTCCCTCTCTTTCGGGATTTTCTCTTTCGTGATTTTTGTCGTTTTCGATCTGATTCTCTTGCCTACACTGTCCAGCTTGCACTGGCTGCTGTGGAGAAGATAATTGCGTCCTTTGAGTCTGCCCCCCTCTCCCTTCTCCTTCCGCCCCACGCCTCCCTTTCGTCTACCCCTGTCAGCTTGCACTTGCTGCTATGGAGAAGGAAATGGCTTCTTTTGAGTCTGCCAAGGTGAAGATGAGGAAGAAGATGGAGGAGGAGCAGGCGGCTAAGACAGAAGAAGCAATCCGGGCAGCCTTGAAAGATATTGAAGACGGGCAGGTGGCTCCGTTGAAGGCTGAGGTCGAGTCTCTCAGGGCAGCCTCGGAAGTTTTGACGGCTGAGCTGGCAGCTGCCCGGGCTGCCCTGGCGGCGAAAGAGGCGGAGCTGTTGGTTGCTGAGTCTGAGAATGAGAAGGTTTGCGGGCAGCTTAGTGAGGAAGAGGCGAATCACAAGGTGACACGTGGCGAGCTGGAGGAAGCGAGGGACGCGGTGGAAAGGGCTCGGAAAGAGGTTGCAGAGGCGGAAAAAGAGCTGGATGGGCTTAAAACGAAACACGAGGAGGCTTGTAGCGAGTTGGAGGGGCTGCAAGGGAAGTATAAAGGGACTTGTGAGGAGCTAGAAAGGCTCAAAGAGGAAATAGAGTCCCTTAAGGGGGAGAACAAAGAGGTAATGGAGGATTTGGGAACGGTTAAGGGGGAGTGGGAGGCCAGGGGTAAGGAATTAGAGGTGATGGCGAAAGAGAAGGGAGAAATGGAAGAGGAGATGGAGAGTATGAGAGGCAAGTGCGAGGAGCAAGGGCGGGAGCTGGAGCAACTGCAACAGCTGCATGATAAAACGAATAACGAGTTGCATGATATGGAGGATGGAAACGAGAAGCTGCAGAGGGAAGTGGAGGGGTTGAAGGGTGAACTGGAAGGGTTGAGAGGAGAGAAAGGGGAAGCTGAGGAGGAGATAGGGCAGCTGAAAGCGAGGATTGAGGAGGCGGAAGGGGAGTTGTGGAAGTTGAGAGAGAGGGGAGAGGAGAGGGAGAGGGAGATGGTGGCGTTGGAAGGGAGGAATGAGGAGGCGAGGAAGGAGGCGGAGGAGTGGAAGGGGAAGCATGAGGAGTTGGGGAAGGAGTTGGAGGAGGTTAGAAGGGCGAAGGAGGAGGAGATGCGAGAGAAGGACGAGGAAATACGGGAGAAGGAGGAGGAGATGCGAGAGAAGGACGAGGAAATACGGGCGAAGGAGGAGGAGATTCGGGAGAAGGAGGAAGTAATACAGGCGAAGGAGGCAGCTGTTAGAGAAGCGTTGAAGGAAGCAGAGGATTTGAGGGAGAAAGTGGCGGAGAGAGACGGGCAGGTGGGGGGGCTGGAGCAGAGAGTGGGAGAATTACAGCAGAGGGTAGACGAGCAGGGGAAGGAGATTGAAGGTTTGAGAGGAGAGGTGGAGGAGGAGAGGAAGGGGAAGGGGGAGGTAGAGGCGGCTTTGGCAGCGGCTACTGGGGAGGTGGGGGAATTGAGGGAGAGGGTTGAGGGGCTGGAGAGGGAGGTGGGGGAGGAGAGGACGGGGAAGAGTGTGGCTGAAGCAGCGCTTGCGGTTGCGACTGGGGAGGTGGGTGTTTTGGGGGAGAAGGTTAGGGGTTTGGAGGAGAAGGTGAGGGGGTTAGAAGAGGAGGTGGAGAGGGAGAGAGGAGGGAGGGAGGAGAGTGAGAAGGAGCTTGAGAGTGTGAGGAGGGAGAGGGATGAATTGGTGAAGGAGAGAGATGAGGTGAGGAAGGAGTTAGAAGGGGTGAGAGGGGAGAGGGACGAATTGCATGAGAGGATAGAAGAGATGGAAGGGAGGATGGAGGAGATGGGGATGGGGAGGGAGGCGGCGGAATTCGAAAAGGCGGAAACAGAGAGACTGCGGAAGGAGGAGATTGCAGCCAGGGAGGCGGTTGAGGGTCAGTTGGCAGCAGCACAGGGAGAGCTGGAGCAGAGAGTAAAGGAGGTAGAGGAGGTGACTAAAGCGAAGGGTTTGTTGGAAGAGGAGGTGAAGCAGGTGAGGGGGGAGTTGGGGGGGAGGGAGGAGGAATTGGGAGAGCTGAAGGGGAAGCATGAGGTGCTGACGTCAGAGCACCAAGCGCTGATGTCAGAGCACGAGGAGCTGAAGTCAGCAAACGAGAAGCTGACGTCAGAATGTGCTGCGCTGGCGGCAGCACAGGCAGCGCTGGCGGTTAAGATTGAGGAGGTGACTATAGCGAAGGAAGGGTTGATGAGTGAGCTTGAGGAGGAGAAGGAGGGGCGGGTAGCTGTAGCTGCTGAGCTGGCGGAATCGTATTCTGATCTGGCTGGCATCCATGCTGAGCTGGAAGCGCTGACTGCCACGCATGATTCCCTGAAGAAAGATCACGAGGCACTGAATGAGCGGTACAATGCGATGAAGAGCGATTTAGAGAGTAAGTCTGGAGAGGCAGGGGGGCTGGTGGAGGAAATAAACAGAGTGAGGGAGGAGAGGGATGAGGGGAAGAAGAGAGAGGAGGAGGGGAAGAAGAGAGAGGAGGAGGGAAAGAAGAGAGAAGAGGCTTTGACAGCTGAACTCGAGCAGGCACAAAGGGCGGTTGAGGGGTTGAAGGGGGAGTTGGAATCTTCCAAGAAAGAGAATGGAGAGCTTATAGGAAAGCTCGCCGCTGCTGTTGCCGACCTTGGAGCTGCCGAAGCTGCAACAGAGGCTCGGGAAGCGGAGCTGGCAGAAGTTCGGGCCGAGCTGGAAGGAGTGGCGAAAGAGAGGGGCGAGCGGGAGGAGGAAGTGGGGAAGGCGAGGGGGGAGATCGAGGCACTGGAGAAGGAAAGGGAGGGATTGAAGGGAGAGATGGAGAGATTGACCCAGGAAAAAGAGGCTCTAATTGTGAGCCATGCTGCTGCTCTGGCTGAGCTAGTAGCTGCGAAGGAGTGTGTGGAAGAAGAGGTGAAGAGATGGCAGGAGAAGCAGGAGCAGACGGTTAAGGAGTTGGAGGGAGTGAGGGAGGAGGCGGAGGAGAGGAGGAGGGAGGCGGAGGGGAAGGAGAAGGAGCTGTTGGCTCGGGCCGTAGCTGCGGAGGTGCGGGCGGGTGAGCTGGAGCAGGCTCAGGACGAGGCTGCGGCTGTGGTTGGGGAGACCCAGGCAGCTCTGGATGCTGCTAAGGAGGAAATTGTGACTATAAAGGGGGAGCTGGAGAAAAAGGAGGGGGAGAGGAAGGAGCTAGAGGGAGCTTTGGCAAGGGAGAGGGGCGAGAAGGAAGAACTGAGTGCAGAGAACGAGCGGCTTAAAGAGAAAGTGGAGACGCTTTTAGAGGGGATGGATGGGACCAAGCATGGGCTGGCTGCTGAGGTGGATGCTCATGAAAAGACAAGGGAGGAGCTACAAGAGACAAAAAAGACTCTTGAGGAAGTGAGAGGGGAGTTGGAGGAAGTGAGGGGAGAGCTAGAGGAAGTGAGAGGAGAGCTAGAGGAAGTGAGAAGGGCGTTGGACGAGAGTGAGGAGGGGAAGAAGGAGGCTGAGGAGGATTTGGAGGGGGCGCTTGCGGCTGAGGCTGCTGCTAGGGCGGAAGCTGCTGCTGCATCTGCGGCAGCAGTGGCGACGGCAGCGGCTAAGGATGGCGAGCTGGGAGAGAAAGAGCGGGAGATGGGGCAGGTGAAGGAGGAGCTTGGGCAGGTGAAAGATGAGCTCGGGCAGGTGAAGGGTGATGTGGAACGGTTGACTGGGGAGGTTCGGGAGAAAGAGGAGAGGATAGCGGGGCTTGAGGAAGAGTTGAAAGAGGCTCGGGCCAGTGCCGAGGCTAAGGAGGCTGCTGCGGCTGCTGCTGCTGCTTCTGCTGCTGCGGCGGCGGCTACTGCGGCTGCTGTGAAAGAATCCGCTAAGATGTCTGAAGGAGAGGCACAGAGGAAGGTGCAAGAGCTGCTGGAAAAGCTGGAGGGTTTGGAGAGGGAGAGGAGGGAGGGGGAGGAGAGGGAGAAGGGGTTGAGGGAGGAGTTGGGGGCGGCTAAGGAAGCAGAGGAGGAGGCGAGGGAGGCAGCAAGGATGGCAGCGAGTAGAGGGAGTGAGATGGTGGTGGCGATGGAAGGGGAGATGGAGGGATTGAGAGGGAGGTTGAAGGAGCGAGAGGAGGAGGTGGAGAGGTGTAAGGAGGAGTTGGAGAAGGTTAGGGGGGAGTGGGCGGCTGAGGTGGAGCGGTTGGGGAGAGAGAAGGAGGAGGCTGTTGGGGAGGCTGAGAGGGAGAAGGAGGAGTTGCGGAGTAAGATGGAGGAGGAGAAGGGCGTTTTAGAGGAGCAGGTGAAGCAGCTTACAGAGAGGATGGGTGATCTGGAGGAAGGAAGGAGTGGATTGGAAGCAACGGGGGTTAAACTGGCTGGGAGGATACAGGAGCTAGAGGAGGAGAGGGATCGGTTAGAGGGGGAGAGAGATAGAGTACAGGGAGAGAAGGATAAGCTTGAGGAGGAGAGGGGGGAAATGGAGGAGGAGTTGAGGAAGGAGGGGGAGAGAGTGAAAGAGCTTGATGAGGAGTTGAGGAAGGAGAGGGAGAGAGTGAAAGAACTGGAGGAGGAGGCAGAAACAAGGGTGACAGCAGCACTGGCGTCGTCTGCTGCAGTGGCAGCGGGAGGGGAGAAGCAGATGCGGCAGGCTTTGGCAGAGAAAGAAGCAGCTCTGGCAGGGAAAGCAGCAGCGGAAAGAGCGCAGAGAGCAGCAGAGGCAGCGGCAGCGGCAGCAGCAGCAGCGGTTGTGGCAGCAGAGGCAGCAGCAGAGGAAGCAAGGAGCCGAGAAGGAGAGGCGAAGGGGAGGGAGGAAGAGGCTCGAGTGGCAGCAGTTAACGCACAGTTGGAAGCTGGAAGGGCGAAGGAGGGTGAAGAATTGGCTCAAGCTGAAGCCGCAGAAGCTAAGCAGGCGGCAGAGGCGGCCCAGGCCGAGGCTGCCGAGGCTAGACTAGCAGCGGAAATAGCTCTGGCCGAAGCTGCTGAGGCTCGGGAACGTGCGGGCACAGCGGAGGGGGAGTTGGAAGCGGTGCGGATGGAGATGGAGGGGTTGAGAGCGTCAGAAGCAGCAGCGAGGTCAGCAGCTGAAGAGGCCAAGACTGGGGGGTCAGTGCGGCTTGCGGCTAGTCTGTGGCGAGCTAGGGTGAATCAAGGAAGCTTGGAACGCAAATGGAAGGAGGGCGAGGAGAAACGGAGAGCCAAGGATGCTGCCGCTGCCGCTGCTGCGGCCGAGGCTGCGGCAGCGGCAGCAGTGGCTGCTGCTGCTGCAGAAGCGGAGAAGGATAGAGTGGTGGTGGAGAAGGGGAAGATGGAGGCTGAGATGTCTTTTAAGCTGGCTGCGGTTGAGGGAGAGTTGAAGACAGCTAAGGATGCGGAAGGGGAGCTTCGGCTGCAGGTTCGGGCACTTCGCCGAACCTTGGATGCTCTGGAAGGCGAGGTTCGGAAGTGGAGGGAGGAGGCTCGGATCCGGAAGAAGCGGGTTGAAGAGGAAGCAGCGGACACTCTGAGGAAGTGGAGGGAGGCGTCTCTGGTAGGGAGGAGTCAAGAGGGGGAGATTGTTGCAGCTGCAGCAGCTGCTGCTGCTGTTGCGGGTGCTGGTGGTGCTGGTGGTGCTGCTGGTGCAGCTGGCAGTGATGCTGGTCCGTCCGCTGCAAGGATGTTTCCAGGAAGGAGCTCGTCTTACAATACAGCCAGCAATCGTGCGAGTATGCCGTCCATTCCCACCTCTGGGCTCCTGTCAACTGCAGCAGGGGAAGACAGTGGGATATTTGCCAAGAGTGCGGAGTTCCATCCTGGGCAGCTTCGTGCTATAAGGCATTTCATGAGTGCCGGTCAATCAGGGCCGTCCTCTGCGGTTGCAACGCCGATCAACGGTCCTGCTTCAGCGGCCGGGACTCCGCCTCCCTCGCTCAGGGCGTCTATGGGGGTCCCTGCTCCGTTGCGCATGAAGAGACCGGAGGGAGAAGGGAAGGGTAGGCGTGGAACGTCTGGTAGCAAGACTGGGTGGAGGAAGTCTGTGATGGGGGGGTTTTTAGGGAAGAAAGCGGTGAAGAGTGAGGCGAACACCCCACGTGGAACGGACGGTCCCCAGAGTGCCGTTTTTTAGAAGGTTGTTTGCTTGTGCCTGGTTGGGTAAGAGAAATGTTTTTGTTTTATTGATTGACATGTAACATAAGTGGCCATCCATGTGTTTTATCATTATCACTATTACTAAAACGGCCTGCACACTCACGAATCACTTGAGCACAGAGGCTGCAAGTGAAGTGGAGGTGGGGAGCGAATCGTAGCAGCACTTCCAAGTCGTAGTCACGCACGTCGCAGAGAGCAGGAAAGCCTGGCAACATCCATGCAGTAACCGCGCGACACGTGGAAAAGTAGTGTACTCTTTCTCCAGAAGTCCGTTCACCTCACCAACCGCAACACGCTCTGGGCCTTCCGCAACCCCCCATCATCACCTCTCCTCCGGGTGACCCCCATGCCTGCGTTCTCCGCCGTTCTGCATGTGCCTGATGGCGGTTCCGCGGGTTTGACAGGATGCAGCGGCAGGCAGGGCGGGCGGAAAGATTCGTTGTGCTTGTTCGGGGGAATACACGCAGGGGCTTCCTCTTCTGTTTCCCGTATTCTCCCCACACTTCTCCCCCCATTTTCCCCCCATACTCCCTCCACTTCTCCGCCTTCACCAACCTTCCGCAGTCACGCTCCAACGACTACCTCTTCCGCATCTGAATCATGCATTTGCGTGTTTTCCTGTTTCAGCTCTGCTCGAGGAACCATTAGGATACGCTCTGGTGGAACCTTTTGCTCCAATCTTCTCATATCAATTGGGTGCAGTGATCTTATCTGCCGATGCTCATCACGTTCGGTGGCAGAAGGTTGTAGTTTACGTCATTTCGAGGGGCTGCTGCGAAGTAGTATAGAAGTGTTTCTACGTTTTTTAGGGTTACGTACACCTTCCCTTTCGCTTTGACTTTGAAGACCCATCCAGGCCATGGCGGTACGTTTGATTCAAACTAAAACCTGTTCAACAACCACAGTTACCATACCCTCATGTTAGCTGGACAGCTGGTCCTTCCAAGTTCGCCAGAAGTCTGTTCTCCCTGTCATGTGGTGTTGTTGTCTTCATCATTATCCAGTTCTTTTTCCCTTTGTTTTTACGATCTGAACCTTTCGTACCTCAACTTGTACCATCCGTTTACTCTCGACCCCAAGCTCTTCCCTTGGGAACCATCTCTCCTTCGCGCGCTTCCATCTCCGCATGATATCTTTGAAGTGCCACACAAGTCTCGCCTTCGAGTCCTTTATTTCAACTCTCCCTCCACCATTCGTACCAATCCCTCGCGTATTTCCTCCTCCCCATCCTCCCATATCCTCCCCAATATCCTTTCCCCCTTGTTCTCACATTTCCCGGTGCAGTCGGAGGGCGGGATGCCGCCAACAGGGGGTGGTGGCAAGAAGGGCGGTGGCGGGTTCACTGCGCAATTTAGAGACGTCAGCTCGGGTGGGGGGGTTCCAGCATTCCCGGAGCCCCACAAGACGAAGGTCAACAAAGATACTCCTCCTGAGGTAAGCTTTAATCAACTAACATTCTGCGAAAAGTTCCCTATGTGGTACTCTAGTGACGCAATTCGGACATAGATATCAGACTCCCATGAGTTGATACGAAACAAAGTTATAAGTTTCGTCGAATCCAGCTCGTTCAACCTACATAAGTTGTCAGACTCTATTTTCCGAACGAGGTTGATTATGGTTCTTTTTTTTCCCCCTTCATTTGTCATTAACGTTATCACGTTCTCTCTATCTTGTTCTTTCCGTTCGTCTTTTGTTTCAGACCATACATCTGCCTTGACCGATTTGGTATTTTCATCTTGTCTGGTTTTTCTTTGTTTTTTTTTTTTTTGCTGGCAGCCCGAGTCCGCCAAGTGTGGATGTGTCATACTCTAACCCTCAGTGAATTTACCGAACTCTGCAATCTCGACCTCCATCGTTTTCTCTGGATGAAACGGGTAATGCTTGTGCCGGCTGGACAGCTGAAACTTTTGAGTGTCTAAGCGGATCGTTCGTTATTTGTGCCCTTCCAAAGTTGGTGGCTGCACCATTCTTGGTCAGGAGCAGGAATCGCTTGGAGCAGCTTCATGCCTGGCTGCAAAATGGCTCGGCATGGTGTGGTGGGTTCCAGTTGCAAGAATCAACTGTGGGGCAGGAATTGGGATGTCTTCATCACTAAGCTTGTGAAATAGGGGTGTTTGAAAGCCTGTTCTGCAGTGTAATTTCGAGTGATTGTTGTAGGTTTGTTAGTTAGGTCTGCAACAGTTCCAAATGGCTGGTACTGGTGAACCAGAAAGTTGCTTTTTGTAGGCTTATGTTTATGCTTAGAAAGTTGCTTTTAGTAGGCTTTTGTTTATGCTTTTGTACTGGTGAACCAGATCTTATGAGATAATGCTGTGCAATGCTTAGTGAGGCATAAGTTGTCATTCTATGATGACTTTGCAATAATGGGGCTTCCAGCTACGTTAGCATTCGCGTAGGCTATTCTGGTTTAATTAGATGCATTAACACTCTTGCCTCTGTTCGGTGTACTTACTGTTGGCAGTTAGGTAAACTTCGTAAAGTGAACCTGCATCGTCGTGCGAAATTTCTGGCATCTGCTCTGACCACGTAGCATTGTCGATCGTGGCCCAGGTGTCGTGGAAGCCTTCGATTCCACGTCAATGCGAACCAATCTGGACCCACCGAAGGTCCCAATGGCTGCCTTGCGACCACACTTTTGGGAGCCCAGCCTGGCGCGCAATTCCACGTCACCCTTCGACGCGTCCCAGCCTGAACGAACCAATCTCAAGGTAGAACCGAGCCAAACCCAACGCCAAACCGAGGAAATCTCAATGCCTGCCAGAGCAAATTCCCCAGCTCCAAACTCTGCCTCCCATGTGGCATTCTGACATTCTCCAAGCCTGGCTTCCCAGGAGAACGAGAGAAGTGAGCGACTGGTGGTTGAACATATTTTTATTCAGGCCTTTTGAGTCATACGTGTTCGCCTAATTTGGTGGTTCATTGCTGGGCCGCACTTGTCATGGCTATCGTCGCGTCGCCCGCCGTTCCCGTGCGCCTGAGCACCGCGGGGGGTGTAACTGCTGCCGCGCATTCCGCATCTGCGCAACGCAGCGGTTTTCCAGTCCCCTTCCTCCGCAAGTCTCCGCTCATTTCGTCTCCCGTGTGCACTAGGCGCGCCAGTTCTCTCGACAAGAGGCATCCGTTATTCCATTCGCAGCGTTTCCACGTAGTGCGCACACGAGCAGCCGGAGACAATGACGAGAGTTCTAATTTAACTTCGAATTCTGCGAATCCCGAATTCGCAGATTCCGCAGAAGCACCGTCGGGCAGCCGCCCAATCAAGGCCGACGTTCCACTGGCTGACCCCGTCGCTGCCGACGAAACTGCGCAGCAACTTCAGGCCGTGAAGCAGCAGCAGCAGCAGGAGCAATCGGGCGAAGCTTCGCAGCAGCAGCAGCAGCAGCTGTCGCTTGAAGACGTCAACCCTGTGGATCTCGGCCGTCGATCCCGGCAGTTTCTCGACGATGTGTGGCGGAGATTGATCCAGCTGGGCCAGATAGCGCGTCCGGCGCCGGTGGATGCGGAGGATTATACCGAGCTGGTGCGAGGCGGTTTGGACGCCGATTTTGGTGTCCCTAGCGCTCAGTTCACGACTGTGCTTGTAGCGGGAGCGACGGGCCGCGTCGGGAAAGTGCTTGTAAGAAAGTTGCTCTTGCGTGGGTACACTGTTAAAGCCCTTGTAAGAAGCGCGGATCCGGAGACCCTCGAGCAGCTGCCACGTGCGTGCCAGGTGGCAGTTGCTGATTTGGCTGACGAGGCGGCACTACAAAAGGCGGTGGAGGGGTGCAATAAGGTCGTCTTCTGCGCCTCGGCTCGCTCCGCAATGGCCGCTGACCTCCAACGGGTCGACCACATGGGCGTAGTTAATCTCTCCAAGGCGTTCCTAGACTACAATCACCACTTAGCGCAGCGCCGCGCCGGCCGCAGCAGCAAGAGCAAAGCCCTGGTTCTTAGACTCAGCAAAGAGCGATTCCAGGAAGGGTGGGAGTTAGGAGAGGGGCGGACTATTAAGGACGATATAGACCTGCGGTACGGCGCGGGGATGGACGCGGAGTTTAGTATCACGGAGGACGGGAGAGGCGTGTTTTCCGGATACGTGTTCACGCGCGGGGGGTATGTGGAGGCGAAGAGACGGATCGCGCTTCCAGAGGGATTGTCGTTTGGACGGTGAGTGATGGTCGGGTTGGTTTCTAAGTGATTCCGTTTCCCCTTCCGCCATCCCCCTATGTCCTTCCCCCTTCCCCCCTCTGCCCCTCCCCTCCTCCCCCCCTCCCCTCCTCCCCCCTTTTCCCCCCATCCCCTCCTCGCTTCCTGTTCGTGTGGTGTCGGACGGCAAGCCCTACCCGCTTGTGCCCCGGGAGGGCTGACCTCGTCCTGGGTCATCACTCATCCCAACTCCTCTATTCGCTCGCTTGTCCGTCTGTCCCGACTCACCCCAATTCCTCAACTACTTCCCTTGTCCCCTCAGCTTCGAGGTCTGGTGTTCCGATTCGTATCGGACGGCAAGCCCTACTCGCTGGTGCTGCGGGTGGGCTGGCCTTCCCGTCTATCCCCACCCATCCCAACTCCTCAGCTCTCTCCCCCTTCGTTCTCCCATCCTCTCAGCTTCGAGGGTCTGGTGTTCCGGTTCGTGTCAGACGGCAAGCCATTCTCGCTGGTGCTGTGGGTGGGCTGATATTCCCGCTCTGCCCCTACTTGACCCAACTCCCCAACTCCCTCCCCTTCCCTGTCCCCTCAGCTTCGACGGTCTGGTGTTTCGGTTTGTGTCGGATGGCAAGCCATACTCGCTGGTTCTGCGGGTGGCTGATAACCTTGCTTCTGATACCCCCGTCTCTCCTCTTCCCCACTCCTCATCTCCCTTCCCCTGTCCCCTCAGCTTCGAGGGTCTGGTGTTCCGGTTCGTGTCGGACGGCAAGCCATACTCGCTGGTGCTGCGTGTGGCGAAGGATGGGACGCGCGTGGAGAGAATGGGGGAGGATGGGGAGATTTTGGTGGAAGAAGAGGAGGAGGTGGAGGAGGAGGAGTATGAGTATGTGGCTGTTGTTAAGACAAGGAAAGGGCAGAACACGGTGAGTGAGAGAGGAAAGGATGTGACGTTTGAGTTGAGTCTCAAGAGGTGGAGGAGGAGGGAGGAGGAGCATGAGTGTGTGGCTGTTGTGAAGACACGGAGAGGGGAGAGCAGAATGTGTGAGAGATGAAGGTGGAAAAAGTAGATTTGCATTCCCTGCTCTTGGCTGGCACGTAGAGCATCTCATGTCCAGTTCTCGCCTCATGTTCACAATCACCACTAGTCCCCGTCGCTTCCCCTTCTCACACACCCTCCCTCCCCTCCCTCCCCTTCTGACTTCTAATTTCCCTTTCCGCTCTTCTTCCCCATTCTCCCCCGTTTTTATCAAACCCACCCTTCACCTCCTGTCCCCTCCATTTTCGGGGCCTTCCTCCTCCCCATTCGCTCTTTCTCCAGATTCGCATTTCCTCCTCCCCCTTCCGCCCATCATCCCTTGCTCCCCCTTCCGCCCATCATCCCCTGCTCCCCCTTCCGCCCATCATCACCTGCTCCCCCTTCCGCCCATCATCCCCGTCCAACCCACGCCTTCCCACCCTCTAACCCCGCTCCACCCTCCCACACCCCCGCGCACCCCCCTCCCCCACCTTCCCCCCATCTCCCCACCTCCCTGTTTTTCCTCAGATCCGCGTCCCCTTCTCTGCCTTCCGCGCATCATCCCCGTCTGACCCGCCGCTTGATCCCACTCTCATCTCTTCCCTCGCTCTGCGATACGAGCAGCGTCGCGCGGTAAGTTGCATGATGCTGTGGAACGGTGCTAACATTTCTTGGGGGGTAGAATGGAGTAACCAAACTGCTTGATCCCGCTCTCATCTCCTCCCTCGCTCTGCGCTACGAGCGGCGTCGCGCAGTGAGTTACATTCAGTAGAATGGGGATTACAGACCTTGGGACGTGAAACGGGGTTAACAAATCAGGAATGGGGTATCAAACCGCTTGGTCCCACCCTCATCTCTTCCCTCGCTCTGCGATACGAGCAGCGATGCACGGTGAGTCACAGACAGGGGAATGGGGTTCTCAGACATTGAGGGCTAGAAATGATGTTGCAGATCTATTGATTACAGTCTCATCTCCTCACTTGCCCCTCACTTGCCCTGCGATACAAGCAACCTTGCATGGTGAATTACACTCAATGGAGAGGGTAGATGAGCCTTGAGGAATAGAACGGGATTAACAAGCGTTGAAGTGCATAAGGGGTTTGACAAATCACAAGGTATCCTTTAACTGCCAGATTCTACCACTCTTCACCAAGCTCTCCCTCTCTTCACCCCACTCTCCCTCTCTTCACCCCACTCTACCCCTCTTCACCGCTCTCTTCTCTCCTTTCTCCCTTCAACTTCACCAGAAACCATCCGTGGCAGCGCCCCTGCCACCGGGCCGGGCGGCATCCAAGGCCGGCGCAGAAGGGGACAACGCCGCCGCCCCTGCCGACCCAAACAGCTTCAAGCTCGCTCTGCAATACGTCAAGGCCTTTCCTGTGAGTGTCTGTGCAAGGGAAGGAAAGATAATGAAGGGCGTGGGGGACGGGGAAGGGGAGGGAGGCAGTGTGAATTGAGGGGGTTGGGTTCTGATGTACTAGTGTCAACTCAAGCTGCTGCGTCTGTTAGCCCGGACAGCTTCAAGCTCGCTCTGCAATACGTCAAGGGCTTCCCTGTGAGTGTGTGGAGGAGGGGGGACAGATACTAAAGGGGAAGGGGGAGGGGAGAGGGTGAGGGGGGAGGTGGGTTCTGATGTGCTAGCGTCAACTCAAGCTGCCGCACCTGCTAGCCCAAACAGCTTCAATCTCGATCTGCAATACGACTTATGAGACGCCTCAAAAGTCCAAACAGCTTCAATCTCGATCTGCAATACGACTTTTGAGACGCCTCAAAAGTCCAAACAGCTTCAATCTCGATCTGCAATTCGTCAAGAACTTTCCAGAGGGTTGGGAAAAAGGAAGGGGGGGAGGAAGGTGGGGAGGAAGGTGAGGGAAAGGGAGAGCAGACGGACTTTGTGTTGGTGTCTTGCTTGGGAGATTAACTCGTTGCAACATTCGTTTCCTCCCCTCCACTCGTTGTCTCTGTCTCTGTCCCTGTGTCTGCATATCCCTTCTCTGTGTGTGTGTGGATGCATGGATGTGGGAGCGCAGGGAGGAGAGGAGACGGACTTTGTGTTGGTGTCATGTTCAGGAGCAGGAGTGCCGGAGGAGAGGAGAGAGACCGTTGTCAAGGCCAAGATGGTGAGTGCTTTCCCCCTGTGCTTTCCCCCTGTGCTTTCCCCCTGTGCATCACTTGCACACTAGTAACAAGCAGGAGTGCCGGAGGAGAGGAGAGAGACAGTTGTCAAGGCCAAGATGGTGAGTGCTTTCCGCCTGTGCTGATGGCACGAGTGCTGCTGGCAGTGCAGTTATGCACACTCTGCATCACTCTGCATCACTCTGCATCACTCTGCATCACTTGCGCACTAGTAACAAGCAGGAGTGCTGGAGGAGAGTCGGGAGAGAGTCGCAGAAGCCAAGATGGTGAGTTCTCTGCAATCCATGCCAGCTCGAGCAGTCGGCTGGGTTACCCCAGCCAGTGCGCGCAACCCAGGGCCTCTTCTCAAGCAGTCAGGGCTTCTGTTGATCTAGCAGTCAGACCCATCTGCATGCTGACCTCCCTATTTGACCCCGCCACATGCCATACAGGAAGCAGCGACCCATCTGCGCAACATTGGGCTTTTGAGTCGACTCAAAAGTCACTGCGCAACATTGGGCTTTTGAGTCGACTCAAAAGTCACTGCGCAACATTGGGCTTTTGAGTCGACTCAAAAGTCACAGCGCAACATTGCGCTTTTGAGTCGACTCAAAAGTCACTGCGCAACACTGGGCTTTTGAGTCAACTCAAAAGTCACTGTGCAACATTGGGCTTTTGAGTCGACTCAAAAGTCACTGCGCAACATTGGGCTTTTGAGTCGACTCAAAAGTCACTGCGCAACATTGGGCTGGGCACTGCGCAACATCTGCCAGTGCGCGCCCAAGGCCTTTCAAGCAACCAGGGCCTCTGTTGAGCGAGCCGGTTTAGAGACCCCCCCCGCTTCTTTGTCTTCCCCCCCCCTATAACGTGCAGGCAGCAGAGACGCATCTGCGCAACAGCGGGCTGGGATACACCTTAGTGCGCCCAGGGCCTCACACTTATGGGGGGAGAGCTGGGCCAAATGAATGGTGCTGGAATCACAGATTATTTTCCCTTCCTACTGCAATTTCCTTGCCACGTGCAGGCAGCAGAGACGCATCTGCGCAACAGCGGGCTGGGCTACACCATTGTGCGCCCAGGGCCCTTGCTGGAGGAGCCGGGAGGGAGGAAGGCTCTGGTGTTCGACCAGGGGAACAGAATCACGCAGGTGGGTGTTTTTTCTTGGAATTCTCAAATAGCAGATGCACCATTGTGTGCCAGGGCCCCTGCTGGAGGAGCCGGTGGTTCAGAAGGCTCTGGTCTGGTGTTCGACCACGGAACAGAATTACCCAGGTGGGTGCGTGGGTAGGTGGGTAGGTGAGTAGGTGGGATGGGAAAAGGAGGGGGTGGGAGGGTGTGGTTTGCGAATCTGTGCACAAAGCTGTGAAACCCTCCCCGACCCATTCCTACGAACCCCCATTCCCCTCTTCGCCGTACCCATCGTCCCCCCAATACACACACATCAGGGCATCAGCTGTGCTTACGTCCCTCCCCTCACCCCTCCTTGCCTTACCCATCGTCCCCCAAACACACACTCATCAGGCCATCAGCTGTGCTGACGTGGCAGACGTGTGTGTGAAGGCTCTACACGATCCGACGGCCCGTAACAAGAGCTTTGATGTGAGTGAATGCAGTAACCATGTGAATGCAGTAACCATGTGAATGCAGTAACCATGTGAATGCAGTAACCATGTGAATGCAGTAACTATGTGAATGCAGTAACCATGTGAATGCAGTAACCATGTGAATGCAGTAACCATGTAAATGCAGTAACCATGTTATTGCGGTAACCATGTGAATGCGGTAACCATGTGAATGCGGTAACCATGTGAATGCGGTGACCATATGAATGCGGTAACCATGTGAAATGCGGTAACCATGCGAATGCACTAACCGTGTGTACTATTCTCTGCACCGATTGCTTCTGTGCTGTCCATATGGGTTGTTATTCAATATTTATTCGTATGTTTTTCGCATAGAAGCCTCCTGTTCTCTAATCCCTCTGTGAATTTGTCCTAATATGGGCTAAAATGGATTGGTCTGTATCTGCTCATGTGTGCTCTGATTCGCTCTGTCCTGCAGATCTGCTATGAGTATACGGACAATGCGGGTCTGTATGAGCTAGTGAGTGCAACACACCTGGTCTCGCCTCTTCTCCACTCCATTGCTTCAATTCCTGCACTTCTGTTTCTTCTGCATTGTTGTTTGCTGTCAACCATGGTGCTCTTCCCTCTTATAGCTCCTCACTTTCCTCCCTGTCTCGGTCTCCCTCTCATACTATCTCCCTCACACACTGTCTCCCTCTCACACTCTCTCCCTCACACTATAGCCCTCTCACACTCTCTCCCTCTCACACTCTCTCCCTCTCACACTCTCTCCCTCTCACACTATCGCCCTCTCACACTGTCTCCCTCTCACAGGTGGCCCATCTACCTGATCGAGCCAACAACTACCTCACACCTGCACTCGCGCAGCTGGAAAAGAACACCTGAGAGGCCTGCAGCTACTACGCCTGACAGGGCTGTGGAAGGACCACCTGTCAACAGCTTCGGAACGAAGCATTTCTTGTGGATCGGATGTGTGACAGGCATGGGATGGGCGCATTCAAGGATCGTGATAGATGCATGGAAGCAGTGGCAAGCATGTCAATTTACAAGAATAGTGAAGCCTGCCTGTGTGTTTGCCATTTCTCCCGTTTGTATTGGAGATTGTTGCCAGCTGGACAGGAGCTGTAGAGCCTGTTGTTAGTCATCTACAGTATTACATCTGTCTGAAAGCCGGTTGTTGATGAAGCATATCGTTAAATGAATAGGTAATTGTGAAATTTATGAATTATGGAATACTCAACATTGGCTATGTCAACTACAAGTGCGCTCTCTGTGTAGTTACTGGTACTAGTAAAAGCCGAATGATTGATACTTAAGGAAAATATGTCAATGGTAACTTTCATGTGGCACTATAACGCGTACGGTAACGATTTCAACGCATGTGGTAACTCGCTTAACGCGTTTGGTAACTCGCTTGACACGTTTGGTAACTCGCTTAACGCGTATGGTAACTTAACACAGGCGAGTGATCACGCGAATGGTAACTAATTGAACTCCCGCCGAAACGATCCTGAAATAAAGGAATTTATCGAGTTTGAAAGCTTTTACGCACAGTTTTATTGTTTTTGAACAAGTCCCGTCGCGACTTTGAAGGACCCCGTTTGTTCTATTACCACGGACCGAAAAGTTTTAGAGCTGTTTTTTTATATATATTTAGCTCGTACAAAGATGGTTAAAATCATACTTTTGATAGCATGATTGTGAACTTGAAAAATGAAAAAAAAATTCCGCGAAAGGACCTCGGGGCTTCTACTTTTGTAATTACTGCAACGTTGGCCATTTTTTTGCATGTGAAAAAGATACACCTCTTTAGAATTACATGTTTCATTTAAAAAAAACCATAAACGCCTTGTCGCAAGGAGTATGGTTGATGCTCACAAATTCATTTGCCATCTGAAAGGGGTATAGATTTGTTTGCCCCGGCTGCACGATAGAATTGAGTACAAACAGTTTGCGCAAGAATATCAGCTATGTATAAATATTTGTCTTTGAAACACTTACGTTTTTGCATTTAGCTTGAAAATCGGAAAGTGTGTCAGGATTTCGGGAAGTGTGTCAGAATTTCGGGAAAATGTGCCAGAATCTCGGAGAGTGTGTCAAAGGTTTCTGCTTCAAGATTCGTCAATTAAAACCCGAGTCTATAATGGTGAGGATTCAAGTTCAAGATTCTTGAACTTGAGTTCGTGAAGAACAGGGTAACCAGGTTGAGAAAGCTTCTCCCTCGCGACCCACCGAGAAGGAAGTTGGTGGGCCAGAAGGTGATTGGCCAAATGCTCCACAGCAAAACAGCGACGAGCCTCGCCTGGAACAGACAAAAGCAAAACTCACTGTTCACACTTTCAGAACTTGAAACTCGAGAATACCTTTCTAGACTCGTAGCATAGTGGGCTCCATAGCCCTAGTTCTCGTCATTAGCCTAGCATAGTTACGCCCATCTCCGTACTATGCTAAGACAATAGTAGCACATAGAGACTGCCCTTCCCGTCGACTTTTCCGCGCATAACAAGTACGATCTGGTAGCCAACAGCAAATACAGCATGCCGCCTCGATGACCGCCGTAAGAACCAGTCGTCGCCACTGACGGTTATATCGCGTTAGCCGTCACGCGCATAGCCAATAGCAAAATCGGCTATGACACCTCGACAGACACTCCCGTCCCACACTCAATCCTGTCGTTCACAGACTGCTGTCGCTCTCCCGCTTCCCGTCATCCACACTCGCCGGAGGCACATATCACTCTCTCAATCCCGTCGCTCACTCACACCCGTCGCTCACTCAATCCCGTTGCTCACTCACACCCGTCGCTCACTCAATCTCGTCGCTCACTCACACCCGTCGCTCACTCACTCCCCGTCGCTCACTCACTCCCCGTCGCTCACTCACATCCGTCGCGCCTTCATTACCTACGCGCTGCCCCCCCTTCCCTACGCGCTGCTCCCCATTCCCTACGCGCTGCTCCCCATTCCGTACGCGCTGCTCCCCCTTCCCTACGCGCTGCTCCCCCTTCCTTACGCGCTGCTCCCCCTTCCCTACGCGCTGCTCCCCCTTCCCTACGCGCTGCTCCCCCTTCCCTACGCGCTGCTCCCCCTTCCCTACGCGCTGCTCCCCCTTCCCTACGCGCTGCTCCCCCTTCCCTACGCGCTGCTCCCCCTTCGCCTCGCCTCCCCTCCCACTCATCCCCTCTCCTTCCTTTCCCTCTCGCCTTCTCTCCTTCCTTCCCTCTGTCCATTCTCCGAAGAGTAGGGAGGGGGGCTGAAGAGACCTTTCTTCCCTCCCGCTTCACTCGCTCCCCTTGCTCACTCAGTTCCATTGCTTGCTGTTGCACGTCACCTTCACGCACACCTTGTCACAAAGGCACTTTCTCACTCATTTCTAATTGTTACCAACATCACTCCTGTCACTTGCTTCCCTCGCCGCCCCTCTCCTCCCTTCCCTCTCTCACCCCCCCTCCCTCCTCCAGTCCCTCCCGTCCTTCCCGTCGCGCACGTCCCTCCCGTCGCCCAACGCCTTCCGTCCAGCCCCTCGCTTCAGTCCCTCATTCGCTCCCGTCGTTCTCTTCCCTCCCGCCCCTCCCTTCCCTCTCCGGTTCTCGTCATTTTCTCTCATTCGCTCCGCTCACTCAATCCATCGCGCACTCCCCCCATCGCTCGAACGAACGCACCGTCCACACACTTGCATGTTACATTCACTCCCATTCCGCACACTCACTCCCCTCCTCTCCTCTCCCTTTCCCCGTGTCTTTCCCTCCGTTTCCCCCCTTGTTCCTCTCTCTTTCCTTGTGTCCTTCCCTCCTGCTCCCACCTCCCCCCTCCCTCCCTTACCTCCATCCCTAACTGTTCCTACCCCTCCCTCCTTCTCATCACTCGTTTTTCCCTGTCCCTCTGATCTCCGCCCTTATTCCCACACCCCACCCCTCCCCGTCGCAGGCACATATCACCTTACACCTTCCCTCCTCCCACCTCCCCTCCTCCCACCTTCCTTTGCTCCTACCCTTCCTTCCCTCTGTCCCGCGCACCTCTCTTCCGCCATCTTTCCGCCCTTCTCTCACTGAACCCTCTCCTCCTTTTTCTCCACACTCTTTGCTTTCTTCTCATATCATCTCTCTTCGCTTCCCTGTCCTCTACTCCCTTACCTTCACATCTCTTTCCATCCCACTCCTCTCTTCCATCTGCCCTTTCCTTCTCGCTTGTTCTGACCTCAGGGTTTTCTCAGGTTGCGCCCGATTTACGCCTCACAAAATTGTAGTGCAGCACCACCACTCGCCTTTCGCAGTTGTGAACCGGAAGAGTGATAATGGCCACGAGATGGAATATAACTGACTTGACTTGACACCGTCTCATCTGCTTAGTTTACGGTATGTCCCCTCTTTCATTAATTACAGAATAGTGGCACGCATCAGTAAATAACGTTACTGCCAGTCAATTGCCCATTTCAAGGCTTTATTTTTCGTTTCCCCTGAATCAATTTTACAAGTTTCTAAATATGTCTCATATATGTTCAGACTCTTTTTGTAACAGCATTGTCAACATTCCTGACCCAATCCCTTGATGCATCTCGGCTTCTGGCAAATTGTGGCATTTTTGTCCTTTCTGCAGCCTCCCTCGAATCTTGAACTCCAAAGCTGGGTTGGTTGTACTTCCTGCTTCAACCCTTCGCCACCCTTGTTCTGCGAATTTTACTCTCGCCACATTTCGCAAACCTAACTTCAACTTCAGTAAATATGGAAAGCTTGCCATTCTAGACTCGGGCTTTAAAGCGACGGTGCACATTTGCCACCCAAAACCCAAAACCCTGGCAAACTGTTACTGCGGATGGAAAGTGTCCGCACGAAATCCTGGTTTTCGCCAGCCAGCACTTTCGCGCTGGCAAGCCTGGTTAAAAAAAAAAACTTCTGAACCCAACACTGCCAAAAGTTGCCCGTCGCTTTAAGTCTGAGGCGAACGGGAAAAGCCAGAATCAGGGTCATTTTGGGCGAGGGTTTCTTCTAGTTACCATTCGCGTGATGGGCTGCTAGTGTTTAGTTACCATACGCGTTAAGCGAGTTACCAAGCGTCTTAAACGAGTTACCAAACGCGTTGAAATCGTTACCGTACGCGTTATAGTGCCCCATGTAAGTTACCATTGACATATTTTCCCGATACTTAACACTGTTGAACTAGGTCCGAATGATTGATACTTGACACTGTTGAACTAGGTGCCTAATGATGTACTCAGTAATTATATACCCATTACTTAACACTTTTCTGTGAGTGTGTGCGCCATAGCTACCAGTACATGCTTCGTAGGGCAATTGATCAAAATTGCTTTTGGTATATCATTTTTTTTCAACAAAACGTATAGATCGTCGACACATCATTAGTAGTCAATGTACACTCCCACTCATCAACCCAAACCCAGGAACCTGCTTCGGCGACGAGCCCGATCCTTGGGCAGTCAGCGCTATCATCTTATTATGCCGCTCAAACCGCTCTATTCTATCATGCCTCTCCATCCTCTCACTTCTCTCACTCTCCATTGCCTCCTGCTGCAATCGCCTTCCCACCGTCACAAATCTCTTCCTCCCAGCCTCAGTTTCCCCCTCCTTTCGCCCCACTCGGAACCAGACAGCAGCAGCGATGCAGAGGAGGAAGAGGGGGATTGCCACGAGGAACCACAGCCACCGCAGCTGCGGCTTGGAGTGGGATTGAGCCGCGCTGCTGGAGGGGGGAGCGGGAAGGGGGGGAATGGAGGATGGATGAGGGTGGGAAGAGGCGAGTGGGAAGGGAATACGAACGAGGGGTGACTGAGGGGAGAAGAGGGGGAAGGGGGGGGGTGCATGGCATGGTGGCAGATGGCACGAGAAGCAGCAAGCACTCATCATGGCATGGCATCAGCTTCACATCACCTTCGCACCCACCCGGAGAAGTCAGGAGGCGGCGCGTTGAATGAGCTGAGGTTGTAGGGCCCAAACGCGGGTGACAGGTGCATGGCAGCGTGGGGGATGGATTGAAAAGCAGGAAGCACCCCTTCACATGACCCTCACATCAGCTAGACATCCACCCCCTGACACCCACCCTGACACCCACCCTGACACCCACCCGGAGAAGTCAGGCGGCAGCGCGTTAAATGAGCTGAGGTTGTAGGGCCCGAACGCGGGCGAGAGGTGCATGCGTGGTGGCGGATGGTGGATTGCGGATGGCACGACAAGAAGCAGGAAGCACCCACCTTGACATCCCCTTCACATCACTTGACATTGACACCCACCCGGAGAAGTCAGGAGGCGGCGCGTTGAATGAGCTGAGGTTGTAAGGGCCAAACGCAGGCGAGAGGTGCATGGCGTGCTGGCGAATGGCATGAGAAGCAGCAAGCACCCACGTTCACGTCACATTGACATCACCCCGACACCCACCCAGAGAAGTCCGGAGGCGGCGCGTTGAATGAGCTGAGATTGTAGGGCCCAAACGCAGGCGAGAGGTGCATGGCGTGCTGGCGGATGGTGGAGTTGACGCGCTGCACGGTGATGGAGGGCAGGAAGGTGGTGCCCGCATACGGCACCAGCCACACCTCCGCTGCTGCCCCGCTGGGACTCGTGCCCCACACACTCTGAATCACCACCTGCTCGAGTGGGGACGGGGGGCAGAACCGAGGGGGGGGGGTAGAACCGGGGGTGGAAGGAGGTTGTTGGGGGGTCGGTGGGGAGGAGGACGTTTGGCTCGCACATGAGCACTCAGATCAGCTTGTTCCTGAGCCGGACGAGAGCAGGGGGAACCGCAGCTCCATGTCAACGTGGCTGGCGCACCCCGCACACCCCGTGGAGTCCACCGGGCGGTACGACGGCATGGCATCCGCTACAGCCCACACCATCTCACCTGCCCTTCACCAGCCCATTCCTTTCCACCCCTTGCTCCCCCCTGCCCATACCTGCCCTTGCCCCCCTGTGCCCTCACCTGTCCCGGCTCCAGCAATAATTCTCGGATCAGCTCATCAGTCAGCTGCCCCTCCAGCGCGTCCAGCTGTGCGGACGAGAGCAACGGAAACCGCAGCTCCATGTCCACGTGGCTGGCGCACCCCGCACACCCCGTGGAGTCCACCGGGCGGTACGACGGCATGGCGTCCGCCACAGCCCACACCATCGCCATGTCGTCGTCGCTGCCTGCTGGCCCTGCATCCGGCGCCCGCTTGCTTCTGCTGCTCGCACTGCTGCTGCTGCTGTCGCCTCTTACAGTCACATCCCTTGCAGGCACACCCCTTGTAGTGGCATCCTGTGTGGTCATGCTGCTTGGGTGGGTGCCCTCGTCAGGTTTGGGTCCACCTGTGCCTGCACCCAAGCCTGCTGCCGAACCTCCGCCTGACCGAGCCTGCTCCTCTGTGTACGGGTCCCGAGGATCCCTGCCCCTCCCTAACGGATTCATTGTCCTTGCTGCAGGCCGTATATCCGAGCCTAATTCCTCCTCTAATCCAGACCCAGATTCCGAACCTGCACCCAAACCTGGCTCCGGACCTGGTTCCGAACCAGGCGCGCCAGGCGACACAATGTGGGTCATGAGCTGGTCGCAGGGAGTCTTCCAGAAGCCCAGGCGATCGTTGACCCGGTCAAAGGTCAACATGGTGTTACGGAACATGAGACCTGGACGGGTGGGTCGGTGAGGGCAAAGAGAGGGGAGAGGATGGGCAAGGCACTGAAAGCAACTAGGCTGGGCAAAGAGAGGGGAGAGGATGGGCAAGGCACTGAAAGCAACTAGGCTGGGCAAAGAGAGGGGAGAGGATGGGCAAGGCACTGAAAGCAACTAGGCTGGGCAAAGAGAGGGGAGAGGATGGGCAAGGCACTGAAAGCAACTAGGCTGGGCAAAGAGAGGGGAGAGGATGGGCAAGGCACTGAAAGCAACTAGGCTGGGCAAAGAGAGGGGAGAGGATGGGCAAGGCACTGAAAGCAACTAGGCTGGGCAAAGAGAGGGGAGAGGATGGGCAAGGCACTGAAAGCAACTAGGCTGGGCAAAGAGAGGGGAGAGGATGGGCAAGGCACTGAAAGCAACTAGGCTGGGCAAAGAGAGGGGAGAGGATGGGCAAGGCACTGAAAGCAACTAGGCTGGGCAAAGAGAGGGGAGAGGATGGGCAAGGCACTGAAAGCAACTAGGCTGGGCAAAGAGAGGGGAGAGGATGGGCAAGGCACTGAAAGCAACTAGGCTGGGTAAAGAGAGGGGAGAGGATGGGCAAGGCACTGAAAGCAACTAGGCTGGGCAAAGAGAGGGGAGAGGATGGGCAAGGCACTGAAAGCAACTAGGCTGGGCAAAGAGAGGGGAGAGGATGGGCAAGGCACTGACAGCAACTAGGCTGGGCAAAGAGAGGGGAGAGGATGGGCAAGGCACTGAAAGCAACTAGGCTGGGCAAAGAGAGGGGAGAGGATGGGCAAGGCACTGAAAGCAACTAGGCTGGGCAAAGAGAGGGGAGAGGATGGGCAAGGCACTGAAAGCAACTAGGCTGGGCAAAGAGAGGGGAGAGGATGGGCAAGGCACTGAAAGCAACTAGGCTGGGCAAAGAGAGGGGAGAGGATGGGCAAGGCACTGAAAGCAACTAGGCTGGGCAAAGAGAGGGGAGAGGATGGGCAAGGCACTGAAAGCAACTAGGCTGGGTAAAGAGAGGGGAGAGGATGGGCAAGGCACTGAAAGCAACTAGGCTGGGCAAAGAGAGGGGAGAGGATGGGCAAGGCACTGAAAGCAACTAGGCTGGGCAAAGAGAGGGGAGAGGATGGGCAAGGCACTGACAGCAACTAGGCTGGGCAAAGAGAGGGGAGAGGATGGGCAAGGCACTGAAAGCAACTAGGCTGGGCAAAGAGAGGGGAGAGGATGGGCAAGGCACTGAAAGCAACTAGGCTGGGCAAAGAGAGGGGAGAGGATGGGCAAGGCACTGACAGCAACTAGGCTGGGCAAAGAGAGGGGAGAGGATGGGCAAGGCACTGAAAGCAACTAGGCTGGGCAAAGAGAGGGGAGAGGATGGGCAAGGCACTGAAAGCAACTAGGCTGGGCAAAGAGAGGGGAGAGGATGGGCAAGGCACTGAAAGCAACTAGGCTGGGCAAAGAGAGGGGAGAGGATGGGCAAGGCACTGACAAATTGACCCACTGAATCTCCGCTTGCGGTGCGTCAAGAGGAGGGTGCAACCCATGTGTGAGATCAAGTCACTCAAAGCAACTAAGTCACGCCACTCACCGCCAAGGATGGTGCCCTGGCCCGGGTTGGGGAAGACCCCGATGCAGAACAGTGGTGGAATGGAAGAGTGGGTAGGTGTGAATAGTACCAGTGCAGCCACTCACCGCCAAGAATGGTCCCCTGGTCGGGGTTGGGGAACACCCCGATGCAGAACACGCCGCTGCGCTTGCGGTGCTGGAAGAGGAAGTTCTCGGGGTCCAGGCGGTAGATGGCGCCTTCCCCAAATACCACCTCCACTGACGGGAAGAAGGACGCCAGCGTGGAGGCTTGTCTGCGTGGGAAAGAGGGGAGGAAGGGAATGAACAAGAGGGTCCAGGCGGGCGGTAGATGGCGCCTTCCCCGAATACCACCTCCACCGACGGGAAGAAGGCCGCGAGCGTGGAGGCTTGCCTGCAGGGAGACGAGGGGTACGTGTGGTGCAATGCAAAAGGGGCAGCAGAGGGGAGGTGAGGGAGGTAGCAGGAGCTTAGGACAACAGCAGCAGCAGAACGGACAGCAGGAGCAGCAGCAGCAGAACTCGAACACAGCCCATCAGTGCGCACAAACTACGAGGACACTCACAGAGCAGTCCAGGTGGTGGAGCAATAGCACATACTCTGGTACTGCGGCTCTGTATCCGTCAGCATCTTTAGACCATGGGCCACTAGTGGCAAAAGAGAAGTTACCCACAAAGCAGCAGCAGCAGAGGCCGCACTCACAATGCAGTCCAGGAGGTGGAGCGGAAGCACATGCTCTGGTACTGCGGCTCTGTGTCCGTCAGCATCTTCACCCCGTGGACCAGCGGCCACTAACGTTGCCAAGGGTGGCTTGAAAGCTACACCTCACAAAATACCCGCAGGGCAGCAGCGGCACACTCACAGCGCAGTCCAGGAGGTGGAGCGGAAGCACATGCTCTGGTACTGCGGCTCTGTGTCCGTCAGCATCTTGACGCCCCGGGCCACGCGTGCCATAACGCTGTGCTTGAACGCCTCAAAGAGCGGCGCGGGCAGGTAGGAGAAGGAGGTGCCGCTGTCAACGACGACGCCATAGCCCGAGGAGAAGAGCAGCGGGGCGTCCTCCACTGGGAGCGGTTCTCCCCCGATAAGAATTTGACTCACCACCACCTGATAGAAGGGCGTGCCGCTGGGGGTGGAGAGGGAGAGGGAGAGGGAGGGGGAGGGGGAGAGAAAGTGTGAGAGGAAGGGGGCGGGAACAGGGGGGATGAGAGGTTGTCCTGATAGAACGGCGTGCCCCTGGGAGAGGGAGTGGGAGCGGGGAGATGGAGAGGGAGGGGGAGGCGATCAAAACCGCCATTGACTGGTGCGCAAATCACCCACTGGCTCGCGCAGGTTACCTCACATGCGCACAGCACAAATTAACTGTGCCCGCCCGCTCACAAGCGCATGCGGTCGAAGCCCGTGTATTGCATCACTACTGCATCACCGCATGCATTCACTCACAAACGACTTTTGAGACGTCCCAAAAGCCGCTCACATGCGCATGCGGTTGAAGCCCGTGTACTGCACTGCATCACTACTGCATCACCGCAGGCATTCACTCATAAACGCACAAACCACCCGCTCAAACGCGCAAACACCCACTCAAATGCGCGCAAACACCCACTCAAATGCGCGCAAACACCCATTCGCATGCACACAAATCACCCCCTCACATGCACGGTCGAAGCCCGTGTACTGCATCACCGCAGGCGCGCGCAAATCACCCCCTCACATGCGCGCAAATCAACACCTCACATGCGCGCAAATCACCCCCTCACATGCGCGCAAATCACCCCCTCACATGCGCGCAAATCACCCCCTCACATGCGCGCAAATCACCCCCTCACATGCGCGCAAATCACCCCCTCACATGCGCGCAAATCACCCCCTCACATGCGCGCAAGTCACCCCCTCACATGCGCGCCAAATCACCCCTCACATGCGCGCAAATCAACCCCTCACATGCGCGCAAATCACCCCCTCACATGCGCGCAAATCACCCCCTCACATGCGCGCAAATCACCCACCCAAATGCGCGCAAACACCCACCCAAATGCGCGCAAACACCCACTCACATGCGCACAAATCACCCACTCAAATGCGCGCAAACACCCCCTCACATGCGCACAAGCTGCGCCTCCTCACATGCGCGGTCGAAGCCCGTGTACTGCATCATCGCAGGCGCGCGCAAATCACCCCCTCACATGCGTAAGCACCCGCTCAACCGGAAAAAACACCCCCTCACATGCACTAATCACCACTCACATACGCTAATTGCTACTCACACGCGCATGCGGTCGAACGCCGTGTATTGCATCACCGCAGGCGCGCGCAGCCCCACAGGCCCCATGATCATCGCCCCCCGCTCCCCCCCCAACCTCCCCATTTCCCCCTCCCCTCCCGCCCCTCCCCCGACTTTCCCTCCTCCACTCCCCATCCCCCCCTTCCGCCGCCACAATCCCCAGCCACTCCCCCCGTTCCCCGCGCCTTTAGCCAGTTCCGCGGATTCCGCTGCGCCTCCCCCTCCGCCGTAGCAGATGGAGAAGACCTCCGCGGCGACTGCGCGCGCGCTCACTAGTTGCGCCAGCAGGCTGTACGCCCCCCGGCCGAGCCCTAGCACGCCGTCCGCCGCTTGGCGGGAAAGCGCGCCCGTTTCCGCCTCCGCGCACCCGAACAGGACGCGCGGAAGGGGCGGAACGGGGCCCGGGGCTGAAGACTGGGCTTGCGCGGAAGTCGAGGAGGAAGTGGAGGGGGAAGCGGAGGAAGCTTCCGCGGGGGCGGAGGAGGAAGGGGAAGACGACGAGGAAGAGGCGGAAGAAGCGGAAGCGACGGCGGAAGGGGAAGGGGAAAACGGCCACCACCACCAGGAGAAAAACGAAAAGGAGGAGGCGGAAGGCCGAGAGTCTTTGCGGGCGGAAGGGCGCTCCTCCTTGGAAACAACGGTGGCGGAAGAGGCGGGCGCGGAAGGGGGAGGCGGGGGGGAGAAGGAGACGAGGTCGGAGGAGAGAAAGCCGTCACTGGTGCTCTCCTCCGCGTATCTCCGCGAGTACGCGCAGCGCTGCTGGCGGTCGCAGCGGTTCCCCGCGCAGGGGCCCCCGCGGCAGGACACGGGGAGGTAAGAGGTGGAGGCGGAGGGGGAATAGGGGGGGTTCTGCAGAAGCCGGACGGCGGATAGGGGGAGGGGGGAGTGGAATCAGAAAACAGAATTAGCGCAAGTCACCCCTTGGAATTATGTCTCACCGGTCATCCGTGCAATGGCTGCACTGATTCCGCCATGAGAGAAAACTTGCAAGACAAAGACACGACGACACGCACATGTTACGTGGTAACCCGATCGATCGCCGTACCATGTGAGCGCCGCACGGCGAGCAGGAGGAGCAGGGCACGATGGTGAGCGCGCTTCCCGTGTCCACCATCAGAGAGAATTAGAGATGCATGTGTTACGTGATAACCCGATCGTCTTACCATATGAGCGCCGCACGGCGAGCAGGAGGAGCAGGGCACGATGGTGAGCGCGCTACCGGTATCCACCATCAGCGAAAACTTGCGCGGCGGCGACCCGATCCACACGTCTACCGAGTAATAGCTGCTCGCGGAAAAGGGGGAGGGGTGGGGGGGAGGAGGGGGGTGGGATGACGGAGGAGGGGGAATGATTTTTTAGGTGAGTAAGAAAAGTGACCTGGACCACACGTCCACGGAGTAATAACTGCGCACGGGAAAGGAGGCGGGAGGGGGGGGGAGCCGGTAGTGGGGAGAGATCGGGAGGGCGGGGAAAAGCTAGAAGCACGGTAGAAGGGAGGGGGGGTTTGGAGGAGGAGGAGTTGGAGGAGGGGGGGAACGTGGGGTGATGGGGGGGAGAAGGGGAGAGACTTCAGATAGGAAAAATATCACGCAGGGAGGTGCTATACAAGGGAGGGGAATATAACGAGAGAGACACAGGTGCTGGTGAGATAAATGAAGCAACCGAAGGAGAATGAAAGCAACGGTGTTGCAACGTTAGGGTTTCGCATAAGAGAAGGAAATCATCGAGCAAACCCACGATTAACTGCATCCTAGAGCATTCTCACTCTGCAAGTACTCTAATAGAATTCAGGCGTATCGCAGTGTGAACTCCGATAAGAACGCACCCGTCCGTGCGGATGCTTCCATGAAGCCGCGACTGCATCTCTGACAGTCCACGTGGCGACATCTGATCCGTTAAATTGGACTCGAGAGCAACGGCGCCTGAGAAATGCAAAACGGATACGACCGGCGGAGGCCATCTGGTGTCATTGTCGTGTCGCGGCCGCTCCGCCCAGGAGGATTGCAACGGTCGTGTCGAAGATTGGGACGAGGCTCGGGACGAGGCTCGGACGTATTTTACAGAGGTCGGTCGACGAGTATGGTGCGAGATGTGGAAGGAGAATGATTCTCCGCCCGGTAAGAGGGTGGGTAGTGATAGAAGAATAAGAAATGAACTAAGTACGAAGGTCTTCGGACGTCTCTCGTGGAACAATAGTGCTAAAACGAATTTCCTTCTTAGATAGTCAGAAGCCATGGCTGGAAGTTTTGTCATTGAAATGCTCGTAACCCTAACTTATCATCCCATGAGTCTCTCAGTTGACCAACAAAAACAGGTGCTATCGACACATGTATTCGTCAGCGTCTACGACTTGAACCATGGAACTAAGTCCAGAGAAACCTCGTGGTATCTAACTAGTAATGCACTAGATCGTCACATCCCTGACTGGACGCTGCTGTCTGTAACCCAAAGGCTGTGACGTCACCAGTTCTTACTAATTGCAGCAGCTGGTGAGGGAGGAAGCAAACCCACTTGCTATCGTTCCACGTCATTCACTAGCTGACGGAGCCTTCTTCAGCCTATCGCATCGCATATACTGCAATCCAGTAAAGCTGGTTCTAGGGCCTAACCTGAAGTCTAGAACCAGCCGCCACCCCAGGCAAAAGGACATCAGATAAAAAAACGAGCTCCGCTGACCATGGGCTCGAGCCTGTTTCATCCGGTCCGTCCGTCCGTGTTTCTGACCAACTGCTGCTGTTCCACCACTGGTCTATGCGCGTTTGGCGGATTGCGGGGTTTCATGGGCTCCATGGCACGAGTTTTTTACTGGGGCAGGCAGGCAGAGTCAAGCTGGGCCACACCCGCACACACTGCCTGCTGCTTTTCGTTGGGCTGCCCGCACGGGCATTCATGGTTATGGCCACAGTTCCTCCAAACCGTTGGGGCGACATGGAATGCGGGCTGCTCGGGACGCAGGGCAAAGGTTTAGGCAAATGGTAACCATCTTGGCTCGGAACTTCGGACGCGCAGCAGACTTTGTCGAACTGCTTGTTTTGAGCGGCCAACTTCATTGATACTCAAATTATGCCAGAGACGTTTTGCGTCGGTACTCAACCTCGATTTCTCATTGCTGATTGGTGCTCGCTTTTCAATCACACTTTTCAAGCTAATAACACCCCTGAAACAGAACGCAATTACCAAACTCAAATATACACTATTGTGTCGATGTGCAACCTAAGAATAGACAAAAAAAACATTGAATACTCAGACCACTAAAATTTGTATCAGGCGCGAATTGCGTAAATATTAACAAAAAAACCCAATGGGAAAAAGGGTGCAGACTGGGAATAACTCAACGTATTAGGGTTGATGGCACCATTAACCCTCCATTGACCGCGAACATACTTACCTTGTACAGAAAAAAAAAAACCCCTCAGATGGCATTGATTCTAAACATCATGCGACAACGTATTTAGGGTTAATGCCATTCTGACTGGGTGCCTGTTAGCATGAGGGTTATTTTTAATTGCTCGCGGGTAACAGGCTCCGTTGGGCGGTGTTGTTTGTCCAAGCAGATAATGATAAGCACATGACAACTTCCCGAATTTAGGGTTAATATTTCCAAATTCTGTCCTGGTTATCCAAGCGTCTTAGTTTGCTTATTTTTTTTTGGGGTATGTGCGGAGCTGCAGGTGGCGACATTGTTTCAGGATTGCGCTTATAATTAAAACAGAAGTATTTGTAGTTACTATAGTGCAAAATTGTTGGTTGATTACGTTTGCAAACCGCTTCTGGCATAATTTGAGTATCAATGAAGTTGGCCGTTGTTTTGAGCCCTGAGGTGACAGGTTTGCACAAGCAGTCATCCCACGAGGGTGGAAAAGCGGCTTGGTGAGGTTGTAGTGGAGGTTCGGAGTTTGCTGCGGTCACACCTTCAGCAAGGTCTCGCGGTTGATCAGACAGTTCACACAAAGCGGTACGGGCAGGCTGGGTGGCAGAATAGGAACGCGTTTCGCTTGCAAGAGATTGCGCCATCGGTAATCCCAGAGATGGTCCTCATGAGCTGTTGACTGAAACGAGGGGAAGGGGAAGATGTTACTCTCGGGAACAGGTTCGCAATTCTGATCGAGGTTCCACCACGTTGTGATTGGTCGGTGGTAACGTAGTGTGATGTGGTGTGTCCCTTGCTAGCCATAAGCAGCAAAGCGTCAGCGGAGGTGTGGGCTGACTTCCACCCACGCCTGGGCTACAAAACACACGCCACCCTTGACTCGGACCCACAAAGAGTCTGCGTGGTTTGCTCACCTCTAGGCGACCTAGTTCCGAAGTGTGGTTGCTGTATAACTCGGCAAAATGCATCATGCCAACAACCATTACAAGCCTATGCAAGCCATCATATATGAAGCAACTCAATATCTAGAAACGAAAACAAGCAAACAAACATGACTCAAGCATGAACACGATCAAGATAAAGCCAAAATTTTGTGCATGCTTTGCGGAACCTTCATGCAACTGCACCCATTCCAAAAACTCCAGTGTAGCAGCCACCCTCACTGAACCTCATTCTTCTGAAACCTGTTTGGCAACCCTCAACCCCCTCCCCAGCAAACAGGTTGATTCGTTGCTCTGCACTGCCATACGTGCAGGCTAGATGCAGTTCCACATCCACTTGACCATCAACACCCTCACTCCCCCTGTCTGCTGCACCAGTCATCAATAAAGGCTGCTCCACAGGCTCCACACAATGTTCTGTAACACTACTGTTGCTGCGAGAAAAATCGTGCTCCGCTGCACCTTTCACGCACATTCCTTGGCTAGGCTCTTTGCCACCCACACCCATAAAATATCTGAGCTGGGGAGTGTCCTCCTCAAAAGGAAATTCATCATGCGATACAACCATGTCATCGCCTGCAGCAGCAGCAGCAGCAGCAGCAGCAGCACCACCCGCAGCAGCAGCAGCAGCAGCAGCAGCAGCAGCACCACCCGCAGCAGTCCAGGCTTCACCATCAGCAGCAACGGTCAGGCTGACATCAGCACTCGCCACCTGCGCCCCATCCTCACCAGCAGCTGCCCCATCATCCCAAGCGCGGGGAACCCGGCGCCCTTTATAGTCACGCACAACCAAGCGCTCTCCCTCCACAGGATGGTTGTGCTCGGAGAGATACTCCACAGTGACAGCGCTGAGGTCGAAGGGGCGCAGAGGGTGCGAGTTCACCACCTTGCGTGCAGGGCACGGTGCGGACCCTGCCGTGCGGTGGTGGGGTGAGCTGGCCGCGCAGCGGTAGTACGCCCTGAGTTTGCGATGGGAGGGAGAGGGACGAAAGATACGGGTGGAGGAGGAGAGTGAGGACAGGGGGTGTGACATCCCCACCACCTTGCGAGCGAGGCACAGCGCAACAGAGGAAACACGGAGGCGATGGGACAAACGCAGGAAAGCTTAATGGAACAGAGTGAGGCAGGAAGCATCACAATTCTGGGACTCCAGAGTGAGGGGAGGTGGTTACCTGCGCTGGCCGCCGTTCTTGGTGCTGAGCTTCTTCGCGCCGTACTTGAGCCACCGGTGCCCGTCCGCGCTCACCAGCTCCGCCACTCCGCGCGACCACTGGTGCTGCTCCCACGCCGCCGTCGCCGCCGCCGTCGCCTCCGCCGCCGCCTCTGGCGCCGCTGGCGCCGTCGCGCCAGATGCTTCCGCGGGTTCTTCCCCCGCCCGGGGGATATCTCGGCCTCCGCTGGAGCTTCCGCCAGAGCTTGCGCCGTCGCCCGCGGCGGGGCCGCTGCTCCCGCCGCGGCGACGGCGAGCGGCAGAGGCAGGGGTAGTAGCAGGTACCGCCGCGCTCGCCGCGTTGTTATGCGCCGAGTTTGCACCTGCGCCGCTGGCCCTTTTAATGCTCCTCCTACTAGGAGGGACACTCATATCCTCGGCCGACGTCTCCGTTGCACCATCCGCCGATGGGCGACGCGTTAAGGGCTGACGCGCTACGGGTTGGCCTGCTTCCGCCGCAGCGAGCGGAGGAGAGCCCGAGGGCTGCTGGAAGGCGGAAAAGCTTCGGGAGGCCGCCGCGAACTGAGCGGACGGCGCGGATGGAGCGACTGAAGCACATGGATCGAACGGCGCGAACGACTTCAACGGCGCGGATGGATGTTGCGTTTGCAACAGATAATCGGAACGCGCCGGTTGCTCGAGAATTCCGCGACTAGTAGCAGCAGTACCACCAGGAAAGCGGCCGACCGCCGTTTCCCACCCCGAGAGCGAAAAAGGGAGGCTCCCGAATGAGCCATCGCGGTCCGCAAAAGCGCTCGACAGCTGGCTGGGATTCGCCGCTGCGGCGGCTGCTGCTGCGGCTGCAGCTGCGATCGTGGAGGACGCGCTGCCTCCACTTCCGCCATTCCCCCGCTCGTCGGTTCGATCGGAGCGGGTGTTTCCGCCTTCCCCTTGCGGGAAACACGTGGCGCCTTGGCTTCTCGCGAGGAGGTGTATCTGACGAACCAATTCGGGCGTCATCTGCGGAATCGCATCGAGCGACATTTGCGAAATCGTCGCCGGCGGCGCTCCGGGTACCGCCGCGCGATTCAGGATCGCCATGTCGCTCAGCGTCGTGGCGAATGATGAGGGGAATGTTGATGGCGCCGCCGACGCCGGCGACGGTGACGGCGCAGGCGGCGGAGCCGCAAACCCGTAAAAGAACTGTCCGTGCGCCGCGTTTGGCGCAAGGACTTGGGCGAAGGGCGCGGGATGTACCATTGCTACTAGCTCGCGGAAAGTCGGCGGATGATTCATGGCGGCGACGGGCGAACCTCTTGATCGGACGGCCCGGGGAGAATCAAACAGAGCTGTTGGTAGTGGTTGGAGTTTCAAGCGGGTTGTTACCGTGGAAATTGCACGCGTCAGGTCGAGAAATGACAAGGAGAAGATCCGAAAATGACCCTCACGAGGAAATTGAGACGTCCCTTATGACATGGTCGGACGCGTGAGCGACTGAGCCCGTCGCCCAATTGCTGGCGATAAATCGACTCGGCGGCAGTTGCTATCGCCCAGCACGGAGCTGGACGGGACGAACCCTGATGCCGGTCAAGGCACTCCACCAGAATTTTGAGTGGTTATGGAATCAGGTCAGGTGCGAAAAATGCAGGCTCAAAGTATTTCGTGTCTGGCGCGACGCGAGATGCGATGCGGTGATGAACGTTGCCGCGGCGTGCACTCTTCTGCTGTGTGGTTCTGCGGTAGCGCTTCCAGTGGCGTCGCTATTACCACTGACGATGAGTGGATTAGTCGTAATAACAATCAGTCGCCTCAGTTCAGGAAGCGACGATGGATGTTGACCTCGCCTGATAATCAGGTTCCACAACAGCAGACTGTTGCCAATCTGTGCCTGACTGGGCCGATGATTGCACGGGATAGGTAAGGCGAAGGAGCCAAGGAAATTGGGAGAACACAGCTATGGCTGCATAGCTGCAATCTGACGATTCGTCGTCCGCGACAGAGCTGAAATGGCGACGCCTGTCGAATGTAAACTGCTTTCTAAATGAAACTGCTTTCCTTCTCAACTAAGGACTACGTTGGCGTGACTGGGTGCTGAAGACAGAAGAACCAAAGGAAGGAGATCCACCAGTGCAACGACTCTCCAATCAAACACGTCAAGCAATCTATAAGCAGTGTTCGCTTCGCGCTCTAGAAGCAGAGGAGTTGTAAACCCGAACAAAAGACACTACGTCGCAACGCAATTCGTGGAGAGAAATACTGTAGAACCTGGATCAGTGATTCATTCTTACTTGCATGGCCTTGAATTACTCGAGTGGCCATCAAATTTGGTGAAAATTACTCGAGTGGCCACGCCAGGGGATTCCCGCTGGCATTTTTTTTTTCCCGGCGCATTACCCTACAAGGGCTCGTATTCCCGAAACCTCTGTATTGATAATTGCGCGATTTTCAATTTACGCGATGATTTATAATGGATGTTTTCGCGTGATGATTTATATTCGAAATTTATGTTCGTGACTCTATATGACCGCGCCTGATTGGACGCGCATATAGTCGACCAATCATGCGCGGTTATTAATGGTCGGGCACATCATATATTAGTGCCCGATCATATATTTCCGCGATCATAAACTGCAATGCCCAGGCGTCAATGTGTGGGATATAAAATGACCGCGCATGATTGGTCGATTATATGCGCGGTGCTTTGTTTTGCAATGCGCGTCCAATCAGGCGCGGTCATATGGGTTCACGATCATAAATTTCGGATATTGAAGATCGCGCATTAATCATTACAGAGGTCTCGGGGGTACAAATCCTTGTAGGGTAATGCGCTGGGTAAAAACAAACCAGCGGGAATCCCCAGGCGTGGCCACTCGAGTAATTATCACCAAGTTTGGTGGCCACTCGAATAATTTAAGACCACGCGAGTAAGAATGAATCACTGATCCAGGTTCTACAGTAATTCTCTCCAATTCGTGACTCACGTCACGACGAGTCACGAGCAATCACCAGTGCTGCTGCTGAATGTGGCCATCGGTTTGGGGGTTCCTCCTCATACACCCTGTTTCGCGCCACACTGACATTCGCCATATTGACTCGCCGGTTGTACTGACATCAATGCGTCCAAATTGGTCCCAGAACATACCGTATAAGCACTTTTGCCGCACGAAACCGAACTCAAAAGCACGTTGTTTTTCATAAACCGTTGTCTACCGTTCTCCTGAATTGCATTTCGGTTGCAAGCACCAGCCCGCTGAATCCAAAAACACGTGCGCACTGTAGCCGGGGCTCCCGATTGTTCAAACATCGAGAAACAGGGTGTATTGCTGAAGACCACTGCAGCAGCACTGCCCGTCCTGCTGCAGCCCGCCAAACATTTCCTGCTGTACGAGTCTATCTTTGTTACTGTCGTGAAGCTGGGCAAAACGCAGCGGAGCAGCCATGGATTCTGGAACCCTGAAGAATGCCGTTGGGAAGTTGACGGGATTCGTGGCAGATCCACGTCTGCGCGCTGCCTTCTGCCACAAGCGGTTCCGTCTCCGTCTGCGTTTGCCCTCGGGTTTTGAGTTGAGCACGCACTGTTACTGATCATATTTGCTCCCCACGCATCTACAAGGCTTCTGGCGCACTGTTACTGTACAGTTTTCGCGCACAACGCAGAATTAGCTCCTTTCAACGCATTTTCGCTTTCATTGGTCGTAGAATTGACGGGCCGATAACTCTGCTTTGGTTGGTGGCCACAGAACCGTCAAACGAAAGCATTTCGGGCACACAAAAAATAAAACCCTATCGGGTGGCATGTCTTTCGAGGGAGACATCAACCCTAAACACCGGGAGACAAGGTGTTTAGGATTGATGCCCTTCCCAACGAGTATATTTTTCCCATGGCTTGTTCTCGATAGTGCTCAACCCCAAACACCATCCGGAAGGTGTTTAGGGTCGATACCTTTTTTCAAGGGGTATATATGATTTTTAGCACTAGAAACAAATAAAAGTAGTTACAGTTTTCTGTGACAGTATCCACAGGTTCGGTTTGTATTTATGTGCCATGTGTGGACCAATGAAATCAAAACTGCGTTGAAAGGAGCTAACTATGCGTTGTGAGCGAAAACAGAGCAGTAACAGTGCGCCAGAAGCGCTGAAGTTACACTGGGAGCGAAGAAGTTCAGTAACAGTGCGTGCTCAACTCAAAACCCTTTGCCCTCTCGGATGATTAGTCCACATTAGTTCCGTCAAGCACTGACTGATTCATGCCCCGTGACCGTGTTTGCGTTCAGTTCAACAATTATGAACAATTTTGAACAACTCTGGCTTCGTCTGCCCGACGGTTGTGTTTCCTCCACTTACGTGTAACGAAATCAACAAAATCGGCGGGTATACACTAGCCACCCCACCACAAACCTTCTTGGTGGGCTTCTTGACTTAGGACCAGGTGCACATTGGCCCGATCTGAGTGCGATTGCGTCAGATTGGGGCAACCTACCATTTCGAAGAAGCCGCAGGGGTATTTTAAGGCAATTGCATGCAATCGGGGGCAATCTGTCGATTGCGATCGGAAATCCGATCGATCGCGATCGATCGTCTCGATCTGACGCAATCTCTTGCGATCGATTGCAATCGTCAGATTGCTTCAGATCGCGAGGTTTGGCGACAGTTGCGAACGGTAACCCTCTCTGTCGAAAATTTTAGCAGCACCATCGGAGATCGCGATATCAGTCTTTCCAGACGCGCCTGCCCCCAAAAAGGGCTACGCTGTAACTGCGCGATTTCAAATTTCGCCAGGTGTCGCCAACTCTGCAGGGAAGGAACGAGTGAATTGCACAGAGCCCTCGCGGCTGATTCTCATTTACTTCCCCGAAATTCATTTTCTGATCGCGCGGCTCGGGACGCAATCGGCAGATTACCTAAGATTGGGGCAATCTCATGCAATCTGATCCGACCCGACCCGATCGGACGATCTGAGGCGATCGATCGCCCGATCTGCACCGAGTCCTAAAGTGCAACCTTCCTTCTTGAATCAGTCACTTGCCCGTGTCCCCCAATCTGCTGCAGCACTTGCTGCACAAGCCGGACTGTTTTACATGCCGACAGACCGTTCAGATGACGGCAATCCTTGCAGTACAGTTCATTGACGGTGTCCAGTCCAAATGAGAAAACGACACCTTTTCGAGCCCCGGTTCCTCAGAAAAGGACCACCGTGGCGGTGAGCGGCGTCTTCAACCGTAGCAAACGATAAATATTGCGGCGGGAGGCTGCGCTGGATGACTTCCCTGGCCGTTCTCGTTATTCGAGTAACTTAATCAGACACCCCAGTTTTATGAGTCATAAAAGCGGGGTATCCGTCCGAACTTGTAAAGTGGCGACAAATGATAGAAGTGTTCAATACTGAGGCTGCGATCGACATTCACACAAATAAAGGATCTGAAATAGAATCGAGGAGTTCGAACTACCCTTTCACGGCTGGAAAAATGTGCCTACTGTACACCCTGTTTCGCGCCACACTGACATTCGCCATATTGACAAGCCGGTTGTACTGACATCAATGCGTCCAAATTGGTCCCAGAACATACCGTATAAGCACTTTTGCCGCACGAAACCAAACGCAAAAGCACGTTTTTTGTTTCATAAACCGTTGTCTACCGTTCTCCTGAATTGCATTTCGGTTGCAAGCACCAGCCCGCTGAATCCAAGCACACGTGCGCACTGTAGCCGGGGCTCCCGTTTGTTCAAACATCGAGAAACAGGGTGTACTACAAACAACTCAACTTGGCAGCTTCTATCCAGTGACACTTGTACAGTACATCTTGCTCTGACTTGGGGAAGGCCGTGCACGCGTCAGCTGTTCAGTCGCCCGGTTGTGGGAGGATCTTCCCTTACCAAACCCATCCGGCAGCATCGATTTCGTGCGACAGAAACCCCAGTTGCGACCGCCTCCTAAATTCTGTTCGCATGGTTGCTGATCGCGAAACAGCTCCGGCTCAAAAAGTGGTGTATCTTCCTGTTATATAGGTTCTTATCAAACTAGGCACCCCGCCCTTTCCCATACCATCATCCCATGTTACCATATTCCCGTGCACCTCGCCAATGAAAATCCTTTACTAAAGCAATTATACGATGGATAAGCAAGAATAAAGGACCACAGTGGTGTACATGTTGACACAAATGCATGTTCTGTTGCATTGTTACTCCACAATGGTTGGCTATACTGTAGATATATATCACAGGCCATGCTTTGGCATCAAGCTTTGCAGTGTGAGAGCAAATTTGGGTAAGCCACGTCTCCCACACACATCCACTAGTCCCGAATCCTGCCTCCGTTTCCCCTCGATCACAGCTCCCCCCCTCCCTCTCACATGACTTGCAAAAGCATTTGCATTGGTAACAGCAGAATGAGCAGCAGCAGAACCACCAGCAACACTAATTGTTATGTTCCCTTTGCTGCTGCCCCTGCTGCCGGTGTTGATGTTGCTAAAGCAAACTGACCCCGCTGCTGCCACTGTGGGTGGTCTTGCCAAAGCCAGTGGTGGCACCACCACTGCTGCTCCTCCCACTCCTTCTCCGCCCCCTGCTCCTCCTCCTTTTTCCACACCTGTTCGATCTCCTGCTGTTGTTCCTGTCGCCGCCGCCACCGTTCCCACTGCCGCTGCCGCTGCTGCTGCAGCTGCTGACTTCCCTGCTCCCTCTGCTGCGTCCTTCCTTACTCCTGATGCTCCACCCTTCCCTACAAAAATTGCTGCATCGTTTGCTTCTCCCGCTGCTCCGTGCGGAAACACAGCAAGGCTCGGCCTCCACCCTGGAAGGACGTTCACAGGCCCACAGTCTTTGCCACCTGGCAGCATGCCAGGTGGCACAACACGCACCGCTGGCAGCGTGCCAGGTGGCAGCACAGGAGCTGACGCCAGGGGCGCCAGAGATCCACGTGGCATCCATTGTGGCATGCCACGTGGCACCCTCAGAGCCCCATTATACAGGAAGCCAGCAGCAGGAGGAGTAGCCATAGGGATGCGACCATAGCAGCCCATACTCCCTCCAGGAAAAGGCGTACTCTCTCTTAAACAAGGCACTCCCTCCTCAAAGGAAGGAGCCACACTCAGAGAGTTGCTGTGAGGCTCTGAGACGGATGTGGGTGTACGGGTGCTGCTGTGGGGGGCTAAGGCCAGTCCCCCCCAGCCTTGCACGGGCTGCCCTGCTGCCCCTCCCCAGCCTTGCAACGCATGCCCTTGCGGCCTCCACGCTCCTTCTCTTCCCCATCCGTCACTCCTCGCTCTGCATCCGCCTCCTGTTCCCGATAACCCTCCTGCTCCACCCCCTCCTCTTGCTCCCCTCTCTATTGCTCCAACCTCTCTTGCTCCCCTCTCTAATCCTCCACCTTCTCCCAGTCCCCGCCCTTCTGCTCCCCCTTCACCTCCTAACCCCCCCTCTCCGTTTTCTCCCCTCTCTCCTCCTCTTTTAGCTTCCGCCTCCCCAGTCACAGCCTCCTCAATTACAGCCTCCCCAGCCACAGCCTCCCCATGTACAGCCTGCGCAGGTACAGCATCCCCAAGAACAGCCTCCCCAGGTACGGCCTCCCCAGGTACAGCCTCCCCAGGTACAGCCTCCCCAGGTACAGCATCCCCAGGTACAGCCTTTCCCGCTGGTTTCCCAACTGCTGCTGATGCTGCTGATACCCCTAATGGTGCTGACGGGGCTGACGGGGCTGATGCGGCAGGCAGGGTGGTGGAGGGGGAGTGACGGCTGATCTCAGCAACAGCAGAGACTTTTTGAGGCGCCTCAAAAACAGGTTGTGAGAGGGTGGTGGAGGGGGAGTGACGGCTGATCTCAGCAGCAGCAGCCAGAGCAATCAGCGCAGAAGCTGCGCCTCCTGTATCCCCCTCTTCCTCCACCCCCCCACATCCGCCCCATTCGGATCCACCCCTTTCCGGTCCACCCTCTCTCCTCCATCCTTCCCTACTCTCATCTGCTTCTGCTGCTCCCCCCTCTCCCCTCATCTCCCCAGCCTGAACCCGCCCATCCTCATTCCCACGCCCATCCATGCCTCCTCTGCTCCCCTTCCCTCCGTCTCCTACCACATCCGGCTCTACTCCCTCACCTCCCGCCCCTTTCATCTCCCTGCCTCCTCTCATCTCCTCTTCTCTCTCCACCTCTCCCCTCATCGCCGCGTCTCCCTCTCTCTCCTCGTTCTTCCTGTCGTCCCAAGCTTGAACCCGGCCCCCTTCCATACACATATCCCTGCCGCAGGAAGCTCGAACTTGACCCTCTTCCATACGCATATTGCTGCCGCAGGGAGCTATGTTTTTCTTCGGATGACTCTCAAGAGCACCTGTCTCAATGCACATGTCGATGCAGACTGGCTTTTGAGTCGACTCAAAGGTCATCTGAGGAACGCTTGATGGGGATGACATTTGAGGAGCCTCCTGAACGTTTGTCTCGATGCACATATCGGAGCATAGTGGAGCTTTGACCGCCTCAACACTCGCCGCTTCCTTCCCTGCTGCGCTTTTTGTTACCGCTGCTGCTTCTGCTGCTGTTGCTGCTTCTGCTACTGTTGTTGTTGCTGTTGCTGCTGCTGCCGCTCTTGCTGTAACGAGACCATCCATGCCTCCTCCTCCCAATACCACCTTCTCTTCCCTGTGAGATTTCTCAGGAACACCTACACCTCTCAATATCACCTTCTCCTCCTCGTTTCTGACCTCCCTCGTCCTCTTCTCTTCCTTGCCCTCCCACGCCCCCACTCTATCACCCACCGCCCGCCCCTCTCTCTCCTTCCGCTTCCGACTCACCTCTCCCCCAATCCACGAGGCTCGACTTGCAAGCCACACCAGAGGGGAACTGATCATCCCTGCCGTCCCGTCCTCTCTCGTCACTCCCGCCGCCCTGCTGTCTCGCAACGGGTGCACGCCACTGCTAATACCCAACCTCAGAGCACTGTCAGAAGCACCCTGCACTGCCCTGCCATCGCACAGCGGGTGCCTGCCGTTGCTGGGGGAAATCCTCTGGCATTCCTCAAGCGCACCCTGCACCCTGCACTGCCCTGCCAGAGGATTCTGCACTGCGTGCACCCTGCAATGCGTCTCTCTGATATTCTGCACTGCGTGCACCCTGCAATGCGTCTCTCTGATATTCTGCACTGCGTGCACCCTGCAATGCGTCTCTCTGATATTCTGCGCTGCGTGCACACCACTGAAAGATGAGCCCATTCTCTGAGAAATCCCAGGAGAGCCCTGCGGCTCTCTGCCATCTGGCGAAGGGAGCATGCCGTTGCTTGGGATAATCCGCTGGCCTTTCTTCTCAGGAAAGCCCTGCGCTGTCCTCGCATTCTCAGGAGAGCCCTGCGCTGGCCTCGCATGCTCAGGAGAGCCCTGCGCTGGCCTCGTATACTGCAATGCGCGCCTTTCACTGCTTGACCACATTGGCTGCTGTTGATGCTGCAGCTGCTGGGTGACAGGTGTAGCAGCAGTTGTGGAAGCAGTTGGAATGACTGCAGCAGCCATGGTCGCAGTGGCAAGAGGAGCAGCAGCAGCACCACCAGAAACAGCAGCAGCTATATTAGCAGTAGCGACATCAGTTGAAGCAAAAGTGGTAGCAGCGATTGTAGCAACAGCTTTAGCAGCAGATGTGGCAGCAGTTGTGGCAGGGACAGCTGAAGCAGAAGCAGAAGCAGAAGCAGCAACAGCAGCAACAGCAGAAATAGCAGAATCCGCAGCACGGAAACTACAGGGAAGGACACCCGGGTGTTTGCGAGCTGCTGGGGGAGGTGGAGCAGAAACAAGAGGCAGCGTCGGAGCAGCAGAGGGGGAATAGCCAGCAGCGGGGACGCGCCTGGTATCTTGAGCCACTTCATACGGGGCTGGTGCTTCTGGTGCTGCTGCCGAACCCTTGCCATCGCCACCACCACTACCACCGCCACCGCTGCTGCCACCGCTGCTGCCACCGCCGCCGCCGCCGCCCCTGACGTGAATACGACCGCTGTTGCCGTCAGAGCTACGAATCTTACCGGCGCCACCGCCACTGGCAGCACTGTGATTGTCTTCAGTACTCCGGTTGAGATCCCAGCCCCCACTGCTCGCGTTGATGCGATAACTGGGGTCGTTTCGACTCACACTGTTGGCCCACGGCTTGGGCTGGCGAAAGCTGCTACTGTTAGTACCAAGACGAATATCTCTTTCGCCACCACATGTGGTAACCGGCAAGAGAGACGCGAGACTGAGCGTTCTGCTCCGGATTCCGTCCACGTTAGTAGCATTGCTGTTGCCGTCGTGACTAGAACCGTCGGAGCTGGCAAGGCTGGGTGCTGCTGGATGGTGTTGCTGGCGGCTGATTGGCCGAGCCAGAGGCGACAGGTTCAAGCGGCATGGTGGCATGCTGTTGTGAGAGCGGAAAAGCGGTGTATCCGCGCCGGCGCGACGTGGCGAGAGGTGAGCTGGGGATGTTGGTGATGTATGCTGCTGCTGCTGCTGCTGCTGCTGCTGCTGGTGCGGTTGTTGTTGCTGCTGTTTCTGCTGTTGCTGCTGATAGTGCTGCCAGTGTTGTTGTTGCTGTTGCAGCAGTTGTCGCTGCTGCTGCTGCTGATGCTGCTGTTGCTGTTGCTGCTCCTGCTGATGCTGACGCTGATGCTGCTGCGGATGCTGTTGCTGCTGTATCCATTCGTGTTGCTCCTGTTGTCGCTGCTGCTGCTGTTGTTGCCACTGCTGTTGTTGCTGCTGCTGATGCTGTATCCATTCGTGTTGCTGCTGTTGCTGCAGATGGTGCTGCCAGTGTTGTTGCTGTTGCTGTAGCTGTTCTCGCTGCTGCTGCTGCTGCTGCTGCTGCTGCTGCTGCTGCTGCTGCTGCTGCTGCTGCTGCTGCTGCTGCTGCTGCTGCAGCCGCACCTGCGCGTGCAACGAGTCCTGCGGCTCCGGCGAATCCTGAATCCCCCCTCTACCACCCGCCACCGGCAGCTTCCGCTGAGGCGGCGAATCCGCTGCAGCAGCGGCTGTATCCGCGCCAGATGCAGCAGCAGTGCCAGACGCGGTAGCAGCGCAGGCCGGGATGGCGGACACCGGGGGGTGGTTGTGCGGGGACCCCGCGAGGTGCACGACGGCCATGGACGCGTGGATAACCCCCGTGGACGCGTCGTAATCCACCAGCTTCCGCGCTCTGCACGGCTCCGCGCCCGGCGGTCGGTACAGCGGGTTGCTCGCCGCGCAGCGGTAGTAGGCTCTGGAAAGTGGTAAAATTTCGGGATATGGTGGGGGTTTAGTGGATAAGGAAAAAATGCCACTGCGAAAGTTTTTTACCTACAAGGACTTGAAATCTGAGGCGCGTACACGACGCGCACTAAGCGTGTGGAACGCGTGAGGTACTACTATAGCAGGGGACGGTATTCCTTAACAAACTCCTCAACCCAAGAGTTGCACGAGCCATCGTAGCGTGTACGACAGTAAGATTAGTAGTATTGTTATCACCTCTTCTGACCGAGGCCTCGTTTCAAAAACTTGGAGCCGTATTTGAGCCATCGATATCCGTCAGAGTTCACGAAATCCGTCGAATCCTTCGCATCGTGCCGTTCCAGGTCAGGCGAGACCGGCGCAGCGGGTGGAAAATCTTCCTCCAACTCCATCGTGCGACCCGGGGTTTACGAAACGATATAGTACTAGTAACGTATAATCCCGACTAAACTTTTTGTCGTGTCGTACTCAATCACTTGACAGCGCCGCGTCTGTCGGCGAAGCTCTGTATCGTAAGTACCTATGTACATCAGGCCAACCTAAAGGTAGTACTACGCATGGCGTTTCTTTCTCTAGAAAAAATAAGGATGGTGAGATGCACAGCCGCCTTGGAAATGTTACGAACTGGGCTAAACGGCTTGACTTGAAGTCCCGCCTGTTAAAGCCGGCGGCCCAAATTGTTCATGCTTTTAAAAGTTGACCAGAGGGAGTTTTTCTGGTGTGGGCTTTGGCGAGAGTTTCCGATTTCGTCTAGGTTCGTTTTTTTCGCGAGACCCAGCCAACCCTCGGTTTTCCCCCTGGTGAGTGAATCTGTCTTCGAAAGTCCCAAATTGCAAGTGCGTGACTTTCAAAAGCTTGGACACTCAACTTCGTCAAGTTTTAAAAACTTGACCCTCGCGGCCCGCAATTTGGGACGCGGGCTTTAAGCCTCGACCAGTTTCGTTTCCGAGCCTTGAGAAGTCCTCCTGCTGCAATGTAAATTCCTCCCCCCGCCTCCCCTCCCCCTCTGCGCACCCATGCGCACAACTCCTGTCTTGTTGCATTTGCCACGCCACTGCAACGCATTCGATTGGTTGCGTGAGCTCGTCCTCCCCACAGGTGGTATCGGGCAGGAGCTGGAAAAAAAACTCCTCGGGGATACGAAAGCGTTTGCGGTTTGCGTGCAGAGCCAGCTTGTGCTCTAGTCTGCCCGCAGATCTGCCCGCAGCTTGCTTTTCTTTCATTAAGCGCTTTACTGGTGGAAAGGGTTCCAAATGGGGACCATTTTAACCAGTCAGTATCCTTCCTAAGAAACATATTCTCGTTTAGGAGTGTTCAATACTCTGAAGTATCAGGGTAAATACGCCTGTTCGTAACATCAAGGTAGGTATGGTATAACTGTTCCGGTCAGTGCAACTGCCAGAACAACGCCAGTAGCCCCCTCGGGTCTTGTTGTGGCTCGTCCCTGCTACGCTCGTCACTCCTCCCCTCCCCACATGTCGTACACCCCACTCCTGCCTGACCTTGCTGACGAAGAACTACAGAAGGTGGTTCCTAGAAGGGAACAACCTGCCCGACCAGCTAGACCCGGCAAAAACCACTGAGGGACTTCTGTTTGAAAATGGCGAAACCCCTGAAAACATTTGGTGCTAATTGCAAAAATGCGACAGAGATTGGCACCTGCAGTACCGCAAGTGCTGCCTTCAAATCCACACAGATCGATTCGCCCAGACCAACCTACGAGAACCAACCAGCCTACTTGCTGACCGATAATATTATTGACCTAGCCAAGTGCGTAGGCTCGGCTGGTTGCTGGTTGGTGAGCAGAGCACCAGGCTAGGCAGGTCACGCTTCCTAGCCACCCCCACTTGGATGCACAGAACAGCGTTGGGAGGAAGCGCAGTCAGGTGGGTTGGCTTGGGACTCGGGACTCGTGACGGATTCTGCTACAAGCCCGCTGACCACGACACGAGCAGATGACGGCTGGAACGACCACACAAGCAGCGACCACAGAAACTTGCCACGGTTGCAGAGAAAGCCTCCACCTGACACGAGAAGCTGCCGAGTCTTGATCTTGTCGGGAATATGCCGATAGGAAATGAATGGACACGACACCAGCAGCGGAACAGCCAGTCGAGGTGCTATTTATGCTAATGAAGATAAGGATAACAATTGGCATAAGTGACCCTGATTAATTTAACAAGTTGTACAGTTCATCCTCCCTTAAATAACAACCTGCTTTATACCTTTGTTATGAATCCACCAGCCTAAGGGCAAACGGAAACCATACAATGATCTCAAGTTCAGTCCTGTCCACATGAGCCTAGGTCAAGGTTAGTTGCGTTGCAGATTTGTGCTGCTTATGTTTTACACATGATTAAGAGGAGTCACCATTTGGAGGTTGCGGCTTGCTGTCTAGTCTGTGCTGCTTCTCAGCAGCTCTAATCCAGGGATGCCCTGCACGTAAGAAGCACCAAGTGCAAAATGAATGGGAAGGGCAACAGTGGAAATGGTAAGGGAAGCAGTTGAAATGGAACGAACAACACTGGAAAATGGAAAGGGGTGAAAGTGGAAACAGGAAAGGACGAAAGTGGGAGTGGGAAGGGCAACAGTGGAATGACACCCACATGGTCTTCCAGAGGAAACTCCACCCGTCCAATCGGGCTACTCGACATCGTATCTGTGTAAAAGGAAAGCAACATGTGCCTCCTTCCCCCACTCCTCCTCCCCGTCCACATCCCCCCCTTCCCCTCTCTCTCTCTCTCCCCCCCCCCTTCCCTTTTTCTTGTCTACACAACCACTCTAACGCACGCAGCTAGCCCACAGCCCTCCCCACCAGACTCACCGAATATCTCAAGTGCGGAGATCCTCCGCCTCACGTCCTTCGTCAGCATCCTCTTCACGAGGTCCTTGGCGCCGTCCGACACCGCCGCCCAGCGCGGGTGGCGGAAGTCGACCGCCGCCGCCCGCACGCTCTGCTCCAGCTCAGCGTTGGTCGCCGCCCAGAAGGGTGGGAAGCCGCAGAGGAGGATATAAAGGACGACTCCTGCACTCCAGATATCGCACTCTGGCCCGTAGCTCTTATCCAGCACCTCTGGAGCAGTGTACTCCACCGTGCCTGCTCGTTCCGTGCAGGGGACGCCTGACGAAGGAGGGGAGGGGGGGAAGTGGGAGGGGGGGTGTGGGGTGGGTGGGTTAAGGAAGGGGACCCCTGCGCTCCAGATGTCGCACTCTGGCCCGTAGCTCTTATCAAGCACCCCTGGTTGAAACAGTGTACTCCACCGTGCCTGTTTGCTCCATACACATAAGTTTTTCAAATCGTCCCAAAATCACTGCGCTGTCCGTCATCGCCTGTAGCAGTGCCCGTACCAACAACTCCCATCTCACCTTGCTTGTAGAAGGTAGGACCGCCAAAGTTGATGAGTTTGATCTTGGTGTCCACGTCCTTGTCACACATGAGCACGTTCTCCCCACGTTCCCCTCACCTCCTTTGTACAACTAGCAGCAGCAGCAGCAGCAGCAGCAGCCCCTCACCTCGCTTGTAGAAGGTGGCAACTCCAAAGTCGATGAGTTTGATCTTGGTGTCCACGTCCTTGTCACACATGAGCACGTTCTCCGGCTTCACATCGCGGTGAATCACCCCGTTGGAGTGGCAATGCAGCAGCGCCTCCACCAGCGACCGGCACACGATGGCTGCGTCTGTCTCTTTGAACTGCCCCCGCAGCTTCACCCGGTCGAATAGGTCCCCTCCCCGACACATCTCCATGATCAGGTGTACATACTGGCAGGGGGAGCAGGAGATGAGGAAGGGGGGTGGGGGGGGAGAGAGGGGGGAGGTTTGAGCGGGCTTGATTAGTCACTGTTAGAAGGGAGTGGCAGTGCAGAGCAGAGTGCAGCAGCAAGTCGACGAGAGAGCGGCACACAATAGCATGGTTACTTTTGCATCCTCGAACGAAGGCGCCGTGCAGGCTGATGATGCCCGGGTGGCTTTTGAGACGTCTGAAAAGTCGACGAGAGAGCGGCACACAACAGCGTGGTTACCTTTGCATCCTCAAACGTGTCGTGCAGGCTGATGATCCCAGGCCCCGGGTGGTTGCGCAGCATGGCATGAGCGGCAATGTGAGAGTGGGAATCTGGTGCCATGGGTACCTTTGCATCTTCGAAGGCGTCGTGCAGGCTGATGATCCCCGGGTGGTTGCGCAGCATGCCCAGTATGATCACCTCTGTGCGCACGTCCTCTGCGTCCTCCATGCACTGTGGGGGGTTACGGTGGGGTGGGAAGGCGTTGGAAGGGGTGGAAAGGGGTGGTGGTTGCAATATGGGATGGTTGCGCAGCATGCCCAGGATGATCACCTCTGTGCGCACATCCTCCGCGTCCTCCATGCACTGAGTGGGGAGGGGGACCGCAAGGGAAAAACAAGAGGCAGGAATGGGTGGAAAGGGGTCGTGCGAGGTGAGGTGCGTTGCGCAGCATGGCCAGTATGATCACCTCCGTGCGCACGCCCTCCGCGACCTCCATGCACTGGTGGGGGTTGCGGTGGGGACGGGCAGGAAATGGGATGGGTTATGGGATGGGGGTATACGAATTGACTTGCAGGCGAACATCACGTGAGTCTTGCGAGAGCGGCGCGTGCCGATGAAACCAGAGCCGTACATGCCTCCTCCCAATTGATAAAAGCGTAGTTTTGAGACGTCTCAATACTACACTTTTATCACGCGAGTCTTGCAAGAGCGGCACGTGCTGATGAAGCCAGAGCAGTACATGCCTCCTCCCAATTGATAAAAGCGTAGTTTTGAGACGTCTCAAAACTACACTTTCATCACGTGAGTCTTGCAAGAGCGGCACGTGCTGATGAAGCCAGAGCCGCACGTGCCTTTACCCAATTTCCGACCACGTCCTCCAATTCCCTCCCCTCCCCTTCTCTCCTCCCTCCTCTCCTACCTCCCCACCCCCCCCCCCCCACCCTCCCCCTCCCCAGCCTCACCTTGACTTGGTCCTTCCTTATCGTCTTGCACGCCAGCACCACGCGAGTCTTGCGGCTGAGACAAGTCCGAATGACGCCGTACCGCCCGCTGCCGATCTTGGTGGCGCTGACCGAATAGAACTTCTTCACATCATCGTACGGCATGCGCAGGATGAAGTCTCGCCACCGCATGCTGCCAGAGCTCATCACCTGGTGGGGAGGGGTGAGGAGGGGTGGAGAGGGGTGAGTAAGAGTCTGACAGATTGTTGCTCTTGGTGGCGCTGACAGAGTATAAGCTCTTCACGTCGTCATACGGCATGCGCAGAATGAAATCTCTCCGCCGCATGCTGCCAGAGCTCATCACCTGGAGAAAGTGGGTGGAAATGGGTGGGGAGGTGTGGGGATAGATGAGGATGGGTGCAAGATGGGGGCTCCCCAGTGACACCTTAGCTGATGTACTGGCTCAGGATGCTATGCTGCCTCATCACTCTAACACTCACACCACACACACCGACTCACAACACACGCTCAAACTCACAGGAGACGTATAACCGCACTTACCTGCCACATGTCAGCTTCAGCATCCCCTTTCTCGCCCTCCCCATCGCCTCCATACGTCCCCAGCTCCCCTGTAAGCCCCCGGCTGATGTACTGACTCAGGCTCTTGAGAAACTGCTCTGCATGGGGATCCACTGTGTTGCGCCTCTCCACCCGCATCCCCTCCCCCACTCCCCCACCTCCCCCCTCCCGCATCCCCTCCGCCCCGCCTGGAACCTCCCCCCCGACCCCCACCACGCTGCCTGTCCTCCGCACCCCTTCCCCCCTCTGCCCTGCGTGCCCCTGTGCCTGGTTATCCAGCCCTGTGCTTTCACCTGAGATTCCACCTGCTTGCCCTGCTGCTCCGCCTCCCATCCCTCCTCCTCCCGCCCCTGCTCCTGCGCCCTTACCCGCCTCAATAAGGCAGTTCGTACTCATATTCCTCCTCAGGTTACGCACAGAGCTACCACTGTTCCCACTGCTGCTACCGCCGTCGCCGCTACTGGCATTAGCAGTAGCAGAACTGGTAGGGTTGATGGCAGTAACATCGCTGCTGCTGCTGCTGCTACTGCCAATGATGTCTCCCCCCCACCCACCTGCACCACCGCCAGCCGCCTGTCCTCTCCCCTGCCTCCTCTGCCACTGCTGCTGCTGCGCCTCCCGCTCCTCACCTTCCCCCTCCCCCCCCTTCCCCGTCTCCCCCCTCCCACCCGCCCACGCCCGCCGCCCTCTCGTCCCTCCTCCCCCCATCCACCCTCACTCGCCCCCACGCTGCTGCCCTGAGCCTACCGCTGGGGCCAGAGGCGGTGCTGGGGCGATCAGGGATAGAGCCGTGGGAGAGAACAGCTAGGGGGGAGGAGTCCAGCCCAGCACTATCCAGGGACGAGCAAGCAGGCACCACTCCCCCCCTGCCGCCGCTGCCAGCGCCCCCACCACTGCCGCGCGCACCAGCAGCAGCAGCATGCGCAGCAGCAGCAGCAGATGTAGCGCCCATACGTCCCATGCCCCCCCGCCCCGCGCCCATCCCCGCACCCGCCCCACCCCTCTCCGCGCCTCTCCCACCACCTCCCCGCCCAGACCCCTGATACCCCCCGCCGAGCGCCCTGCCGGAGGGGGTGAGGGGGGAGGCGGGCGCGGGGGGGCTGGCGTGGGGGTCGCGCGCGGAGTGCAGGCGGTTGAAGGCCAGGGAGCCCTGCACGCGGTGGTCTGGCAGGAGCGCCTGCTCCAACCGGCTGCTGCTCCCCGCCTTGCGCAGCTCATACGCTCCCCCACCCGCGCGCACCCCTGCCCCTCCCGCCCCGCTTGCCCTCCCCGCTCCGCCCCCTGCTCCCCCCGCCTCCCCTGCTCCGCCTGCCATGGCAGAAGCAGCGCCCCACACGTCGTCGTCCTCGTCCATCCCGGGGGACGGCCGCTCCCGCGCGCTGCCCCGCATCACCGCTCCCCCGCCTCCCCCGCCTCCGCGCGCCGCAATCAACGCGCGGTTCCGCCCAGGCGTGAGGGGGAGCTGCCCTGCGCCCGTAGCAGCGGACGCATTCCCCCCAGCGGCGGCAGCCGCGGCTGCTGCTCTGTCTTGGGAGAATTCGTTGTGATAAGGCGAGCGCGGGGGCTTGGGTGATTGCAAAGCAGATGGGGTAAATTCCCCTAAATTTAGATTATCTCCCCACGCGCCGCTGCCCCCTCCCCCCATGGTTAGGGGGCTGCGCGGCGGAAGAATGGACCCGCCCCCTCCGCTCCCCATCCGCCTGGGGGACTCTATTGCTCCCCCTATCCCTCCCGCCCAGGACTGGTCCGCGAACGAGTGGTGCCGGCGGTGCTGGCCGGCCAGCTGCCGCCCAGCCACTGCAGCAGCGCCCGAGCCTGGCGCTGCCGAGCCTAACAGTCCCGAGCCAGCAGGCCCGGGGCCAGCAGCGGCGCCAAACCCAGTGCTGAAACCCTTGGGGGTGAGCAGGCGGGGAGACATGGCGTCAAACACGGGGTCTGCGCCAGAGGCATATAGCGCATGGGGGGGAGAGAGGGACAGGGAGAGATCCCCCTCTGCTGGCTCCGCCCCTTCCGCCGGCCCCCCACGCGGGGAAGCCGCGGTGAACACTGGCGCCTGGTTGAAATCCACAGAGATTGCGCGCCTGTGCCTGCGCCCCCCGCCCGCGCCAGCCCCCCCCGCTTCCGCGCCTCCCCCGCCGCCTAACGCCCCCGCGATCCCCCCCATCCCCATGCCACCACCAACCCCGCGGAACCTGTTTCCGATTCCCCCCATGGCGCCAGCGGCGGGGCTGTGCAACCCGTGCTTTAAGGTCCGCGCCACTGCGGCTATCCGGGACTTGAGAGGCGATTTGCTCTTTCCCGCTGTGGGCGGGCGATTTTGTCGTTCTCCCTCTGCTCCTGGTAGCGGGGACAGTGCGTCCTTCGAATACCCCTCCTCCTCCTCGTTCTCCCCCTCCTCAATCACTAACACATTACGCTCCTCCCCCTCCCCCTCCCCCTCCCCCTCCTCCTCTTCCGCGTGAACCTCCACCTGCAGCCGCGGCGGGTTGATCCCCGCGCGCCGAGAGCCCCAGCTCGACAGCGCACCCCCCATCCCCCCCGCGAATCCCCCCATCGGCGCGCTCCCCGTGCTCCTGCTCCCCGGCAGCATCCCTCCATGCGGAGACACCGAACTCTCAGGTGAAAACCCAGGAGAGTCGCTCCCACCTGAATCAACAGAGTCCGAACCTGCGGAGAGCCTGTGCCGAGCGCGTGCTCCGAGCATTATAGGGCTCCGAGCCTCAGCCCGAACCTCCATTCCGCGGTTATCCGAACCAAACCCGTACTGCAGCCCGCGCCTAGCCGCTGTCCGGGGGGACTCAACCGCGCGCCCAGAGCCGTCGACGCTGCTGCCCCTCGGTACCCCTCCGCCCGCCCCTCCCCCCAACCCTTCCGCCATCCCTCCCCCCATCCCAGCCCGCTGGCGCTGCTGACTCGCAAAGAGCGACGCTTTGGCTGCTTCGAACGGGGATAGCGGCTCGCTGGCGGACGCGGGGATTCCTGCGCCCATCGACCCGAAGTCTACCGACGCCCGCCGCCCGTGCGCTCGCCCGCCGCGCCCCTGACTCTGCTCCGGACCGCCGTTCCCCTCGGCCGCGCTCCCCAGTCTGCTCCCCCCGCTTCCCGGTCTGCTTCCGCCGCTTCCCGGTCTCGCCGACGTTGCTCCGCCTCCCAGGCGCCCATGGCTGGTGTTGGGGCGGCCGCCGTGACTACTGCTGGGTCGGATTCCCAGCCCGAACCCTAATCTGAACCCCGAGGGGGACTTTGGTGGCGGGCCTGCAGCCCTTTCCACCGCGCTTCCCCTTGCGCCGACTCCTTCCGCTGCGCCCGGTGCCCCCTGCGCCTCCAGCCCCCCTTGATCGGGGACGTGGAAGGCGAAATCGACGGACGATACGTCGACGGATTGTGTACGGAGATGGCGGTTCGACCGCAGTTGTTTAATGGAGCTGTTCATTGGTCCCCCGGATACTCCATTTTCGCCGCCGAAGGCGCTAGGGTCTGATTGGACCGCTGAGACGGGGAGCGATGCCTCGAGAAGCGGGGATGGGGGTCGCGGAGCGGGGGACAGCGCGGAACCGCCGAGAGGGGAACAATGCCGACCCATGCGCGGATCGTAGCGCGGCGGAGGTCGAGACGCTTGCCGCGGGTCCCCCCCCGTTCCGCCTCCCCCGCCGCGCTGCCCCCCAGGGGAACCGAGGGGGGAGGATCGGCGGGGATCTTCAGATTCGGAGTTGCGCCTGGTACTGGCGCTGCTTCCGGGGATACCTAGCGGAGAGGAGGCAGAGGCGGAATAATCCACCGACACCGATCGGCTCCGCGGAAAGAAGCTGCGGATGGCGGAAACTCGACCGCCTCCGCGCGCAGGCAATGCAGGAGGTCCTGTTCCGCTTGCTCCGCCTCCTTCCCCGCTTCCGCCTCCGTCCCCGACTCCATAGGCGGAGTCGGTTCTCCCTCCCGAACCTGCTGCTCCTCTAGCCGAACCTCCTCCGCTGTGTCCCGAACCTACAAAATCCCCGCGTCCTGCAGCTTCGGGGAAGCCCTGCCTGTCTCTAGGAGGATCAAGCATGGCCAATCCCTGGCACGACATTGCCAGCTACAGCAGATGCCAGGATGTTATCCTTCCCCAGCCAAGCTTCCCAGGTAAACGACAAATAAATAAAGCTGCACGATCAGTCTAAGTGTTTAATTAACGTAAGTGGATTTCGAAGTAGTGAAATACGGACTAGGGGTACGGGACCTTATAGGCGTGGCAGCATTGTTATGTTTCCGTATCAAAATGCTACTAATTATCTCCCAAAACGCTCTATTCAAGGGCTAGGATTGATGCTGTGAAGACTGACGCTGCTGCGATTGGCGGCTCGTATCATCTACATGCCTTGCAGTCTCGCAGCGAGGGGGGCGACGAGCGATTGCTATATTGCCTGACGGAAAAACTAGAGAAAAGCAACTAGAAGTAGCCCGAAACTTAGGTCTCTTAATCAGGAATAATTCCTAACCATTTCGGAGAGTGAAGAAATATACTGCACGAGCACAGCTCACTCAAGCCCTGGTGACAACGTCACTCGACAGGAACCCCACGCGCGGGATGCGCTTCCCAACTCGGACACATGGACTGTCTTGACGTCTGGGGTGTAGGTGGCTCGCCTAGCCTAGACACAGCAGAGTGAGTGTCGGAGTGACGTGGTGGACTAGGCGGTGATCGCTGGCTGCAGAGCTGAGGAACAGAAGTGAGATGGGGAGGAGGAAGAAAAGAACACCCCCGCAGGTCCCAAGAGCACGCGGAAAACCCCAGGCACAGTAACTCGAAATCCCAAGGTTTCACGCGGTACGATGGCTGAACTGCGCGGTGCAGGTTTGGTGGATGAAATTGCACAGCCTCGGTTTCTCCGAGCGAGGGAAGGCGACAAGTGATTAGTCAATGTGTCTCGTCCTGATGTGGCATGTGTGGCCTGTCGTCAACGCGAGGCTGCTGGCGGGACAGTCTTGTTTCTACACCCAGTCCCTTCCTCATGTCACGACGCGCACTCCAGCATTTCGTGCACCCAAGGTGGTTGAGGGGGAAGAGTGGGCGAAACGCGTTCCAGGGACGGCTGGGGGACGAAATGTACATTCCAATCCATCCCATTGCTGCCCGGCCGTTTTGAAAATTGTCAACGCTAGGGCCAAAAGGAACAGATGATCGCCGTCCAGTCCAGGCGTTGCAAGAGGAACTCCTCCCGACAAGAAAAGTGGACAGCGAAAAGCAGCAAGTTTCGGGGTGCCCAGAACCCCGTAGCCAGAGTGCCGTGGGGGGTACTTCAGTAAAAAAAACCTCTGTAGCTCGTTACTGCAGTTCAGTACAGCACATGACCAGCAGTCTCTCCATTTTTACTTCTATTGCTTCCTCTACATCTGACAAATATAACCTATGACAAAACCAAGGAAACACTCACGTCACAACTCCCGCCTTCGCAAACGAGCAGCAAATGCCCCGTCGATTGCGTGGCAATGCGGCAATGATGCAAAGCAACGAAGGCGTGAGATCATCGCTTCGGGCAATACTGAAGCATCTAGTGGTTCCAATACAAACTCCTGCAACCAGCCAGGAAAGAAAGACTTGGCTACCTCGCATGAGCACGAAAAAATGAGAAAACGTGACATACAAACTGAATGAAACGACAGGCATGACTCAGTAAAACACCTCAGCATGCCACATGCTTGTTACCACTAAGCATGATGCAATGACACTTCAAAAAAAAGAAAGGAAGAAAGAAAGAAATAAAAAAACCAACAACACCACTTTTTTTTTTCCACACAGAATGATACGAGAGAACGGGATGAGCAAGGGTCATACATGGTGTGTTTGAAGGAAGGTGGTGATCCTATCCTCATTCTCCGATGGCTCTATGGAACACGTGGAGTACACCAGCAATCCCCCCGGCCGCACCAGACTGGTCAACAAGGTGGCGATTGGATGAACGGAAAGGGGGAGTGGGGGAGGGGGAGGGGTAGAAGGGAGGGGAAATGGGAAGGGGGGAAGGGGAGAGATGGGGAAGTCACGTGAGCATCGCCTCCCGCTGTGGCAGGCTCATCTTACATAGCAACAACAGCAGCATCCACATCAGCATCCTACCTGGCAGAAGCATCCCCATCAGCATGTCATCTGGCAGCAGCGTCCATGTCAGCATCCCACCTGGCACAAGCGTTCCACATCAGCATCCTACCTGGCAGGATCATCCAAGTCAGCATCCACATCAGCATCCTACCTGGCAGCAGCGTCCAGCAGGTCGTCCTGTAGTGCTGTGAGCTGCGCCTCCCCCTCCACTGTCCTCCTCCACCTCAGATCCGCCCTCTGTAGGTGAGGTGTGAGGAGGGGATGTGAGGAGAGGGTTAGGGGGGTTTGAGGCGCCTAGTGGATTTTCTCCCCCTCCACCTCAGATCCGGCCTCTGTGTGGCGGGTCGAGAAGGGGAGGGGAGGAAGGGGAGGGGAGGAAGGCGAAGGGGGGGGGAGGAAGGCGAATGGGGGGGGTGTTTGAGGCGCCTACTAGACTGTCTCCCCCTCCACAGCCTGCCTCAACTCTATACACTCACCTCGCCCCACCCACCTCGGCCAGCACTCCAAGGCCGGAGCAGGGCGCATCCAGCAGCAGCACTCCTTAGAATCACCTCTCCCCTCAATCACCTCGTCATACAGTCACCACTGCTTACAGTCACCTCTCCCCCATACCCACCTTGGCCAGCACCCCAAGGCCGGAGCAGGGTGCATCCAGCAGCACTCGGTCTGCTGTCTCACGCAGGGGGGATGACGCCTGCAGGGGAACAGTGTGTGGGGAGGGATGGGGTGAGGTGGGGTGGGTGGGGCGGGGAAACAGGGTGCCAGGACGGGTGGGGGTAGACGGGGGACCGCAGTAGGGCTGTGTGAGCCATTGCAAAGAATAATGCACCTCTCCTCTAAACATTTGAGAAATAACTTGGGGCAGGCTGCAGCCAAGAGGTTAAGCATATTGATTGGGACCTGCCACTGCTCATGCAATCCATGTGTTAAGATGCGTTCCAGTACATTGCGACCCTTACAGCGGAAGTGTAAGGCTTGCGATTGCGACCGTGAGCTCCAAGCCTTACTATACAGTGAAGCATCAAGCCTTCTACAGAACCCTGTTTAAGCCGCGACCCTTACAGCGTAAGTCCTCAGGTCAGAAGAGACACACTCCACCATGCTTTGCAGCCCCTGGCGCTGTGCTGCCTGCGCCACCATCCTCACTCGGCCCTCGTTCACATCCACTGCCACCAGCCGCCCTGCAGAGAGGGAGAGAAGAGAGGGGAGAGGAGAGAAGTGAGATGGAAATTGAGGGGGGGTGTGGCAATAAGTGCGGTCCCTAGCGCTGTGCTGTGCAGTGCTGCCTGCGCCACCATCCTCTCCAAACCCTCGTTCACATCCACTGCCACCAGCCGCCCTGCCGGTGAGAGGTGAGGGGGAGAGGTGAGAAGTCAGATGGAAAATGAGGGGGGATGTGCAATAGGTGCAGTGCCTGCGCCGCAATCCTCACCCGCCCCTCGTTCACATCCACTGCCACCAGCCGCCCTGCCGGCCACGAGGGTGAGAGAATGCGACGGAAAGAGAGAGACAGGGAGAAAAGGAGTGGTGAGAGGTGAGCACTGAGATATGAGAGGTGCGTGGTGAGTGGTGCGGGATGGGGTGAGAAGACATGAGATGAGATGGGATGAGATGAAGTCAAACGGTGGTGGTGGCATTGAAAAGAGCTGTAACACACACGCACTATTGCCCACCTGAGCCTTGCATGAGCCCATCGGCATACATGGCCTTGCCCCCGGGCGCAGCACAGCAGTGCAGCCCAGCCATGCAGGGGACAGGTGCAGCCAAGAACACCTGTCTATTCCGTAATCCGACCCACCTGTCCCTTGCATGAGCCCAGCGGCATACATGGCCTTGCCCCCGGGCGCAGCACAGCAGTCCACCACGGTCTCCCCTGGCTGGGGCGCCAGCACCTTCACCACCAGCCCTGTGCTTGGAGTTAGTGCGAGGTGATGCACGGAGATGGCGGGAGGTGGTGGAGGGAGACGGAGGGAGGGGATCAGGTAGGTTTTGCAAATTCTAAGAATTCACCAGATCTATGCTTAGCGTGCAGAGGGAGGAGGGGCAGGACGAGAGGAGGGAAGCGGACGAGCAAACTAACCCCACCACCAGAACCCCAGCACCACACACACCCCCACCTGCACTCTCATCCTGCACATTGCACGACCCGTCCTCTATGAGTCCTGCGGTGCTCCATGCCCACCTGGTTACCTGCATTCCCCCACCTGCATTCCCCCCACATGGTTACCTTGTTACCTGCAGCCCCACCAGCATACACCCACCTGTACTCTCATCCTGCACGTTGCACGACCCATCCTCTATGAGCCCCGCTGTGAGCACGTGCTGCATGCCCGCCTGATTACCTGGTTACCCTGTTACCTGGTTAAAGGTTTCCACTGCAAGCAGCCACCACACCCCCACCCACCTGCACTCTCATCCTGCACGTTGCACGACCCATCCTCTATGAGCCCCGCTGTGAGCACATGCTGCATGCCCGCTTTTACGCGAATGAAATCGTCCAGGTACGGTGAATCTTCCACCTCCACCTGCGGTTGTTGAGAGAGGCGGGTACGAAAACACGCACATAGAATAGACTCTATGAGCCCCGCTGTGAGCTCATGCTGCATGCCCGCTCGCACACGAATGAAATCGTCCAGGTACGGTGAATCTTCCACCTCCACCTGTGGTTGGTGAGAGGGGCGGGCAGGGGCGCACACACACACACCCACACACGCACACACACACACAGACCGTAGACACATAAGGAACTCGCAAGAGCTTGCATGAGCTGGAACGAGCTGGCATAGTTGTGGCATGAGGTGGCATGAGGCAGCACGAGGTGGCATGGAGATAGTATGAGCTGGCATGGAGTTGGCATGGAGGCGGCATGAGGTGGCATGGAGACGGCATGAGGTGGCATGGAGACGGCATGAGGTGGCATGGAGACGGCATGAGGTGGCATGGAGGCGGCATGAGGTGGCATGGAGACGGCATGAGGTGGCATGGAGACGGCATGAGGTGGCATGGAGACGGCATGAGGTGGCATGGAGACGGCATGAGGTGGCATGGAGACGGCATGAGGTGGCATGGAGACGGCATGAGGTGGCATGGAGGCGGCATGAGGTGGCATGGAGACGGCATGAGGTGGCATGGAGACGGCATGAGGTGGTATGGAGACGGCATGAGGTGGCATGGAGACGGCATGAGGTGGCATGGAGACGGCATGAGGTGGCATGGAGACGGCATGAGGTGGCATGGAGACGGCATGAGGTGGCATGGAGACGGCATGAGGTGGCATGGAGACGGCATGAGGTGGCATGGAGACGGCATGAGGTGGCATGGAGACGGCATGACGTGGCATGGAGACAGCATGCGGAGCAGAAGCATACCTCGGGGAGCGCCAGCAGCAAGGAGTGCAGATCAGAACGCGATACCCCTTTGGCAGTGTTGGCCCTGATGCATGGTCATGGTGGTAATGGGAGAGGGGGCGAGAGGAAGCTACTTTTAGGCGCTGCAGCCCTCCGGTTCTGTGTGTGATCTGATGGCCTCTTGCAGTGTTGATCCTCATGCACTGCCATGCCATGGTGGTCTTCTCAGACTTCTCAAGCATCATGGTTGGGAACTAAGTTGGAATATACGCTTAACACCTTAAGCGTACAGCGTATGTACGCTAGCGTACACACGCTATCCGCTATACGCTAGCGAATACGCTATACGCTCTTAGAATTTTTTTAGGGCTGCCCGAAAAAAAATCGCAAAAAAGATGCGGATTTCCTAGGTGAGCATTTCGCCGTAGTCGAAATTCAAATCCGCGGTCTAGGCAAACGGGGATCTGACTTCAAAGTCGTCAGGCAAATGTTGAATTTCAGATCCCATCTAGGCATTGAAATCCATCCCTTCTGCCGCATTGAACCCCACTTTATCTACAAACTCCCACCTGTCAAAATTAACCCCCCAACAAATCTCACGGTACTTACCAGCCAGCCCTGTTGGCTAACCCTAACTCGTCATTTCGTTCCCGCTTTCACCAGAGTTCACGCTACTTCATTTTCTAGCTATTATGTCTACTCCACCTCCCATTGCCCTCGTCGTTCGGATTCAGGATTATGCAAGGGCAAGCCTTAGTGAGAATAGGGAGTACTTATATTTCACCCTGCCCGGAAAGTTTTTTCTCTGCCCGAAAAAGCGTATCTCCAAAACGAACCCCTAAGCGGATAGCGTATGTACGATAGCGTATATACGATACGCGAATATACGCTGTACGCGTATATTCCAACTTAGGTTGGGAAGTCTGAGAGAATCAGAATTTAAGGCCAGAATACATAAAGTAGAATAGAAGCAATTGTCTGAGACAATATCGAACGCAGAACCTCAAGGAGAAGACGGGGCGGGCGTTGTTGCTCTCCATAAGTCGCTCCGCCTCTCGCCACCCCAGCCTGTCAGCTCTTGAGGCGCAAGTGAGACGATTCTTTTGAAGCACCTCAGAAACTGTCTCACCTGAGGGAGAAGACGGGGCGGGCGTTGTTGCTCTCCATCAGCCGCTCCGCCTCTCGCCACCCCAGCCTGTCGGCCCACCGCCGCACCATCCACTGCAGGGCGGACAGAAGAGAGGGCACCAAGGAGAGGAGGGGAGAGGGAACAGCAAGGAGTGGAACGGAGAAAGGGGAGTGTGAGTGAGTGACCATGGAAACTGCAACTCATATCCCGCCTTGCTCCTTGAGTTTGTGAGATGTAATCCAGCCAGCCCTTTAGTTTAGAGACGTCTCAAAACTTGATCCAGCCAGCCTTTCACAGTGCCGGATGTATGTGTGCGCCACTGCACTGCACATACCAACCAAGGGGCGTGCGCACAGGATGGCGAGGGCCCGCGCCTTGTGTGCATGTGAATGCATCTGTTCAGTCATCCATTCATGTATGCATGCATGTGCATGCATGTGTATGCGTGTGTATGCGAGCGTGCGAGCGTGCGTGCGTGCGTGCGTGCGTGCGTGCGTGCGTGCGTGCGTGCGTGCGTGCGTGCGTGCGTGCGTGCGTGCGTGCGTGCGTGCGTGCGTGCGTGCGTGCGTGCGTGCGTGCGTGCGTGCGTGCGTGCGTGCGTGCGTGCGTGCGTGCGTGCGTGCGTGCGTGCGTGCGTGCGTGCGTGCGTGCGTGCGTGCGTGCGTGCGTGCGTGCGTGCGTGCGTGCGTGCGTGCGTGCGTGCGTGCGTGCGTGCGTGCGTGCGTGCGTGCGTGCGTGCGTGCGTGCGTGCGTGCGTGCGTGCGTGCGTGCGTGCGTGCGTGCGTGCGTGCGTGCGTGCGTGCGTGCGTGCGTGCGTGCGTGCGTGCGTGCGTGCGTGCGTGCGTGCGTGCGTGCGTGCGTGCGTGCGTGCGTGCGTGCGTGCGTGCGTGCGTGCGTGCGTGCGTGCGTGCGTGCGTGCGTGCGTGCGTGCGTGCGTGCGTGCGTGCGTGCGTGCGTGCGTGCGTGCGTGCGTGCGTGCGTGCGTGCGTGCGTGCGTGCGTGCGTGCGTGCGTGCGTGCGTGCGTGCGTGCGTGCGTGCGTGCGTGCGTGCGTGCGTGCGTGCGTGCGTGCGTGCGTGCGTGCGTGCGTGCGTGCGTGCGTGCGTGCGTGCGTGCGTGCGTGCGTGCGTGCGTGCGTGCGTGCGTGCGTGCGTGCGTGCGTGCGTGCGTGCGTGCGCGCGCGCGCGCGCGCGCGCGCGTGCGCGTGTGTGTGTGTGTGTGTGTGTGTGTGTGTGTGTGTGTGTGTGTGTGTGTGCACGCCGCCTCCTCCCCACCAACGCACGTACCACGGGGTGAGAGTGCAGCGTGGCGAGGGCCCGCGCCTTGTCCCGGTCCGTCATTGCATCGTGCAGCGACGGGGCCGGCAGTGGGCCTTGCTCCTGATGTTGTACCGGGAAGTAGAAGCGGGGAGGAGGAGGCGGGGGATGGATAAGGGGAAAAGAAGGGCGCGGGGGGAGAGGGGGGGGGCGGTAGGAGTTAGTGGGTTGCGTATAGAACAAGGTCAGCCGTACTGTACCGTACGGTTCCTAGCATGAGTAACGACTCGACCAGTAGGGTAGGAAGCCCCAAAACCTAAACCCTGAAGTCGCCGCAGCCCCAGTGCCCCTTTCTCTCTATGTTTCTCGTATTCGGACCTACAGCTTTTGTGGCGCACCTGTGCGCGAACAGCTGCCCGCAAAATAGCATTGGCCAATGAGGCGGCTCCGGGCCTTAAGGCTGCCCGAGCGAGCTTGACCGCCTGCAAGGAGCAGCGGACAGAAGGGACAATGGTGAATGGTCGTGCAGCTGATTAAATACAATGAATACATCGACTGCATTGATTCTCACCTCGTTGACTGCATTGACTCCACCTGCACTCACCTCATTGACTGCGTTGACTCCACCTGCATTGGTGAGTTAGATTCACTGAATAATTTGACTACCTACATTGACTGCTTTGACTCCACCTGCACTCACCTCGTTGACTGCAGCATGTGGTGGTGTGTCCATCTTAGCGAGCTCAAACATCCCCAATCGGAGAATCTACAGACGAGGATAGCAGGAGATGCGGGGAGAAGGGGCAGGGGGGAACTACACTTAATCGAAATGAGTGCACTCGCCATTAAGCCTAGAGCAGCATCCCGATTCCCGAGACTGCAACACGGCTCAGAAAGGAAATCTCACTACTGCAGCATACGGTACCACATAGCGAAGACGGAGGTAAATTCCCCTCAGCACAATTACCCACAAGGTAATTGCGACAGGGAAAATTCCCCTACGCATCATCATTACACAGCACAAACCTGCTTCAGCAGTGGCTCCATCCTCTCCAGCTCATTCAGGCTGCCCGAAAAAAACTCCGAGAGCAGAAAGTCCAGATAACGCCTCCACCGGGTGACACCTGCCACGAGCTCAGTCACATGGCGCCTTCCCCGCCCCTCCAGAGGCAAAAGCCCAAAGCCCAGCGTGCGCCGCACATACTGCATCTCCAGCTCCCACCCGCCCGCCCCCTCCCCTGCTGCTGCCCCTGAGAGAATGTCGGCATAGGCTCCCCCTTGCTCCACTCTCAGCAGACGGACAACAGCGGCTGGGGATGGCAGTGCAGTGATCGGGGGGGGAGGGACAGCAGGAGAAGATATGAATAATGCCCCTCCACTGCTGCTGCCCCTGAGAGAATGTCGGCATAGGCTCCCCCTTGCTCCACTCTCAGCAGACGCACGACAGCAGCTGGGAGTGGCAGTGGAACGTTGGCAGGGAATGCATGAGACATTGTCAGGAGATGAATGAGACATTCAGATAAGAGGGCGAGAGTTGTGCGGCAATCATTTTGTTTGAGATTAGTTTTGAGAATTCTCAAAACTAATCTCAAACATTCAGATAAGAGGGCGAGAGTTGTGCGGCAATCAGATATTGTCAGGCAACGAGCCATTCTGCCCATTTGACAGTGTCCCCATAACAGCTGCAAAACCCCCAACCCTAAGCCCCTTCCCACAACCCTCACCCTGCGTCCTCCAACCAACCCTCGCCTTCTGAATCGACCCAGAAATTCAATCCTCACCGTCCATCCATCACCTCGCACCTGCTCTGTGCGGTGAGATCTCCTCTCGAATCACCTCCTGCTCCTCTTCCTTACCCTGCTGCTCCCCCTCCCCCACCTCCCCCACCCATACACCCGTGTCCTTCACCCCGCGTCCTTCCTCCGGCTCCCCTCGTCGCTCCCCTCCCCCGTTCCGCCTCCATTCGCCCCTCCTCTCCCCGCGCGCAGCTCCCCATCCTGCGCTGTCCCCCCTAAACCCTCTTCTCCCTGAAACAGATTCCTCACGACCTCGTCCCCATATTTCCGCTCCCTCTCGTCTTCCCCCCTCGCTTTCCCTTCCACCTGTTCTCCCCCTTCCGCTTGCGCCATTGTCCCGCGTCCACACGTCCCGGTTCATCCGCGCGCCATCCCGCTGCTCTCTCCCGGTCGGATAAGACGCGCGAGAGCTTCCGCGCAAACTCCGCGCGCCAGCGCTATCCGGGCGGGCGAGCAGCCTCCCCGCGGTTCTCAGCTTGGGGCTGCAAAATTCCCGCCAGCGCGCACGCGGCAGAAGGAGCTGTTGCCAGTGAGGCTCAAAGCCCTGCGAACTCAGGAGAGGCGGAAAACTGCATTTTCCCGCCAATTTTGACGGAAGATGGGATAACCGTTGGCCTGCGACGCAGGTCGATGCAAGACCGTTCATCCTTGCAGTCTGCTTGACTCACGAACAGAACTGAACTAGTCTCAACCGACTGACAGCAATTTCAGGATTTTGGCGCCAGAAACTGCGCGGAGTCAGGTTGAGGGGTTGAGGGGGAATCCCAAGGTGCGATAGTGTTGTGGGTGTTAGTGTAGCGAATTGCTGTACATTGTGGCATAACTCAACCGAAGCTGAACAAAATCTCACAACCAATATATCTAATCAGAAAAGGATCATGTTTTTGTGCATATATCCGTATCAGAACATGTTGTCAAGCGAAGCCCGGTTCTCAACCTTCTGATATCTAGCGAAAACGACGAGGCGGTAGTTCCTTGAAACACATCCGCCATGGCACATATCGCCTTGTCTAGAGTCGCTGTCAATGACACATCGTCTTGGAATTTGTAAGGCTTGAGCACCGCCGCCCAAGGCTGGTCTTCAAAAGACTTGGGTCTTTGAACCAGCTTAAAGCCCAGTATCCTTTCCTTCATAAATTTCTCCAGCGCCTCCACCTGTGCAGTGAACACCACAAGCAGGGGTGCAAAAAAACAGTGGACGTCAACAAACCTCTGTTAAAAGATTTCTTAGGGTAACCAAGGAACATGCACTACACGCACCTTCAAACCTCTCACCTTGTGGTCGTCAGTATCGGAGGCAAGGAACATGGTGGATATGTTTCCAGCCATACCCATGGCCTTCACCAGGCATGCACCACATGCTCCACATTAAACCACGGTACATGCACTACACGCACTATCAATCCCCTCACCTCGCGGTCGTCAGTATCAGAGGCAAGGAACATGGTGGAGATGTTTCCAGCCATGCCCATGGCCTTCACCAGGCATGCACCCGCATGCTCCACAGAGAGCCGTGCATTGGGGTTGCTGTGCTGCATCAGGTCCGTTCGCCTCCAATGCACCCCCATGTACCGACCAACTGCACGCCCTCCCTCCAGCCCCTTCCCCCCCCCATTTCCGTCCCCCTCCTTTTGCTGCTGCTGCGGCTGGTCAGTGGCTTTACCTCCTTCCGTCACCACATCAGCATCAGCAGCCTCCCATTCCCTCCTGGAACCCGGCAGCACCACACTGCGAACAAACTCCCTAGCAGCTTCGAGGATAGCGGGGTGTGGCGCTACAGCCAGAGCATTAGGGCACTCAATAGACTGCCTAAAGGGGACGTCCAGGTAATTCTTCCCTGGGAACGTGAGATGCATGGATCCCAGATCTCCCAGCAGAACAACCCTCGCAGTTGGCTGTATCAGAGACCGCAGGGCCAGGAGCTTTGGGATTTCCAGAGGCTCGGAGGCGTTGCCGATCGTGAGCGCGAGGTTCGGAGGGTAGGTGACACCGGAGAGGGAGGGGAGGTCGTCGCGGGAGGCAGCAGATTGGTTGTAGCATTGCTTCTGCAGACACAGCACTTGATCCACTTGCACTGTGGCACTCTGGGGTGGAGATGCTGGTGCTGCAGCAGGAGTAGGAGGAGCACCAGGTGCTGCTGCTCCTTGTGCCTCTACTGCTGCTGCTGTTGCTGGCGCTACAGGTAGTGGTGCTGCTGTGGCTGCTGCTTCCGAACCTGCTGGTGAAGGTTCTGACCCGGGTGCAGAAGCTGTTGCCACAGAGAGGGCGTCCAGGGAAATGACTGACTGTGGCCCGTAGCACAGCCGGGTATGCTGGTGGGGGCAGTGTGGGGTCACAGAGGATTGACAAAACAGAGAAAGAAGTGAGGCAGGTGAGTTGGGAGGGATACAAGCTCGCTGCAGACCCCGTGTTTGCTGACCTGGTGGACCAGAAGGTCGCTAACAGACCAGAAGGTCGCTAACAGACCAGAAAGCAAGCCGCGAGCAGCTAGCAGCGCACCGGGAGATGGAAGAAGGTGCGGCGGTCGTAGTGGCGGGCGACCTCGTGTGCTCGCAGGGGCACCACGAGCGTGCGGTTGAACACGCCCGCCACCACCAGGTGGTTCTTGATGCACCGAATGCGGTTGCTCAGCTGGGGTGAGCCAATGTCCCTCACACATGGACACATACACACAGGGAAACATGCACATAGACAGACAAGCACTCACGCACACATGCACAAATCGGGACATGCAGTCACGCACGCACGTATGCGCATATGCATATATGAGGAGCACCAGGGCAGGAGCCATGAGGAGTGAGAGCAGACATACGACACAAGGCGTTTCCCATGCCACATCTGGCCCACAAACACCACATGGTCTCAAATGTCATGTACTGGGGAAGCACACCCCACCTGGTTACCAAACCCCACCTGATTCCAACACCGTACCTGGTTACCACCTCACCTGATTACCACCACACCCCACCTGGTTCCCACACCCACCTGGTTACCATACTCAGTTACCACACCCCACCTGATTACCACACCCCACCTGATTACCACACCCCACCTGATTACCACACCGCACCTGATTACCACGCCCCACCTGATTACCGCACCTCATCTGGTTACCACATCTGGTTACCAAACGCACCTGGTTGCGATGGCAGTCCATAAGCACGTAACGATCAACCCGGTCGTTGACCAAAGTGCGTTGCTCAGGGTGTTCGAAAGGCTGAGTTACTCCCTGATTACGACATCCAACCTGGTTACCACACCCACCTGGTTACCACACCCACCTGTTTACCACACATGGTTACCACGCCCACCTGGTTGCGATGGCAGTCCATGAGCACGTAGCGATCCGCCTGTGGCTCCCATGCCATGCCGCCCCTCTCAAACCCCATGCGGTATGCCCTCTGCATCCCATAGCACCGCTTTGCAGCCACTTTAGCTCGCTCCTCCGCCTCCCTCTCCTTCAGGGTAATGGCCCTCCCCCAGTTCACCCTTCCCCACTCAGGATCATCTAACCTCCCAGTTCCTGACGTGCTGTTGATTGTAGGAGCAGGTACAGAGGGCGGGGCCTGGTAACCACGGGCTTTCCCCTTGTGTCTGGAGCCGAAAGGGACGGCGGTGCTTGTGCCGGTAACGAGTCGAGCGAGGCATTGGCTGCTGCAGGGGAGGCGGATGAGAGAGACTGCCGGGCCACGGAAACAGAAAGCGGTGGGGAGCGGTGCTTGTCGCCGCCCGTTAGACTCGTCAGCTGATTGTCTAGTGGCGCGATGCTCGAAAGATTTCCTGCTGCTACATCCCCTTGCGTCCTTCCCGCCAACGCCTCCTCCAACTCGGATTCCATTTCGTCCACTCTCCCTGCAACGATCTCATTCGCCACCACGACGCTCGCGAGCGAAGACTCGTTTTGGCGAGATGCTGATAACCCGAACTGGAATAGGTTGGATAGCACGAGGAGGCGAAGCGCCGTATACAGAGCCCACGTCGGCATCGCGGAGAAGTCGCAAGAGGAACCACTAAATCACGCATTCCCGTTGCTTCTAATCACGCTCTCCTGTTGCTTGCATTTCCGTTACTCATGGTCTCGCGTTCTTGTTGCTGATAATCCCGCATCCCGTTGCTCACGGAAACATGGGGCAGAGAGCGAATTCACTGTGGTTAATTTCCTCGTAATTGACTGGGCACGCTGCTCTAAACACAGCGGGGATTACCATAGCCACCGACACTTGAACTTACCGTATGACACAGACAAACAACAATAGCAGGAAATGCCTTCCCTACAGCAAACCTGATATTATGGCACCCAGCTATTCTATATGGTAGTAACCCCGTAATAATTGAGTCCCAAGCAGGCTCGAAATACGAGCCAGGTATATCCCTTCGAGCCGTCAGTTTTCTAACCTATTTGAGGAGCCCTGGCTGTCATAAACCGCCGAGCACAGACAAGTCGGCCCAGCGATTCTTTGAGAGATGCGCACGCCACACCACACAACCGCCGCAAAAGCCACCCAGCCCAAACCATGCAGCTCGGGTGAAGCTGTAGCCTCCAGGGTGCCTAGCCTGGCCTCCTAACACAGCAGCAGAGCCATACTGCCCAGCCAGCCACAAAAACTCCCTCGGGGAGCTGCACAGCACACAGCAGCTGCGAAAACCACCAGATCTTAGGATCATGCACTGCAACACACTGGAGGTTGGAACGGCACCCAACCACCCATCTACCCTCTCCTCCTGATACATCATCTGGATGTCATTCAACAACTCCTCCACATCGCTCATTACCAGGCAATGAAGCTCTAGCCTCTGGCACTTGGCCGCTTGAACATCACCCACCCACCCATCCACGCTCTGCTGCTACATCATCTGGATGTCATTCAGCAACTCCTCCACGTCGCTCATCTCCGGGCGGTGAAGCTCTAGCCTCTAGGGCACTTCCGCACTGTAGATTGGAACATCACCCACCCATCCACCCATCCAGCCCCTCCTGCTACATCATCTGGATGTCATTCAGAAACTCCTCCACATCGCTCATTTCCAGCCGGTGAAGCTCTAGCCTCCAGGGCACTTCACCGCTCAACACAGCACTGAAGATTGGAACATCCCACCTATCCACCCTCTTCTTCCGCTACATCATCTGGATGTCATTCAGAAACTCCTCCACGTCGCTCATTTCCGGCCTGTCCTCGGCATTATCAGCAATGCACTGCTTGGCGATCGCAGCCATCATGAGAGCGCCCTTCCGCGGGTACTTGCCCTGCAGCTTTGGGTCGATCCATTTGTCCGGGTCCGCCACGTTGGGGTGCAGGTGCTTGTGCATGGCTGTTGCCAGCTTGATGTTCCGATCATCCACTGCGTCCTTCCCTGTCAGCACCTGCAGCAGGATGACCCCAAATGAGAACACGTCACTCTTTTCTCGAAGGCAGCCTGGCAGATACATGGGGTGAAGTGGGGGATGGGAAGGGGGGACAAGGGGGGGGGGGGGGGGGAGCAGGGGTGAGCGGGAGGGAACAACGAGCAGTGAGTACGTAAGGTAAGTGGAACGGGGAGTTGGCTTGTCAGGATCAGCAACGTTGGGGTGCAGGTGCTTGTGCATGGCTGCTGCCAGCTTGATGTTCCAATCATCCACTGCGTCCTTCCCTATCAGCACCTGCAGCAGGATGACGCCGAATGAGAACACGTCACTCTTTTCTCGAAGACAGCCTGGATGAATGAGGGCAATGAAGAAGAGAGGAGGGAAAGGGAGAAGGGAGGGACGAAGGGGGTAAGAGTGTTAAGGATGGGTGTCCTTGCCTGTCAGCACCTGCAGCAGGATCACTCCAAAGGAGAACACGTCACTCTTCTCCCGTAGACAGCCAGGAGGGCCGTGAAAGGGGGGCGAAGGGATGGGGAGGGTGGAAGGGAGTGAGAGCAGCACGGAGAGAGTGCAATGGGTGTCTTTCCCTGTCAGCAGCTGTAGTGGAATGGCCCCAAAGAAAAGCAAATCATTCTTCTCCCGTAGATAGCCTGGCATCAAGGGGGCGGGTGGGAGGAAGGAGGGGGGAGAAAGAGCTTCAAGCAGAGACTGGCCGTGCAGGAAAATACGGCAGTCGACCTAGCTAGACAGCCTAGCAACAAGGGCCGCGGGAGGAGTGGAGGGGAGGTGGAGGAAGTGGACGGGGGAAAGAAATTAGAGCAAGCAGTGAGTGAAATGTGTGTAACTCGACGAGAAAAACTGAAAGCTGAAGCGTGGCTTGTATGTATCCCAGCAAGGGCAGCAGCAGGGACGCACCGGTCTCCATGTAGACCGGGGGTCGAGGTAGCCCAGAGTGCCCATGACTCGTGTGCTCACATGGCTCACTCCCTCCGGCCATATCCAAGTCACTTTTGAGATGTCTCAAAGGCAAGGGCAGTGCAGCGGCACACTCATGCAGCGGCAGCACAGACGTACCAGTCTCCATGTAGGCGGGGTCGAGGTAGCCCAGAGTGCCCATGACTCGTGTGCTCACATGGCTCACCCCCTCTGCTGCCTGCTTCGCCATCCCAAAGTCTGTTAGCTTCGCCTCCATACCCTGCCATGCCAACATGCCCCATGCCCCACGCCCCCATGCCCCATGCCCCCATGCCCCATGTCCCGTGCATGCCCCATGCACAGCAACGCCAGCAGGTGTCGGGTGGGAAAGATGAGCGATGCAAAGAATTGCGTCTGTTCAGAGCAGCAGTGTGCCAAGGGGGTGTGGAATGTCAGCGATCCACACATACGAAATAGCACATGTGCACATAGCAGCATTGTGAAGGCCAATAGCACATGTGCACCCACTACACACCTCAACCTCAACATTGCTCGCTCCTCACCTACTCCAACAGCATGTTTGACGGCTTGAGGTCACGGTGAATCAAGTTGTGCTCATGAAGATGCACCAGCAGCACGCACACACACACACACACACACACACACACACACACACACACACACACACACACACACGCCCCTCAACCCATACGTCCCTCGCTCCTCACATCTCCCAGCAGGATGTTGGACGGTTTCAGGTCGCGGTGAATGACGTTGTGCTCGTGCAGATGCACCAGCGCGCCCGCTGTACCTTGCACCACTTTCAGCCGCGAGTTCCAGTCAAACACCTCCTCCATGCGCGCTGGGGGGGGAAATTGTGCACAGGGGGAGGGGGTTGTGGAGGGGGAAAGGGGGTTTCAGTCAAATCAAACCCGCTGTGCCCTGCACCACCCGCAGCCACGAGTTCCATTCAAATGCCTCCTCCATGCGCGCTGGGGGTTGTGCAGGGAGGTAAGGGGGGTGAAGGGGGAGTGGGTGGAGGGTGAAAAGGCGGAGAAAGGAGAGGAGAGGAGGGGGGAGAAGGTGAGTGGAGAGCTAGTCGCAGGCGCTAGTTCCAGTCGGAGGAGATCCAGTCGAACGCTTCCTCCATGCGCGCTGGGCAGGGGATGTGTGGGTGGGGAGGGGGGAGGTGGTGAATTGTGAGAGCGCGTGGGAATGAGAGGAGAGCTAGTTGCAGGCGCTAATTCCAGTTTTTTTTTTTTTTTTTAGGTTGATTTTGTGAAATGTCACAATCAACCTACCAAAAAACGAGAGGAAAGGGGGGACAAGATGATCGGAGAGCTAGTTGCAGGCGCGATTTCCAGTCACGTGCGCTGAGAGGAGGGGATTAAAGGATGAGGAGTTGAAGAGTTGAAGGGGAGGGCGTTTGAGGGAGGGGGTGAGGGCTGAGGGGTTGAGGGGTAAGGGGTTGAGGGGCTGAGGGGGGAGGGGCTGAGGGGGGAGGGGGTGAAGTGTGAGAGGGCTGGGACAATTAAGGGGAGAGACAAGCTGAGGGGAGAGCAAGAAGACGTAGGCGCGATACAAAGAAAGAGCGACTCACAGGGGAATAGCTTGTCGTCGAGGCTGCCGTTTTCACAGAGCTCGTACACCAGCAGCGCCTCGCCCTTCTCCGCGCAGTACCCCACCAGGCGCACCAGGTTCGGGTGGTTCAGGCTCGGCAAGAGCAGCACTTCCGCCTGGAAGGGGAAGGTTGTGACAGGTGGGTTGAGGCGGCAGGTGGTAGAGAGGAGCGGGTCAAATGAGGTGTTTAGTTGTGTGACAGATGGTCAGCGGACCAGAGTCAACGAGAGTCAACAAGAGTCCGTCAGAACTTTACAGACACCTTGGTCACCTGGCCCGTCGCCCTGTCACTCAGTGTCTCCCCCAGATATACCTTCACATTGCTGCCCTTCCTTTTGAGCCTCGTCTTAAATGCCCACCCCGTAGCCTTGTCACTCAGGATCCCTTAGAGCACCTCCCCATAGCTGCCCTCAACCCCTGCTCCTTCCGACTCCACTCACCACCCACTCACCACCCACGCGTCCATGCCCTGGGAGCTCTCCGGGTCAACTCCCCTTCTAGCCTTGTCGTTCAATGTCCCTCACAACAACTCCCCGAAGCCGCCCATGTGAACCTGACCGTTCACATTCACTCACCAGCCACTCGTCCATGCCCTGGGAGCTCTCCGCGTTGAGCATTTTGACAGCCACCTTGGTCACCTCGCCCGTCACCTTGTCCGTCAGCGTGCCCCGATACACCTCCCCGAAGCTGCCCTCGCCCAGCACGCCCTTCTTGCTGAACGAGTTCGTCGCCGCCTTCAGCTCTGCTAGTTTGAACTTCTTTGCGCTGCCCGCGCCGCCGCCGCCAGGCCCGCTGCTGTTGGTCGTTGTGACGCCTCCTGTGGGGAGGGCGTTAGTGGAAACGGGAGGAGAAGCGGAGAGGGAACGGATTGATGATGGTGAACTCAAGAGCTTGCAGCAGGGCTGGTGCTCGTGGTCGTTGTTGTGAGGTTCCTGCGGCGGGGTGTCAGGGGGGGCGGGAGGAGAAGCGGAGAAGCCTGCGTCAGGCGGGACGGCAGGAGAATCGGAAGGCCTGCATCAGGGGGGACGGCACGACGACTCTCTGTCAGCTCAAAAGCCTGCGCCAGCACTGCTGGCGGTGCGCGTGCGGAGTGGGTTATGTTTGGAAGATTCTCAGAGGGTTATGGCGTGTGCGCGGCACAGAGTGGCCAATGGCTGGCCGGTAAGGCTCGCTTTTTTTCCATGAGGACCAGTGTTATTACTGATTCGAGATTCGTTCGACCGGCACCCACGGAATGTACACTTCAGGAGATCCGCGACAACGGTATCTGGAAAATCCGCGACATTTGTAACTGCGAAATCCGCGACGATGGTAACAGCAAAATCCGCGTCAAGTGCACCCCGGAATGCGCGACAACGGTAACTGTTGACCCCAGGACAATGATACAACCGGCAAGTCTCGGCCGTACCTGAGGCTGACGAATTGGAGACGATGGGAGCGGAACTCGCGCCGGAACCTGCGGAGCTCTTCTTTGGAGCATCTGAGCCGGCGGAGCTCTTCTTTCCGGCTGACGTGGCGGACGACGCGGAGCTGCGAAGGTTCGTGGAAGATCCCTTCTTGTCGACCGTTACCTCGACTGACATGCAGCCCCCCATGACGGGAGCAGCGAGTCAGACGGAGGCTCCCGGGTGAATGTAACGAGGCTCCTAATGTAAGGATCTCTAAAATATCACTGGAGGGTAAGTATGCCAATGCGTCTATGTGTCCGGTCTTCAAGAAGCGGTACAATTTGCCAATGCCCTACTTAACCCAGTTCTGGCACAGGAAGTAACTGAGTCAGACGGGGGTTGTGTCGTTGATTTGTTCGTCGCTGATCCTGCCGTGTAAAACCCCGTCAGACGGGGGTTGCTGCCGTGCAATTGAGGTTTTATGCCTCCTCGAGCAGCGGTAACCGCAAAATCCCACTTGCTAGAGAAATAATGCTACGCGACGAGACGCTCCGACTGATAAAGATTTGAAACGAAGCGGATGCTGGTTTAGCTGGAAAAAGGCGGCTCTTGCCGATGACATTCGCGAAGGCCTAATGATTCAAAATCTGGAAAAAAAAAAAAAAAATCTTTGTGGATTAGCTGGATAAGGACGGCTCTTGCGGGTGACACATTCGCGAAAATGGGAGGTGAAAACGAGTACGCACTCCAACGACGCAGCCCAAACTCCACGGACTAACTTCGGCCATTATGACACGTCGCGGAAACTATTGGCGGCTTTCATTAACGGCACTGATTGGAGATCACGAGTGAATAATTAAAGAGCCACGGGAAACGAAATGCTTTTCCGCAAAAACAGCGACAGGGGAAACGGCAGCGACTAACTACGACAGTCGCGGATACTTGTTAGCTGCTGTTACTGCTGCTAGCATTTCACCTCCTAAAATCGCCAATGTATCGTCCTATCAGCGCAAGTCCCTTGGCAATACCGTCGTCACGTCAATCACCGTCAATCTTGGCGAGATAGCAGACTCACCATCATCAACCACCACTCTGCAATGAACCTGCAACCTGGACGTGTATGTCTTCCCACCGACCAGTCAACCAAACCACGTCGACAGGTGCGGGTATGGTGACCGGGAAAGTGATATGAGATGATGGATGGAAGTGAAACTTTCCCGGTCACCATACCCGCACGGGAGGAGAACAGGGGTGATGATATGAGATGATGGATGGATGGTGCCGTGTTGTCTGCCCTGCAATCAAATGAACGGCCCACGTTGTCTACCGGCCTGTTTGCTGGCGAAGCACCTGTCGCTTGACTCTGTTGGCCATCTCTGTAAATGAGTTGATCGAGATCGGACTGGAAATTGTTTAGATGCTGTAATGAAATACACCTTGCCATGAATACCCCATTCCACACGATGGCAAGGTGCACGGTAAACCTCATAAATATATGTTGTGTAAAGAAATCAAGATTCTACGTTCGGATGCAACTAACCGGGGCCTAGAATTTGCATATGAGATGATGTCTCTCTTTCCCCTTTTCCTCTTTCTGTCTAGGATCATGTGATGTACACATGCAACATGAAGGGAATGTGATGAAAAGCTACCAGTATGATCTCTATGTATGTACACTACAACACCTTCGGAGGAAATCGGTACCCATCGTGGTCGCAGTGGGGACAACTCTGATAGAATGTGCTGCTACTGAGTAAAGGACTTCTGCTGAAAGGTGGGGCGTTATGATATCAGGGTTATTCGTGGCCCGTGTCAGACTTCAGGTCAAAAGCCCTTAGTCTCCAATTTGGCTCATCCGAACTCGGATTTGCCTCACAAACGAGCCACTTCGGGTCTTCCAAGCCTCCACTTCGGGTCTGACCTGATGTCTGACACAGGCTTCGAATGTACCCTCAGCCTAACCAGGGTGCGACGACGAGGCTGATAATGGTGGTGCGTTATAATGATGGTGCATGTATTTCCATTATGCAAGAGGGTGAATTGAAGGATCACCTGCCTAGATACCTAGATTATTGTGCAGCTTGTAAAGTAGTAGGATCTAACCAAAGCAATGTTTTCGCATTGGCACGCATAATGAAACCATGGTCATTACAGTCGAAACGGCATCTTTAGTTTGGCAGTGGAAACACAATATACCTAATAATCAAGAATGAAGGTTTTTACAAGGTTTCAAACGGCCAAATCCCAAGCAGTGCCATGCCACACCCAAAGCAAACACCAACCAAGGCACACTCTTTCCCCTAGTTCAACATCAGCTTGGCATCCCCGTCAATAAACAGGCTCATGAACTCCTCCCCATCCACCGTCTCCTTCTCCATCAGTAGCTCCGCCAGCTTGTGCATCACATCAATGTTCTCCGTCAGCAGCGTCTTAGCCCTCGTGTACGCCCTATCCACCAGCTCCCTCACCTCCGAGTCAATCAGATCAGCCGTAGCCATTGAGTACTCCGTTGCGTTCGACACCTGCTGGCCCAGAAACGGGTTCCCTCCGCCTCCACCCAGAGCCAGCTGCCCGACCTTCTTGCTGAACCCGAGCCTCTCCACCATCTGCCGAGCCACGCGCGACACCTGCATGAAGTCGTTCGACGCGCCAGTGGTAACATTCTCCGCGCCGAAGATCAGCTCCTCAGCAATACGCCCGCCGAGGGCCACAGCCATCTGGTTCTCGAGGTACGACCGCGAATACAGCCCCGACTCCAGGCGCTCCTCGCTGGGGGCGAAGAAGGTAAGTCCACCAGCGCCGCCGCGGGGGATAATGGAGATCTTAGCAACGGGATCGTACTCCGGCATGAGCGCGCCCACCACGGCGTGGCCAGCCTCGTGGTACGCCACCAGGCGGCGCTTCTCAGCGGAAACCACGGCGCCCTTTTTCTCGGGCCCAGCAATGATCCTCTCCAGAGCGTCGGAGATCTCGTCCATAGAGATCTCCTTCAGGTTGCGCCGCGCGGCGAAGATGGCCGCCTCATTCATGAGATTCTGAAGATCAGCGCCGGTGAATCCGGGCGTGCGGCGCGCCACCTTGTCAAGATCCACATCCTTGGCCAGCACCTTCCCGCGCGAGTGCACCTTCAGAATCGACACGCGGCCGGCGACGTCCGGGCGGTCAACGGTCACCTGGCGATCGAAACGGCCGGGGCGGAGCAGCGCGGAGTCGAGGACGTCGGGACGGTTAGTGGCGGCGAGGACGATGACACCCGTGTTGCCCTGGAAGCCGTCCATCTCCGTCAGCAGCTGGTTGATCGTCTGCTCGCGCTCGTCGTTGCCGCCGCCCAGACCAGCACCACGCTGACGTCCCACAGCGTCGATTTCGTCGATGAAGACGATGCAAGGGGCCTTAGACTTGGCCTGGAGGGGCAAGGCGACAAGGTGTAATACAGGTCAGAACAATCATCCTAACATCATGGCTGCTGTTCCAATTTTCTTTTCCTTTGTTCCAAAATGTTTAAATCGCAGAGGTCTGTCAAATGAAGCAATGCAATCAGATTTAATGTTGTATTCGAGCCCTCACCTTCTGGAAGAGGTCGCGGACGCGGGAAGCACCGACACCGACGAAGAGCTCGACGAACTCGGAGGCGGCGCAGGAGAAGAAGGGCACTCCAGCCTCACCGGCCACAGCGCGGGCGAGAAGAGTCTTGCCAGTACCAGGGGGACCAACCAGCAGACAGCCCTTGGGGATCTTAGCACCCAGCTGGGTGTACTTGTCTGCAGGAAGCACGGATAGAACGAGAATATGTGTAGAATGAGAGAGGATTCGTTGAAGTCCGACGATCTACGCAGATGCAGCATAATTTGTTCGAATCTCAGGTGATTATCAAGAGACAAGGTACTTTAACGAGCTGTGCCAAAAAATAGATGAATTAGACAAGAAAAAGTGAGGTTTACCAGGGTTCTTAAGGAAGTCGACGACCTCCTGCAGCTCCAGCTTCGCCTGATCGGCACCGGCCACGTCCTTGAACGTAACGCCAGTCTCGGGAACCTCCTGGAACTTCGACTTAGCGCGGCCGAAGTCCATGGGCCCGCCGGGGCCGCCGACTCCGCCAGGGCCACCCTGCGCGCGGCGGAAGAGGAAGAAGAGCCCGGCGAACGCGATCAGCGGGAAGAGGAGGTTCGCGATGAGCCCGACGTAGTTGTTGCTCGCCTCGCTCTCCGCCACGGAGATATCCACGCCGTTCTGCGCCAGGATGTCGACGAGGCTCGGGTCGTTCGGCAGGGTGACGGTCGCGCGGCGACCGTCGATGGCCGTCAGCTGCAGGAACGCGCCGTCCTTGCTGAACCGAACGCGCTCCACCTTGCCGCTCTGCACGGCGTTAATGAATTCGCTGTAGCGCCAGGTGGTGCTCTCAGGCAGATCCAGGCGGTTAGCAGTGGCCACGGGAGGCGCAGACAGGGACGACTGCTCCAGGGCTGAGGGAGCGGCGGCAGGGGTAAGGACTTGAAGCTCAGTTCCGAAGACAGGGGTCGTAGGAGCGGCGACATCCTCAGCAAAAGCGGCGGGGGATGCGGCGAGGGACAGGACTAGGGAAGTGAGAGCGGCGGGAGGGAGGGCCTTTGCGAGGGTCAGAGCAGCGTCATCAGCGGCGGCTCTAGGGGAGGTGTTGCGCTGGCAGGCTGCGACGAGGTGCTTCTTAACGGTAACGGCCAGGCGTTGGCCGAGAACTGACGACCGCAGCTTCTGCTGTGCGGCGCTGCTCTGGATTGCACGCGCAGGGAGCGCGAGGGAGGCGTGAGCGGCGATGGAAGCCATTGCGCTAGAGCTAATGCGAATAGAAGCCTGAGTCGAAATATAAAACTAGCGCAAGTGAATACCTCGTCGATAGACTGATCGCAAGTCACGAACGGCTCCTGAAGTTTGCTGCGGAACAAATCAATGTTAAAGAAATCTAAATTTAACTACCTCTGGGGGAAATCTGTTCGAATATATGTCCGTGTACAGCCTGTCATCACTCCCCCTTGGGAGTGTCGCGCTGAGCTTGAAGACGTGGATTTCCGCTCCGCACCCAAGGCAACTCTCCGCTGCTGTGGCTGGGCGGTGCTTGAACGGTTGGGGAAGGGGGCAGGAAGGGGGAGGGTGGGGGAGGTTGAAGGGCTGTGGTGAGGCCAGCAATTCCCAAGGCGATGTGCAGGCACTTGGAGCAG